CTTCGCCATTTCCGACAGCGAGTGGGTCAGTCCCACCCAGGTGGTACCCAAAAAGGTTGGGATGACTGTGGTGCCTAACAAGAAGAATGAGCTGATCCCGATGCGCACGGTGACTGGGTACCGTGTCTGCATTGATTACCGGCGTCTCAACGACGCCACTCGGAAGGACCACTTCCCGCTACCATTCATTGATCAGATGCTGGAGAGACTGGCGGGGCACGAGTTCTACTGTTTCCTGGATGGGATGTCCGGGTACTTCCAGATCCCTATTGCACCGGAGGACCAGGCGAAGACCACTTTCACCTGCCCCTTCGGCACCTTTGCCTACCGGAGGATCCCATTCGGGCTATGCAATGCCCCAGCCACTTTTCAGTGATGCATGCTCGCTATCTTTGACCGTCTGGTCGGCGAGATTATGGAGGTGTTTATGGACTATTTCTCGGTTTATGGAGACTCATTCTCTCACTGTCTCCATAACCTGGAGCTTGTCCTTAAACGGTGTGAAGAAACGAACCTGGCACTGAGTTGGGAGAAGTGTCACTTCATGGTTCGAGAAGGCATAGTTCTTGGGCATAAGATCTCCAAGATGGGGATTGAGGTGAACAGAGCGAAGATCGAGACTATCAGCAAGCTGCCTCCTCCTACATCTGTTAAGGGGATCCGGAGTTTTCTTGGTCATGCAGGGTTCTACAGGCGATTCATCAAGGATTTCTCGAAGATTGCTCTGCCCCTGACTAAGCTTCTAGAGAAGGATGCCCCCTTCCAGTTCACTTATGCATGCACAGCGGCTTCACGACCTTGAAGGAGAAGCTCACACAAGCTCCTATCATGGTTGTTCCTGACTGGTCCCTGCCATTCGAGATTATGTGCGATGCCAGTGACTTTGCTGTTGGAGCTGTGTTGGGGCAGAGGCGAGATCAGCATTTCCGACCTATCTACTACGCCTCGAAGACCTTGAATGATGCCCAGGAGAACTATACCACCACGGAGAAGGAGCTGCTCGCGGTGGTGTTTGCCTTCGATAAATTTCGTCCTTATCTGGTCTTATTGCGGAGTTAGCAGTGGAGCTCGCGGACCCTTAGTTCCGCAATTGGCGTCCAGCTAAAAGACGGTAAAGAAGCGCTTGTGGGGAGGCAACCCCACCACGGTTTGCATTTCTACCTTTGTTTTTATTTATTTATTTCATCTTTGTCAGTTTTTGGGTCTTTGAGTCTGTCTAGAGTCAGTCTGGAAAATTTTTCGTGCCTCGGGCGGCTCTTATTGATGTGTGATTGGGTAAATTTTAGAGCCGGGGCACGAATGAATCTTGGTGGTTTGAGATTGAAAATTGGAAAAATTGCACTTTAGGCTCGGCAGTAAAAACACGGGCAGCAGGGGGCCAAAACACGGCCGTGTTTTGCCCTGCCCCGCCCGTGTTTTGCCTTTTAGCCTCGGCATAAAAAGCACGGGCACGGGCCCTTCAAAAACACGGTCGTGTTTTGAAAGGAGCCCGCCCGTATTTTAATGAGGGGAAACACGGGCGCGGAGCAGGCAGAACACGGTCGTGTTCTGCCCCGCCCGTGTTTCGCCCCCCCCCCCCCCCCTATAAAATCGAATTTTCAGCTCCCACCCCCCAGATCAGTTATTTTTTTCAAACCCTCCCAGCCCCCCTCGCCGGAAAATCGCCCCTTTCACCTTCTCCTTCGATTTTCCGGCCATAACTTCCTCTCCCGACCTCCAAATCACAAACCGCGAGCGCCCCCATGCTCCTGGCGTCGAGGAGCACATTCCCCAACGATTTGGGCTGGTTTGGCCGAGGTTGGGTCGCCGACGGTGAGTTTTCCGGCGAGTCTCCGGTGTGTTTTTCGGCGACTTTGGGTGCTTCTTTCCACTTTCTTCACCTCTCTTGTGGTCTCTTCTTGTGTCTCCAGGTGTGTTCTCCTCGCCGTTTCTTTTATTTATGGAGAATCGATTCCTAGAGTTAGGTGAAGAACTTCTGATTGTGGAATGAATGGTTTGGGAATATTTTGGGTTTGGGGGATGATTGGGCTGATGGCATGTTGCATGGTATGCGTGATAGGTGATTTTTCTGTGATACCTCGATTGGTGCTATTTAGTACGGTTGTGGTATGCTTGTTTCACCGGGGGCCTAGTCCACTGTCCGAATCGCTCGATTTGAGGGTCCCCGGTGTATTTTGCTGTGGAATTCTCGTATGATGGGTATGTTTGTGTCGCCGGGAGTCTAGTCCACTGTCCATATCTTTCGATATGAGGGCTCCCGGTGTGGGTTTGGCCTAACATTGACCCGTTTGCTTGTGTACACTTTGTCCTTCATTGTGTTTTGCAGGATCATGGAGGATTATCTCGACCAGATGAACATCGTCCATCGCCATAAGCTGCGGAACCTCCGTACCCGCAGCATCGTCGAGCACTTTCACCTCGATTGGGAGGTGTTCGAGGAGCTCCATGCCAGGCCACAGATGGAGGCCACGGTCCGCTCCCCAGCTTGGCGGCGTCTTTTCACCCTCGCCGAGCCGACCTACAAGGAGCTGGTCTGGGAGTTCTATGCCACCTTCCACCACCACTCGAAGGGGAACTCCGACCATGCTGATGTCGTTCAGTTCACCCTCGGCGGGGTGGAGCACTCCCTCAGTTACTGGGAGTTCGCCAATGCACTTCGTCTCAATTCCCGGGCAGCAGGCGGGCCTCCTCTCCGCTTGGATCTCTCTGATCCCACGGACTTCGCTTCCCAGGCGTACTTTCAGAGCATTTGCCTACCGGACAGTGTGGATGAAGAGTACGTGGCCAGCCAGACGCGGGCTGCTCTCCTTCGTCCGGAGTGGCGGATCCTCAACCACCTGATGTGCACTTCTTACACACCCAGCCAGGGCTCGTCCAACCGGGTCACACTCCGGACTCTCTGGTTGATGCATGCGATGGGTCGTTCTGAGGACACCATCCAGCTGGGCTCTGTGCTTGCCCGGACGTTCACTAAGGCAGCCATCAGCATGACTCGCATCCTCGTTTGCGGCCCGGTGATCACCGCCTTGGCCCGCAACTACGGGGTAGACTACACAGGGATGACATTGGTCCGCGCACCGACCCCACTCGGCGAGCCTACTCTCCGCCACCAGCACTTGGTTGCTCGCCACGGGCGTGTGCGCTGGATCGCGGGCCTTCCTCAGCCGCCCATACCTGCAGAGGGCGACCAGGCCAAGTCGAGCGCCGCTGGTGGGCGCCGAGTCCCCCGTCGCGTTCCCCGTCGTGCCCAGGCTCCCGCGAGCCCCTCTCCTGCTCCCCGGTCTCCTTCTCTAGGGCCACCTCCTCCAGTGGTGGTGCCCATCTCCGACCAGTTGGCGGCGATCTCGCAGCAGAATGAGCGCATCCTGGCTGGCCAGGAGCGCATCCACACCCGCCTTGACCGCGAGCGGGACCGAGGGCGTCGTCTCATGTCGGGGCAGCACTACATCATGTCCTACTTGGGCTTGGACCCGAACGCGGTCCACTACCCGTTCGTGCAGTCCCCAGGGTTCGAGGATGAGTACCCTCCACCCACCAGCGATGGTGGTGATGCCTTCTAGAGCGGGTTTTGTGCTTTATTTGTGTTCCAGACTGAGACTTCGTGTTTTGTGATTTTGTTTTTTTTTGTTTTTTTTTATCTTGGATTGTAGACTTGGTACTCTGATTCCTATCACCCAGTGTGTGTGTTTTTGTTGTCTCTAGCTCTGTGCCTCCTTCTTTTGACTGGTCCGCCATCCAGTCAACGTTCCTGACCACTGTTTCACGGTAACATCGTTCCCCTTCCCTCTGCTCCATTGAGGACATTGTCACGTTTAAGTGTGGGGGGTTCTTTGTATGAATTGGAACGTATATATGTGTGCTTGGAGCCTAGTCCACTGTCAAAATCTTGAGATTTGAGGGCTCCAAGCACGACTGTTTGCTTGCTGATTGATCGTATTGGCACTGTGGATGTGATTAGTGAATTGAATGGCTTTTGACTTGATACATGACAACTTGAGTGTGACTTAGACAACTTATTGTGATGACTGAGATGTGCAGTAGAATTGTATAGGGGTTCAGTTTTTCAACTATCTGCTCACCAAATGTGACTTGGTTTGATCACTTGCTTTTGACAGTCATTTATGCATCTAGTTCAGGGAATCAGAACGAGAGATAGAGCATATAGGTAGCCATGTGAGATTTGAGCCTGCTCGTTTCTTTCTTGTGCGATAGTTTCCTCTTCCATGATGTGCAGCATTCACGTTGTCATTAGCTAAGATGATGGAGGCATAGGATTAGCCCACGACCAAATTGACTGTCCTAGTGTGTCATACCCCTAGTCAGCCCCTTTGAGCCGTGTGTTTTCCTTTCTTTCGGTCTTCAATGAAAAGTCACCCTTTTGCATCTTTTAGAAGGTTCCACCGAGTGATTTTTACATGTTCTCTGCTGTTTCTGCTAAATGTAATGTGAGGGTTGGAGGTAGTGCTTAAAAGTTGGGCAGGTGTTTGAAAATGTGCAGAGGCGGTGGTTCTCTTAAGAAATGAAAAATAATGAAAGAAAATCAAAGAAAAAATGAAAGCAAAAGAGAGCCACCACCAAAAATCTGAATAATGCCCATGTAGTAGTGTTTCTTAGCAGTCTGGCTTAGAAATACTAGCATTTATGTAACCTCCTTCGCTCTTGTGCTCTGAAGAATTTGAGTAATGCAGAATAGCAGAAAGAAAGTTATTGGTTTGATTGGTTGTGAGTCTGTTGGGTTTGGAAATGTGGAACCTTGTGCTGTATGAGTACTTCCACCACCTAAAAGGCCTTTTCCCCATGTCCAAGACCCTAGCCAGTCATCTGAACCTGTGTCTAAGACCTCCGGATTAGTTAGTGATGACACCCTATATGTGAACTCTAGCACTTAGAGGCTGCATTCATGATGAAGAGATGTTAGGGATTGAGAGATTAAGCATGCGCATTTTTCGCATCATATTGTCCTGACCCCACTGGTCGAGAGTGAGCGATTCATTTTCTCTTATTCTCTATACTCTTTATCCCGGTGAGGACCTAGATTGCTCGGTCTTACTTCTGATATCTTGAACTTTGTGCATGATGTGACTGTTTTGAACAAGTGGTTGAGTCAAGTCTAAGTTGGTTGGTGAATAGAAGGGAGACTCTTCCTTTGCTCGATTTTACTGCATTCGAATGTCATCTGTGGTGGTTGTCTAGGTTGTCATTGAAGTTGTCCATGTGTTACTGATCGAAAGCCAGTATGATCCACGTGTTTTGTGCCGATATGTCATGCCTTGTTGTTTTGAGCTTACCTTGTGTCTGACTTGGTTTGCTTGGGGACAAGCAAACGGTTAAGTGTGGGGGAATTTGATAACGATGTAATTGCACATATTTGCGCCCCTAATTCTTATCCGTTTGAGGGGCATAGTCGTGTATTTTTGGCCTATTTTACGCCGGGTTGTGCTATTTTGTCATATTTCAAGTCCCAAACGTCAAAGGAAAGGCTAAGCACGAGTTTCGGGGCATTCGGAAGTCATTTCGTCAAGCTGGAGCCAAAACACGGGCAGACCTAAAACAGAACACGGCTGTGTTCTGTGGCCGTGTCCACCAAAACACGGTCGTGTTCATCATCAAACACGCCCGTGTTTCTTCCAACACACTGGTCGTGTAATTAACCCTGGCCAAAACACGGGCGGGCTGAGGCATTACACGGCCATGCCCTCGACCGTGCTTTGGCCACTGATGCCCTTTAAAGCAGATTTCAGCCAAAACAGAAGGGGATTCGAGTTTTAGAGAGACAGAGCGATTCCTAGAGAGAGAAAGCGACGAACAAGAGTCTCCAAGTGCCCTAGCTTGATCTTCATCACTATTGGAGGCCAGTTTGAGCTTGGAGAAGTGCCAATCAACGTCCAGGAGCAGGAATCCATCCTTCACAGTATGAATTCCGCATCTGATTCTGCTTTTGCTTCTTTCTCCATGGAGTAGTTCTCCCATTCATCTGGGTATGGAGAACCCTAGATTTGTATGTTAGGCTTTGATTGTATGAACCCAAGTACTGATTCTATGAGTTGATTATATTCGATTGAGGTTTGAATGATTGAATGACTTGAATCCTGATCAAATTCCTGTTGTTTCTACTTTGACCTAGAATGAGAATATCTGCCTAGGTTGATAGAGCATCCTTGATTGAAGGTAGGGAGTTGGTGACTTTAATCGAGGAGCCAACTCACTATTCTTTACCGGATTTACTTCGGTAGTGGAGGTTTTGTTTGTTAAGGCCTCAATCTGTTTACTCCGGTGGAGGTTAGTCGCCCACTAGAGATTCAGATTGAGAGGGTCTGAAGACCTTTAGTCGAGACTTCAGGCTTTTTAAGAACCTTCCGCAGTATAACTATCATAGAAACTGAACTTGGTAATTGCAATCCGGCTTAACTGCAGTCTAGGGGGAACCATATCCGGGTGACCTCTCTTAACCTGAATACAACAGTTTACTTGCTTTGTTAGTTTGTTAGTTTAGACTTGCATTAAAGTTTCATTGCTAGATAACAAGAATTCACTAAGTAGTCATCAAATCTAGGACCTGGGTTGACATTTAAACCCAAACCCGCTATACTACGCTTTAGGAAGTGGTTTCACTTGGCCAATTCCTGGAGTGACAGTAGAAGTGAGTCAGTGAGCAAGAGCAATTTTTGTACATATGTCGCTCGCTAGAGTACTTCTTTTAACTCCTATTCCTCACTTCGTGTAGAGGGTCAATGAAATTAAGTGGCATCGGAAGCTCTATATGTGCCCTTAAAACACATCCTCGAGTAGGCAAACCGTTCAACGAGTGGAATTTTTACTTGTACTAGAGACGGGTTAGCTTCATCTTGTAGGCCTACCCCACTAAGAATCACTAAAATATCTTCCAAAACCCGATTTTGTGCAATGAACGGTGCCACACACGTTAGGCTTACCCCATGTTTTAAAATTTCAAGATTTTTGACATGGAGGACCAACTGCTTTTTTATTTCACACTTGTGCACCCTTTTTCGATACACGAGTCCACAACACACATAAGGAGAGTCATCAATACCATAAGAATCAACGGTCCTAAATCCACTAGTTCACAAAATCAACCAGCACAGCAGAGAGACGGATAGGAAAAATCTTATACTTCAACATCCTCCATAGTGCTACAACTACCTCCCTACGTTGCATATCACCATAAAGACTGTCAATTCAAATCATACTGAGCAGGATATTGCAGGGAACAGTACTTAGAGCCCTCAATTCATCAAATTTGATAATGGACTAGGCTCCAAGCACACAAACTCATTTATGCAGTCAAAGAGAAACACCCCCCCCCCCCCCCCCCGCCCCTTCACCCCACACATAAGCATGACATTGCCCTCAATGGAGAAAAGGGAAAGATAAGGGGAACAATGTTACCGCGAAAACGGACTGTCGGGGGACCGGAAACGGGACCATTCATCAGGAGCACACTGGGTGATAGAAACCATAGTTTCAGGTAGAAAAACCAAAAACAAACAAAAGAAAAGCAAATCATTGACGGCGGCGCTATGACACGCAATGACACAACAACAAACTACGACCAAGTATAATCGCAGCCTGGAAATGCAGAATAGTGAGTAAGTTTAAATTATCAAATCCACGGGTCTCTAGAGTTACTATTACTCAGCTTCAGTTCATTATCTAGCAAACCAGATTAATGCTTGATTTACTAAACTACTCTACTAACTAAACTACTAATTACAGGTTGGGAACTCACTTAGGTATGATTCCCCCTAGCTCCTCAATTAGGTCCAAGTTGTAATTCATTTTGATTGTTTTACTGTTGATTAAACCGCGGAATATCCGCCAATAGCTTGGAATCTCTTAAGTTGACTAAGCCCTCTTAGACAGAATACCATGCATGCGACTAGCCTTCACCGGGATAGACTGCTAAGGTGATTCACACAGATCTCCACTACTATAATGAATTCCAGTATAAAGTAGTGAATTAACTGATTCTCGAACAACCAATTCACCACTATCAATCAAGGAAGCTCTCTTAACCTAATCAGATTCTATCTATCATAGCTTAAAGCAGAAATCAAGAGAATTTGATCAGGATTCAATTAACTCAATAAATCATGCCTCAATCGATTATAATCAAACAATATAGCATCCACAACTTTATACAAGAAAGATCCAAACACATAGAACTAGGGTCCCTCATAACCTAAGTGAAGGGAAGTTACTCCATAGAGAAGAGAGAGATTGCAGTATGACTTTCCATATTTTCAATCTTCATGTCTGGACTTGTTCCTTGAGCTTCAATGTGAAGAATCCTCCAAAATAGCTCCAAGAATGGCTCTAGATCGCCCTCTCTTTTTGGTTCATCCCTTGGGTGTTTAGGATCGAAAAACCCAGTCCCCCCCCCCTACAAAATCGCAGAAATCAGACTTATACCCGAGCAGGGGCAGAAACACGGTCGGGAACACGACCGTGTTTAGTCCTGCCCATGTTTGGTCCCGCCCGTGTTTTGCATCCCTTCATCAGTCTTCACAAGAGAGGCTCGGCATAAAAGACACTGGAGGGGTGCTGAGTGAAACACGTCCGTGTTTCATGGGAAACCTGCCCGTGTTTCTTCCTCTGAACCTGTTCCACTATATTTGATGCTTCATTTCTCTCTCGTCTGGACTCCAAATCAGTCGTCATTTGATCCCAGAAGCTCATAGTCTCGTCCTCTTTCTTTTCATGACAAGCTTACATGATTATTTGTCCATAAAATGAGGTATAAATCCATTATTTTTCAGGTCATGCCCGAGTTTCTCCCGAATTGCCAATTGATCTTCGATTGACTTGAAACTTGCGCCTATGCTTCACTTTTCGCGCTAGGACCTTAAATGTGACAAAGGAAGTGTAAAATAGCCTAAGAAAGTACAAAATCAAGCCACAATGATCAAGAAACGAGGATGCAAACATGTGCAAATACGACGTTATTACCCTTAGTGGCCCCGAGCACCAGCACGATGAGTTCGTGGGTGGCCACACCAATGCGGTGAAGCTGCGGACTCCATGGAGGATTATGCACATCTTGCTCACCAGGTCCATCATCCCCAGTCTCAGAGCGGGCCACCTGATCACCAACAGAGGGCTGATTGCCCTTCACTCTATGAGGAATCTTGCCGAGCCACTCCATCTGGGAGTCGTGGTTGCCACCACATTTGTACGATGTCTGGGGCAGAACCGGATGGACACGATGCATCTGGGGGGCTTCATCACCAGATTGGCCCGTCACTTCGATGTAGACGTGACGGGGTGCTCCATCATTGGCCGGATCGAGCCATTTCCAGTGGAGACCCTCTACAACATGAAGTTGGTGCTTCAAGGAGAGAGAGGGATCGAGTACCTCGACGGACTTTGACTTTCAGCGTCCCTAAGGACGAGAGTCGACCCTGCTCTAGTGGAGCCCGATTTTGAGGTCCTTCCTCCAAAGCAGCCACTTGCTCGAGCTCCCGGTCGCTGCCAGCGTCCTGCACTTCCATGTCATGGACCTGCACCACCAGCAACAACATCATCATTCAGAGCTGGTCCTTCCACCTCCAGGGATCACCTCGTAGAGTGGATGGATCGCCTCGAGAGCCACGTTGTAGGAGTCACCACTCGGTTGGACCGAATCTCAGATAGAGAGAATGGCTCGATGCCAGGGTATCCTCCTAGATGATGAGTCGGGGCCTTCGACCAGTGATGAGGTAGCCGACGAGTGAGACGTGGCAGAGCCGATTTCTTTCGCCGCACTTCTCCACTTGGAACTCTGAACTCTTTTATCCTTTGTTTTGTTTTTCTTTCCTTTTATTCAGTGTGTGTGAATGATTAGTACTACTACTATCGTATTGTTATGTGTAATAACCTCGCCTCGAGCGAGAATGTGTGCGTTAGTGTTTGCTTTTGTCTTCTCCTTGAAGCTCCAATCTCCTACCCCGAAAAAAATTCCAACTTGCACTCACCAAGCCACGGGGTAACATCATTCTACCCCTATCTTACGCCATTGAGGGCAATGTCGAGCTTAAGTGTGGGGGTTAGTTTATTATCACTACAACAAATTCGGCCTATTAGGACAAAAAATTTATTTTGTCATTTTTTGTTTGTCACATAGGTACGGTGATATGACAAAAATAATATATGTCCTATTTGTTGGTATGCCTAATGTGACAAGAAAAAAAAATTTGTAAGAGACACAAAAGTGAAAAAATATATCATCAGGGTAGCTTTTGTCATATTATGTCTTGTTGAAATGTTTAAATGACTAAGTATTGGTCACAATAGATAGCAATAATACCACGGCGAGCTGACAAAAGGGCATGTTTGTCATAATATAGTGGTTTTGTTTTTGACAAAAGACATTTTCGTCATATTTGCTTATGTTAGTTGGACTTAGGTAACCAGAACGTGAAGCCGGAGTGGGAGCGTCAGAGCGTCAATTTTACAAGAATTAAATATTAAGAATGTGAACAGAGCGTCAATAAAATATTATTTTCCCAAATATTAAATAAAATATGAACAATATTATCACAATTAACTCAAACTAATTAAACTTATGAGATTTTACGATCAAAACTTATGAGATTTGGGCGTACCCACTTAAAAGTAAAACTTCATGATCTGTTTACATCAGGGCAAATTTATTGCATTATTCATTCCCATTTCCCATAAAACTATTATTATATTCATCATAGAAAACCTATACCGCTAGTCCGCTATCATATTTATTAATAGTATTATTATAATAATGTAATGATTACCATTTACATAAATTGTAATCGTTTCTCTTTAATTTTTAAAAGATCTTTCCATCCTTTGTCTTTGGTATCGCCGCAGCCATCCGTCCTCTTAACCAGGCTTAACCCTAGCCGCCTAACCTTCTTCCTCCCTCTCTTGTTTTCTCGGTAAGACATGATCAAATCTCTTCTTATTCTGAAAATGGCGACCAAAAGAGTAAAGGAAGATCACATCCCATCTTTCTTTCCCTCGACATTCTCTTCTTTTCTTTTTCTTGATCTGGTTCTCTACTTTCCAATTTGGCTCTCGTGAATCACTTCTCCATAAGAATGCTACATTCAATAATAACCAAATCTGGACCTTTTATTTAGAAAATTCAGATCTAACGAAGGAGAATTAAATACCATTTTTATTTTTTCTAACTTTCTTAATTGACTCATATTTTTTTCGTTCTAACTCGGATTTTAATTTTTTTTTTGCACAGATGGAACGAGTTCATCGTGCTCTACAAAATGAGATCAATTTTCAAAATATTTTGAGAAAAAAAAATTCTGGCCTCTCGGTACCAACTGCATACCATATGGTATCTTCTTCGTTTTTAATTCGTATTTGAAAAAGTTTGCACAGAAGGGACGAGTTCATCATGATCTATTGGATCTACAAATTTCTGGGTGAACAAATTACAGGACCAAAAAATACCACACAATACCAATACCACCCTGGTACGGGGTGGTATTGTATGGTATCTTCTTCGTTTTTAATTCGTTTTTTAAAACGTTTGCATTGTAGGGACGAGTTCATCATGATCTATTGGATCTACAAATTTCTGGGTGAACAAATAACAGGACCAAAAAATACCACAGAATACCATACAATACCACCCTGGTACGGGGCGGTATTGTGTGGTATACAATGTTAAAAGTCGTAAATGACAATTAATATACTTCTACTATCATGTATTCAACCATCCTACAGTCTTGGTTTGTTCATACCATCGTGGTACGTTTTTCAAACCATAGGTATGCTTTTATTTCAATACCATAGGTAAAAAATGGCTCAATTTTTTTTGTTCGAAAAATATATTAAAGTGGATATCCATTTTGAAGAGCACAATTAATCTGATCTAACTGTGCAAAAAAAATTAAATTTCAACTTAAAATGAGTGAGGAATCGTCCGTCAAAGATTAAAGAGGGGGAAATTAAAGGCTTTCCAGGAGAGAGAGGATGCTGATGTCATGCTGATGTGGACGAGTTACTCATGGTTACTCACCATAAGGTTACTGACCTGATCCATTCCTAGTCCTTTCCTTCTCAATCCTCTCGTTCGACAAATCAAAAACTGGAATGAGGGCGGCGGAAAAGATGGAATCGTGGGTTTGGGTAAGTTTCTTTTACCTGCACGGTTTTTGTTTGATTTCGGGTTCTGATTGAAATCATTTTTTGGTTTTTTTTTCTAAGGGTAGACTACGGAGGAAAGGAAAGAAGAAGTCGACAGTGACGACAGACAAAGGGAAGCACAACAAAATATGACGATTCTACCGGCAACCGACGAAACCCTTATGGCGAGATTTCGATTTCTCCTTTTAATATGTTTTTTCTCATCCAACTGGGGTTTTCAGATGAGAAGAGGAAGAAAAAGAGAAGAATGCACCGCCTCAAGCAGTCCCTGGTTCTGCCGGCGACTATGACGACATGGACAAGGAGATATTTTGGTAAGATGTGGTAGCTTTAATTCTGGAAATGGGCAGTGTGTAATTTATGATGGATTTGAATAAAGGAACGGTTGAGTGTTTATGGTGGTGAATTAGTGGTCTTTGGTTATGGCAAACTTCATGGAAATCCACTTTAGTAATGTCGTAGTGTATTATGCTTGTGTGAGTGTGATTGAATATTTGGAGCCTTGATGTATGCCCAAATTTGAAAATTTTGAGGGCTCCAAGCAATGCTTGCATGATCAAAGTGGTCGTTTTGTGGGAGAATCTCGTGTTTATTGGCATTGACATTGAATTTGTTGCATGTGATCGAGTATATCCTATGATGATGACTGAGAGGTGCATTAGGATAGTGCAAATGTTTAGTTCTCATGTGTGCAAAATTGAATGGATGTCTTGACTCCATTACTTGTTGATTACAATTGCCATGCATTGTGTTTTGTGAATTGAAATAGATGGTTGGGTGACTAGGTAGCCATTTGAGTTTTGAGCTGATCGCTTTCTTCTTGTGTGCTTAGATCCCTCTTACCTTGGCGAGTAACATCATAGTTGTCACTAGTGAGTATGATGGAGGCATAGGATTAGTCCACGCTCGAATGTTGATTATCCTGAAATGTTCTATCCCCTAGTCAACCACTTTGAGCCTTGTGACTTTGGGGGTCGTTCTCTTGTAGGAGCTTTTCTCTTGTGAGCTTAATGATGTTCGATAGAACGACCCCCCATCCTTTCTTCGTGTTTATACGTGAGTTCACTGAGTCGTCCTTGTGTCCCGGAGCCCATGCTTTGGAGCTCCATCGAGGTTCTTCATAGGAGGATTTTGTGTGGTTTTTGCTAGAAAAGAAGAGGTATTGTTGGAGTGAGTTCTTAATTGAGAGCATTGTTAGTTAAATGGCATGTATTTCACTCTCTAGTACCTTCCCTTAAAAAGAAAAGAGAAAAAGAAAGAAAGGAAAGTATAAAGAAAAAGAATCAAAAAGAGGTAATAAAACGGGGTAAATAAAGTAGACAGTGGCAAGAAAATCAAAGTGTATGCTCTAGCAAGGATTTCTTGGCACTCAAGTCATTGAAACACCCAAATTGATGTTGAAATCTTTCACTACTATGTTTGAAATGTGATAGCAAGAGTAGGCCGATGAAGTGTGCTTGAATGTAGTTCGTGATGGGTGATAGTTTGGTTTGGAAGGAAGTAAGGCTTTTGGTCGATGCTAGTGGTCGTTGTGTGTAGGGAAGGTTCTTAGTCAAAGCCATAGAACCTTCAGTTCTAAGGTGAAGATGTAGGACCTCATGTTGTATTTTCCACCACCCAAAATGCCTTTTCCTCATGTCCAAGACAATTGCCAATCATTTGAACCCGTGTCTAAGACCTCTGGACAAGCTAGTGATGACAAACATCCCATGAAATCTAGCATTTAGAGGTTGCCGCTGTGGTGAAGAGACGATAGGGCCGAGTATTGATGATTGTGCACATTTTTTTGCACCAAATGGTCCCGACCCCACTGGTCAAGAGAGTGAGTGATTCATTTTTTTTTTTTTTGCATGTCATATCATACCTCGGTGATGACCTTTGTTGCCCATTCGTTTATTCCTTGTACTTGAATGTTATGCATAATTAGTTGTGTTTGATGAGTGATCCTGTTGAGACTTGTATTTATTCATGAACAAGGTGAGAACTTTCCGTTTGCCCGTTTTTTGCGGTCTCGAATGTCGTTTGTGGTGGATGTTGGTATCGCTTGCAACGGTCCATGTGTTAATTGCCAATAGCCAATGAGATTCCCCACTTTGTACCCTTTGAGTTGTCCCAGATGTATTTTGTTTAGGTTGATATATTACCTCGTGTGAAATGGTTTGCTTGGGGACAAGCAAACATTTAAGTGTGGGGTAGTGATTCGTGCCTAAATGTACACTTTTTATCCTCGCTTCTCTTTGGCGTTTGTGGCATTTGAGCTCCAGAAAGGGTTGTTTTACGCTAGGTTTGTGTGTTTCAATGTGTTTCAGAGTCTAACAGGTGGAACCAACCCCAGAGTCGAAAGTTGGAAGAAAATGCGGGAGGATCGGGCAAAGAGGAGGAAGTAGCCGTTGTTCACGATCCAAGCCGTGAGTTCATGGTCATTATGACAAAATTAAACAGTTTATGTGTTTATATGACTAAACGAATTATTGAATCACATGTCCATCAACATTACGAGACATTTGGAGCACAAATCCACCTTATTGTGAGATTTGGAATCGGTACTAAGAGTTCGTACACGTGCACGTTTGGTCATTATGACACAATTAAGCGGTTTATGTGTTTATATGCGTAAACCAATCAATGAATCACATGTCCATCAAGAATACAAGACTTTTACAACACGAATCCCCCTTGTTGTACGATTTGTAATTGGTACAAATAGTTCATACTCGTGCACGTTTAGTCATTATGACACAATTAAATAGTTTTTATGTTTATAAGACTAAACCAATCAATGAATCACAAGTACATCAACATTAGGTATACATTTGGAGCACAAATCACCATTATTTTACAATTTGGACTCGGTAATAACAGTTCGTACTCGTGCACGTTTTGTCATTATTATACAATTAAGCGGTTTATGTGTTTATATGACTAAATCAATCAATGAATCACAAGTCCATCAACATTGCTAGACATTTGGAGCCAAGATCCCCATATTGTACGATTTGTACTCGGTGCTAAGAATTCATAATCGTGCACGTTTGGTCATTAGGACACAATTAAGCGGTTTATGTGTTTATATGACTAAACCAATCAATGATTCACATCTCCATCAACATTACAAGACATCTGGAGCACAAATCCCCCTTGTTGTACAATTTGGACTCGGTACTAAGAGTTCGTACTCGTGCATGTTAAGTCATTATGACACAATTAAGTGGCTATGTTTTTATATAACTAAACCAATAATTGAATCACATGTCCATCGACATTACAAGATATTTGGAGCATGAATCCCTTATTGTATGATTTGTACTCGGTACTTCGAGTTCGTACTCGTGCACATTTTGTCATTATCATAGAATTATGCGGTTTATGTGTTTCTATGACTAAACCAATCACTGAATCACAAGTCCATCAACATTACAAGACATTTGGGTCACAAATCCCCCTTATTGTAGCAATTTGGACTCGGTACTAATAGTTCGTACTCGTGCATGTTTTGTCATTATGACACTTAAGCGGTTTATATGACTATACCAATCAATCAATTACATGCACATAAACAATACGAGAGATTCGGAGCATAAATACCCCTTCTTATACAATTTGGATTCGGTACTAAGAGTTCGTACCCTTGCACGTTTGGTAATTATGACACAATTAAGTGGTTTATGTGTTTATATGACTAAATGAATCATTGAATCACATGTCCATCAACATTAAGATACATTTGAGCACAAATCCCCCTTATCGTACGATTTGGACTCGGTACTAAGAGTTCATACACGTGCATGTTTGATCTTTATGACACAACTAAGCAGTTTATGTGTTTATATGACTAAACCAATCAATGATTCACATGTCTATCAACATTACAAGATATTTGGAGCACAAATCCCCCTTGTTGTACAATTTGGACTCGGTACTAAGAGTTCGTACTCGTGCACGTTATGTCATTACGACACACTTAAGCGGTTTATGTTTTTATATGACTAAACAAATAATTCAATCACATGTCCATCAACATTACAAAGACATTTGGAGCATGAATCCCCTTATTATACGATTTTACTCAGTACTTAGAGTTCATAATCATGCAGGTTTGGTCATTATAACACAATTAAGCGGTTTATGTGTTTATGTGATCAAACCAATCAATGATTCACATGTCCACTAACATTACAAGACATTTGGAGCACGAATCCTCCTTATTGTACAATTTGAACTCGGTACTAAGAGTTCGTACTTGTGCACGTTTTGTCATTATGACAAAATTAAGTGGTTTATGTGTATATATGATTAAACCAATCAATGATTCACATGTCCACCAACATTACAAGATATTTGGAGCACGAATCCCCCTTATTGTACAATTTGGACTCGGTACTAAGAGTTCGTACTCTTGCACATTTTGCCATTATGACAGTTAAGTGGTTTATGTGTTTATATGACTAAAACAATCAATGAATCTCATGCAAATCAACATTACGAGAGATTGGAGCATAAAAGCCACTTATTGTACAATTTGGACTCGAACTAAGAGTTCATACTCCTGCAGGATTGGTAATTATGACACAATTAAGCGGTTCATGGTGAACATATAAGGTGACAGTGGAAATATTTTATATAATTTTTACAAATGTAATATTTTCACAAAATTGTGTTGCTTTTAATTACTTTTATTCATTCTAGTAATTCGTTTTATTTTTCATTCATGTAATATTTTCATGTTAATATATATGTAATGAGTAACATGTTTGTTGAAGGTATATATAAAAATTATTACTCACTTATTCATGAAATAACTGCGAATAGCCTAAACCCAATAGTATATGAATATAAACATGACATTCTTTCTGATTATTGAATGTGTAATGAATATAAATAAAACTTAAATTATTTTGTCGACCCTATCAGATCGTAGCCATTCCTACAAATGTAGTCAAAAGGACAATTCTACGTAAAACCGTTTTAGTGACCTAGAAGCGCAAGACTGTAAGTTTTTAAGCTTTAAAACGTAGATTTTAACTTTGTAAGTATATGAAAATTGCGATTGTGTGAAAAGTGCGATTGTGTGATTTGAGAATTTACGACAATTGCAAATATCCATATTTGGTTTTGCTGTGCATACTTTGTTGTGCCTTTTCTGGATTTCAGAATAACAGGGAAAGATTCTAGCTTTCCGGTTTAATCCTTCCTGCTTTATTGTTGCTATATGATCCAATTGATTTGCCTTCGTGCCCTAGAACTTCATGAACAAACATCATATATGAATATAGGGTGTTCTTTGAAGCTTACGTATTGATGAATATGTTGAACTGGATGCATATTGATCTGCCCTAGAACTTCATGAACGGGATGCGTATTGATGAATATGCTGAATCTCATAATGGACTTATTTGAATTTTTATGTTGTACTAGTACTTAATTAATATAAGATGTTGTACTTGTATTGTGTTTATTTGTAGTTTAAAAACTATTTAATTCGAATTAAAAATTATAATCATGGCTAGGGTTGTATGATAATCAAGAATCAGAAAATAGAATGAAGCAACTAAACAGGTTTTCATTTTCAGAACTCACTTTCAGAACTCACCAAAATTCTCAGCTAAACAAGGTTTTTTCAGGTTTTGTTTTCCAGGAAATGACAGTTTTGTTTTCATTTTAATTTTGTTTTCTGTTGTGGCAGCTAACAGAAATGGAATGGGCATGTAAACGACCATAAATGTAAATATATAAATTTGTACGCTTCAAAACGAAATTTTGAGTACATTAATTCCTACTAATCGCCATTTTTACAAAGCTGAATTTTAGGGAAGGATGGAGTTTCTGCCGTGGATAAAAAGGAACCGCCGTTAGTGCTCCAAATGTACCGCGTTGGGCAACAACACGAGCCCAACCTGAAACCCCTCCATATAAAAACCCTCAAAGCGCCGGACGGAACTTCGCAGTCAGCACGCGGAACAGTCACAGAATCAACAGGACCGCCGCTCCTCCTCCTCCCTCTATTTCCCCCGGCTCGGCGTCTCCATCTCGCTCTCTTACTCCGTAAACCCTACCATATCCAATCCATATTCGCGCAATGGGTAGGCCTTCGCAATTCCTTATCGCCGTTTATTGATTCTGCTCTCTCTTTTATCCGTTGGTGAAGAACTTCTTCGATGCTCGATGCTCGTCTCTCTGCTTCCGATCTGACTGGCTGTTACTTTCTAGCTGGTGGTTTTGGTTTAGTTCGCGTAATTTGATGTGAAAACGCGTGCTAAGCATTGTCTTGTAGTTATAGTTGGGAGTTTGTGAATTTGTTATTGTTTCATCAATCGATGTCCGTCTCCCTCTGCTCAGGTTTATCCCGTAGCAGTTCTCGTGTATGAGTTCTATGAGGTTATGCAGTAGTTTAGGATTTGTTTGGGGGATTATTGGGGAAATTTAGTGGTTTTGCTTCTGTGAGAATCTGCAGTAATTTCTTTGCTTGGAGCTCCATTATTTTTGGATTAGTTGGATTCATTGCCTAGTCTGGTGCTGCTATTGTTTCATTGACATGGATGACACTGTGTTATCCTAACTTGGTGGCGGGTCTTAACATTGGTCTACTGTCTGCTCTTGTGGTGTTTGTTGATAGATATTGAAGAAGATATCCGTGCATTGCAGCTTGATTCTGCAGGTGGTAATCGTAATGTATACACTATCCATCTTTTATAAGTCAGTTGTTGAAGTTGTGGATTCACTTCTTACACTGTATGCTGTTAAATTGAATAATGCGTAGAAGAGAATAATGGGGCCATAAATCCAGAAGATGCACAGCCTGAACATGTTGAAGAGGTCGATAAAATGGATGAAGGTTGGTGGCTTAGGCATGATTGTAGCGATTGGATTAATTTTTTTTTGTTTTTGCCCTTTTCACACATTCTTCTGCCTGCTCATAGTTGTATTGAGTTCTTTTAGGCGCAACCCTTATAAGTAAAGAATCATTAAGGCATTTCTAAACTGTTTGGAATGCATTTCATGCCATTTAGATAGTTGTTATCTTACAAGCCATTTAGTTCCATAGTGCTAAAACCTGTATGACACTATGACTATGTATGTTGGGTCTTTTGAGTCCTTGCAGCTTGGCTGTAAATTAGGCAAATGTTCCCTGGGTCTTTATTCTTCATATGTGCAACTTATGTGAGAATGCATCCTCACGAACTGGTCCTTCACATGTAGACTAGGGGACAAAGAAACGATGATCCTATGGGGGGGTTTTTTTTTTTTTGTGAATATAAGACGCTGGTTGTCTGCGGTTTAGATCTTTTTAGATGCTGCTGCTTACATTTTTGGCTGGTTGCAAAATAGTTTATGTTTTTTGGTTGATGGAGGACAATGCACTATTTGCCGTGGGAATAACATCTACTGTTGAAGGGCTTCTTTTGTGACATTAAGTTTGATCTTTCTTAAGTTTTCCTCTCTTTAACCTGCTTTTCCTTGATTCAAGCAACAAACTCTTGGATGTCCTGGAGAAACTAGATATATAATCTGATGGCTAGCTTGTGAACTAGTTTAGTGGAGTATTAATTGTGCTTGGTGCTGTATGAATCGATCTCCTTATTGGTTTTGGTTTCAATATTGGTAGATTCAAAACCCGACACTTCTGTGAGCAGCGAGGAGGTGCAGCAAGCTGAGGCAGAAGGTCTAATGGGCCACTTCTGCCGCTATTTTCTGATTTTATAGTTTATTTCTATTTCTCTACTTATCGGGATTGGTTATGCAGTGCCACACAAGGAAGTACGTGCACCAGAAGTGGAAGAGCCATCTAAGGAGGAAGTGGGGAATAAGAAGCGGCATCTAAATGTTGTTTTTATTGGACATGTTGGTAAGTTGGCTTGGATATTGGTACTTCCATTAAAATTGAAGATACCTGCACAAGTTATGTAACACAGCTGGTTGTCTTTTCATAGACAGTTCTCAGCTCAGTATCTTGAAGGATGCTGTATTCATTGTTGTATTTTTATCTCAATGCTTATTTTTCTTTTTTTGTTTTTTGTTTTCTCAAATACATTAGCTGAGTTGTTTCTAACTTCCTTATTTCTTTTTGAAAGTACTAAGATAATTTACTTTGGGTTTGCAGATGCTGGCAAGTCCACCACTGGAGGCCAGATACTGTTTCTCAGTGGTCAGGTTGATGACCGTACAATTCAGAAATATGAAAAAGAAGCAAAGGATAAAAGTAGAGAAAGCTGGTACATTCTGGTTCTCAGAATGGATTAACAGTAAATGATATTATGTTCTTTTTTTGGCTTTATTGAATGAAATGCAAAAAAAAAAAAAAACTTCCCTTAGTTGTGCTCCATATGATTGAAGCTATCTCTGAATTGAAGAGACTTGTGGTCGTCTAGTATGCTATACACCCGACTTGAGATGTTATGTTGGCCAATAGAGCAGATTTTGATGGCTATTGTCAGGATTCTTAGTTTTATTTAACCTGTTTAACCCATCATTAATTGGTCCTGATTTATAGGTACATGGCGTATATCATGGACACCAATGAAGAGGAGAGACTCAAGGTTTGTTCTGAGAATGGCTTCTCGCTGAATCATATCCCTGAGATGTTGCTTAGCTATAGTTTAATGTTTCTTTTCATCAATTCCTTGGTCTTGCTTATTTATATGTCATGTGTTGCTGACTCTAGGGAAAAACTGTTGAAGTTGGAAGAGCTCATTTTGAAACAGAGACAACAAGATTCACCATTTTAGACGCGCCGGTGAGTGAATGTTGCTTGTATCTCGTCTACATTGACTTAAATTTAAGTTAGATTGGTCGGTTGGTGCCTGGCATTGGTGTTATGTTCTTGTTCATTGCAAATGTGCTACCCACAAATCTCGCTGCCCACTCTCTTGTTCTTCATCCCCTCTCTGCTCCATTGTTGAAGTCCAGTTTAATGTGTTACTACCTATTTATAGGATGGCATTGTTGCCAAATCTATAAAAAGAAGTTTAAAAACTTACCACAGAGGGCCATAAATCACTCACGATGGTATGTTGGTGATTGATCAGCCGCCATTCCATCCTTGTTTTCATGCTGTGAATGCTATTCCATCAAAGAAGTTTCAGTCACATGTGTCATTAACACAATCATTACTGTAAGTAGGATAGTTATCGAAGTGGTCTTGTGCTTCCAAATTCTTCTGAAAGAAGTTCGAAAACCGACCACTTGAGAATTTAGAAATTACTAGCGATGGGCTGTTTTGTGATTGATGTGCTACAATTCATCAGTGGCTTCATGCATTGGTGCTGTTGCGTCAAAGAGGCCTCAGATACATTGTTCATGAACACGATTATTAGTCAAGTAGAAGGATAGTTAGAAAGTGCAGCTAGGCCCATAATTAAGGAATCCTTGAATAGTGTGTGGTATTCATTCCTAAGGAATCATCTGTTTAGTATGGTACTTGGTGAACAGTTGTCTTTCTCTCCTTATCTTTTCCTTAGCCACTTTGTATAGTAGATATTTGCATATGCATCGGCCTTCGGATGCTATCTGGCTTTCCTGTTGAGTAAAGTAGAATGTAAAGTACTGTTTGAATTATGTTAGACAAATGATCCTGGGAAAGTAGTTATAGTTTCGGACTTCCACAGAATTCTTAGTTAGGAACCAAGATTGCAATGCCAATCTATGGTGGGGTAATTTGGAAGCAAGTTTTTGTTTTGTTTTTCTGTCTATACATGTTAAATTTGTCCCGCATGCCATTAAATCCTTTTCCAATAATAATATCTTTATGTTCTTTGAATGAATACAGGGTCACAAGAGTTACGTTCCAAATATGATAAGTGGAGCATCTCAAGCTGACATTGGGGTTCTTGTAAGTGTTAACTACAAATCTGTTAGTCATTTTTAGTTGTAGGTTCCCCAATATTAAAGTTTTTGAACCCTTGTTCCATTTGCTTAGGTAATTTCTGCACGAAAAGGTGAATTTGAAACTGGATATGAGAGAGGTGGCCAAACCCGTGAACACGTTCAGCTGGCAAAGACCTTGGGTGTCTCTAAGCTGATTGTCGTTGTCAACAAAATGGATGATCCTACTGTAAATTGGTCAAAAGAAAGGTGACTTATTCTTGGGCACTATTTCCTTGAGCTATTCAAGTTCAAGTAATGCGTTTTGTTTACTCTGATCTGGTTCATCAATTATTAGGTATGACGAAATTGAATCTAAGATGGTACCATTCCTCAAGTCTTCTGGTTACAATGTAAAGAAAGGTATTAAAGTTTTCTGGTTCACTTGGATATATTATTTGTGTCTTAGGAATATTATCAGTGGGCACGGATTTCTGTGGGATGATACGAGCCTATATTAATTTACTTCTTCGCACCTGGTTTGATCTGCTTGGCAATTTCAGAAAGTACTTCCTCAAAATTTTACTGTTTCGCCCGTTCTTAAGCTACAGACATGTATCACCATTGCTTTTGTTTCTCTTTACACAATCATAGTGCACTTCTGGTTTTTAGGATGCCTTCTTAATTAAAATTGTTAAATCAAACAACTTGTAACATAGTGGGGCTTGCACATATTGGAGTTTGATCCTCCTTTTCTTTGTAGATCTCGTATTCCTACCGATATCTGGTCTGATAGGCGCAAACATGAAAACTAGAATGGATAAAACCATCTGTTCATGGTGGTCCGGCCCATGTCTCTTTGAAGCTCTTGATTCCATTGAAGTTCCTCCTCGAGATCCTAATGGTCCTTTTAGGTATGGTATGTTCCCCTTGTTGACTTTGTTTTTTTCCTATCACATTGATCTGCATTTTTTTCGTTTATCACTACATTTCCTGTGTGGTTCGTCTATTAAAGCTCTTGGTTGTATGTTCTGCATTGGATGTCACTTCAATCAACTTATGACTTTAGAGATATACACAGTCAGCTGATGTTTTTTCTCACAAACATGGACATAATGCAACCCTGGGGGGTTGGATTTTTACCAAAGTACGCAGCAACACAATCAATCCAAGTATTGGATTGATTAAAACGAAATTCGAACAAAAAACAAGGATGTTCTTGGGTGTTTGGATAAAACGGAATCAAACGTGCTATCTTTCACGTGGAAGAAGGCTCGAATGATATAAAGGTAGATGCCCGCCCACGATCAATGTGGTTTTGATCAATACAGAGCTGAACTCGAGCACGGAATCCACCAAAGCTCTCACAAGTACTCAACTTGCACAAAATCTAAAGATTTCTTTTCGATTAATCAAAGTCTAACTATTACAATGAAAACTAGAAGGTATTTAAAGGCAAATAAACCTAATACAAACCTAATAGAACTAGGAAACAATTAAGGTAAAAATCTAATCTAAAAATGAAACAAAATTCGGGTTTAAACATTCTTTCTTGAAGCACAAGTAAGCTGGCAACAAACAGTCCAAAAGCAGCTTTCGCACTAACTTCGCGCCTTTCGTTCAAGGCCTTCCAGAACTCCAATCTTTCATCCAATTCCTTCCATTTGTTCACAAACATACCTAGTTTCATGTTGTGAAAGTCTTTTGACTTGAGTCCCATCCATGCTCCTTGAATTGAGCTCAAATTAGGCTTCACAAAACAGTTTTCTGCCTTAGCCATTTTCTGGCAGGTTTCCAGTTTTGAGGTAGCAAATTTGAGGCCTTGGAAAACAACCTTAATGACATCTTCTGGATCCAAAAAGCATACCATTGGAAATATGACAACTTTGTCTTCAAAAGAAACCCTTAACCTTGAATTTCCATTAAGCTAATTGAGAGAACCATGCCTCCAAAGTAGGTACCCTGAACACGGATTTTGACTTGGCCAAATTCTGCCCTTCTTCTTCCCAACTTCGATAGCTTCTTTGTCAAGTAAATTAAACGTGTATAATGGACCATTTGAGATCATATTAGGCCCTCCCTCTTGAAAAAGTGTTGCCCTCAACACTTTGGCCTTTCGTTGCTCAAACCGTTCACAGAATTGATCCCAAATCGGATCGAAAGTAGGTTGCCCAAACACAATTTGCGCCACAAAAATTGCGCCTTCTAACATGGCATCAATCGGTTCCAACTCCTTGGTAGTATTCCCAGACGCACCTGCCACACAAAAATTGACCAAATCTGGGCACAGAATCAGATTTTTCACATTTAAGCACTCCGGCCAAAATTTTCCAGATTGGGGATTTCTTCTGGGGGCCTTCTTGATCAAATTCGTGCCCTTTAACTGCATCGCAGGGCTTCCAGTAAGCGATCCCCATAATTTTTGTGCGTCGACTTGGCCTGTGTCGTCCCCAATCATCATTGACGCATCTCCAGCCATGGGGAATTTCAAAATATCCAAAAATCGGCAAAGCAAACCCAGTTTCCGGCGACCAAGGATTGAAATTGGGAAATTTTAATTCCAGAGTTTTTTTGCGGGTTTCTCTGCCCTTACACCATCCTTGGGAACCCTGAAATCTAACCCAAGTGTCAGAATAACTCGAATCACGCTCAAACTCCAAATTCGATTCACCATTCTTGGACTCGACTTCTTCACAATTCGGTTTGAATTTCCCAAATTGGGCATTTTCAATTCAGGATTCTTCGCGGTAAATTGAATGATCCTATAGCTTCCTGGGATTGTTTTTGATGATCCCACAACAGCCTTTGGTGTCGAATCAACCTCAGAATCTCCATCCCATTCAAACATTTTCATGTCGAGTTCTGCCGTTTTCAGTGGAGTTCTACGCCGAATCGGATGCCGCGATTCAGCTTGTTTTGACGCGATCGCTCTCAGCGTATTCGTTACTGGGGTGTCCACGAGTGTGTTGGCAGTGTCGGCTTCGATTGATTCAGTCCCCAAGTCTCCACCCACTTCTCTCTCTCCCATGCCCTGCTTTGTTGACGGAAAACAGAGTTCTTCAGCTCCGACGAGCTGGTTTTCTTCAACGCGCTGAAACTCCGGCTCCTTCAACGGTGACTCCCAAGCTGAATCCTCCACTTCCTTAGCTTGTTCCTCCTCGTCACGGAGCTTTTGTAGCAGGGTTGATCGATTTTCAGCAGCTTCTTCTGGCGACAGAAGCTTTAGAGCAAAAAGCTTCCCACAATGCCTCAACATGATGTGATTCGTTCTTCTGCTGCATCGAGCACCGCAATCGACATGCCAAGGACTACCAAGCACCACATGAGTCATCTACAAAGGCACCACGTCGCACTGAACGAAATCTTCGTAGCTCCCAATCCGGAATGGCAAGATGACCTCCTCTGTAACGAAAACAGAGTTTTCTGTTTCCAGCAATAAAACCGAGTGAGGCACGGGATGTTTTAGAGTCAGCAACCCCAATTTAGCCACTGCCCCTGAGCTAATCAGGTTTGATTGGCTCTCACTATTGACGTACACAAAGCACACCTTCTCGCCCACCAAACAGCGAGTATAGGACGTCAAATTCGCTTGTTCTAATTCACTCACCATGGCTGCCTTGTTTCTCGACGAATTCTGCTTGTATGAAACAACATGTTTTCGACTTCTTCGCCCTTGTGTAGAACCAAGCTCTGATACTTCTTAATGCAACCTTGGGGGGTTGTATTTTTACCAAAGTACGCAGCAACACAATCAATCCAAGGATTGGATTGATTAAAACGAAATTCGAACCAAAAACAAGGATGTTATTGGATGTTTGGATAAAACGATCAAACGTGCAATCTTTCACGTGGAAGAAGGCTCGAATGATATAAAGGTAGATTGGATTGATTAAAACGAAATTCGAACCTAAAACAAGGATGTTCTTGGATGTTTGGATAAAACGATCAAACGTGCAATCTTTCACGTGGAAGAAGGCTCGAATGATATAAAGGTAGATTGCCCTCCCATGATGAATGTGGTTTTGATTGATACAGAGCTAAACTCGAGCTTGGAATCCACCAAAGCTCTCACAAGTACGCAACTTGCAAAAATCCTAAAGGATTCTTTTCGATTAATCAAAGTCTAACTATTACAACGAAAACTAGAAGGTATTTAAAGGCAAATAAACCTAATACAAACCTAATAGAACTAGGAAACAATTAAGGTAAAAATCTAATCTAAAATGGACACAAAATTCGGGTTTAAACTTCCTTTCTTGAAGCACAAGTAAGCTGCCAGTAAACAGTCCAAAAGCAGCTTTCGTACTAACTTCACGCCTTTCGTTCAAGGCCTTCCAGAACTCCAATCCTTCGTCCAATTCCTTCCCTTTGTTCTGTTCACAAACATACCTAGTTTCATGTTGTGGAAGCCTTTTGACTTGAATCTCTTCCATGCTCCTTGAATTGAGCTCCAAAGTAGGCTTCACAAAACAGTTTTCTGCCTTAGTCATTTTCAGGCAGTTTTCCAGTTTTGAGGTAGCAACTTTGAGGCCGTGGAAAACAACATTAATGACATCTTCTGGATCCAAAAAATATATCATTGGAAATATGACAACTTTATCTTCAAAACAAACCATTAACCTTGAATTTCCATCAAGCCAATTGAGAGAACCATGCCTCCAAAGTAGGTACCCTGAACACGGATTTTGACTTAGCCAAATTCTGCTTTTCTTCTTCCCAACTTCGATAACTTCTTCCTCAAATAAATTAAACGTGTATAATGGACCATTTGGGATCATATCAGGACATGTTTTCTGTCACAATCCAGTGTTTTGGAAATTGTTTCAGTTTAGGAGGAATGTTATCATCGTGATTTTCGTTCCCGGTTCCGCTATAGAATTGTGTATTTTACACAAGTTGCAGTTTAGTGGGTTTCTTCCACATCTTAATACTTGACTTTTCCTCCGTAAACCATGTACTGAACATGTTACAATTATCTTTGACTTAGGATGCCCATCATTGATAAATTTAAGGACATGGGAACTGTTGTTATGGGAAAAGTGGAATCTGGCACTGTGACCGAGGGCGACTCCTTGTTGGTGATGCCTAATAAGGTTTGTATTCTGGAGTCCTTTGTATCTGCTAGGTGCTCCTCTTTTGTTCATAATTTTGATTGTTGATTTAATCATCTTGCAGACTCTTCAGAATTTTGATTGTTAATTGAATCATCTTGCAGACCCATGTGAAAGTTGTTGGAGTATACATCGACGAAAATAAGGTTAGGCGTGCAGGACCTGGGGAGAATCTACGGGTTAGATTATCTGGAATCGATGATGAAGATATATTAGCTGGTTTTGTATTGTCCAGTGTTGGTAAGATAACCATATCCCACAACTTTCCTGGCTAGTAACAGAATTTACTCTACCTCATTAATAGATCAACTTGTGGATTTGATTCGAGTAACATGAAATCCAATGAATATATAAGACATTTTTTTGTTTGGTTTTGCGAGATTGATTGACTCCTCATTTTTGGGAAATGATCACTATTGGTTGAACTCGGTTGATGTTTGCAGAATATTTAGCTGTCTGAGCTTTGAAGTGTATGGGCAGTATTTAAGATTGGATCTTGCTTCTGATATTTAGTTCTAACACCTAGCTGTTTGTGTAGCAAAACCTATTGTTGGAGTTACGGAGTTCATCGCTCAGTTGCAGATCCTTGAGCTGTTGGATAATGTATGCTGGTCTCCTTTCTCTATCTACTTGCTGTTGTGCATGGTATCTGAACGTAATGTATACATTTTCTGCTGTAGGCAATTTTTACGGCTGGTTACAAAGCTGTTCTGCACATCCATTCTGTTGTTGAAGAATGTGAGATCACTGAGCTAATTGAGCAAATAGATCTGAAGACTAGGAAAGCTATGAAGAAGAGACCCCTTTTTGTGAAGAATGGTGCAATTGTCAAGTGCCGTATTCAGGTAAGTACCCCTTGGAATTCGATCTGCAAGTTTTCAGTAGTAGGAAAAATCCGAAATATCCTCTGGTGTTCCTTGGCTCAGTTGATGACCGATCTTTTTTTTTTCTCACCTTATCGATCCTTGGATATGAAAAGCATATTTTGATGATTATCTCTTTTCATTACTAACAGGTGAATAGCACGATATGCGTAGAACTTTTCTCGGATTTCCCGCAACTGGGCAGATTCACTCTTAGAACCGAGGGTAACTGGATCGACTGATTGCCCTCGGGCTATACTGAACTGTTGTGTTGACTGGCTTGGTTCTGAAATGAACATTTGACCTTGCAGGGAAGACAATTGCGGTCGGTAAAGTAATGAAACTTCCTGCGATTTCAGCTTAAGCAATTTTGTCGTATGAGGTGAGTCGGCTAATGCTTCTTAAAGACTCGTCCGGGTGGAAGTTTCCTGCGCTCAACAACTCGATCGGCTTTGTTTGTGACAGGTGATGCCCTCGCCGGTGCAAGAAGGTTAAATATTCACGTACGGTGGCTCCTTGGTTTTCTGTAGTGAACATCGACTGTAGAGTGTTTGTTGCTGCTTACTGGGTGTGGGGGTGGATGATTCTGTTATAGCCAGTAAATTTGTTCTTTAGTTGTGATAACACTCCGAGGAGAGGGGTTTTAGTTTTGCCCTCCATGAGATATGTTGTGATTTTGTGGAATAGTCGTCATACTTTAATAACCCGTTACATAACTCTTATTATGGGATCATATTCATTGCTTTTATTGTTAGTATGTTGAATGTTCGTGTGGTGCGAGGTTCTGCCAGCGTAACTAGCAGCGAATCTGAATCCAACTCGGCCCGTTTAACCCTCTCGAGATTGGGACGGCGGTGCTGGTAAGGAACAGGATAGAGAACCAACCATAAAGGATGATCCTTTCTTCTTCTGGTGGCAATCGTTTCTGGTGCGGATGCTACCGTGTTGTTATACCAACTGAATGCTTCAGACATTGATTCACACATGCTGCCCTTTAATGCATCAATAGAATAGTAGTGCTAGAACAAGTAAACTCGTTATGAAGGAAACTTGGATACAGAGGAATTACATTACAAGATACAGCAGCTGCTGATGGTGCTCTTTTACTGTGGCTTCACTAAGTGAAATGAGCGCGCATCATGGGAGTGGCGATGGTGAAGTACTGAACCAGTGTTTCCCTGGACGGAAGGCATTCCTTGATCACCGGGACCTCGACGAATTCGCGACCCCATCGGCACAGACCTGGGAACTTCTGAGGGTCAAGCAGCTTCATCTCCCCAATTTCTTCCATTACCTCAACCCAAAGAGGGATCCAGCCCAACACCAAATCCAAATACCCAATCCTCTCCTCCCTTCCTTCTTCTTCGTCATCGCCTCCAGTGCCGAAGAATTTCTTGCCCTGAATCAGCTTCTCAAGATGCTCAAACCTTTCAATTGCAACTTCTATGGCCTTGTCCTTCTTTTCTCCTTTCAGCCGCCAGTAAGTATCCCATGCTCCAGCCGCGCACTGTTGAAAACGACCAACAGCAATTGGATGAATGAATGATACAAGAAGAAGGAGGAGAATCATACTGTGTACCTTTTCGTCGGCGAATTTGGCCCAGAATCGAGCTTGGGATCTTGGATAAGGATGCTTGGGGAGCAAGGAAGGGGCTGAAGGCCACGTCTCATCGATGTATTCGAGGATTGCGAGCGATTCAATGATTGGGTTTTCGCCATGGACGAGCACGGGGACTTTCTTGTGCACGGGATTGTAATGGAGAAGGATGGGGCCCTTGTTGATAAGATCTTGTTCAAGGTACTCGTACTCGTGTATCCCTTTAAGCTTCAGTGCCAATTCCAGCCTGAAGCAGAATGGGCTGTATTTCGCTCCGATCAACTTCACCTCCGCCATTGTAGAAGCAAGATCTAGTTGCAAGATTCAGACGAGATCCACAAATTGAACCGCTTCGATGGCAGAGACTTGATAATATATGGACGAAATTTATGGTCAGCATGTGCTTTGTGACATCATGGCTTGCGTTGGATGGAATTATTTTCATTTATAACTGTTAACTGATTTTCTTCTGCTCTTCTTCAATGGCAACTAGAAAGTTGCATCTTTCTAACTGTAAGAGCTCAAGCAGCTTTGAAGTTTGAACTAATCGTGTGCGAGGAAACAGCCATGTTCAAGATTTTCTGCCCATTTTGATTGCGGGTATGATATTAATCTGCTTAGTATGACAAACGACAATGGTTGTGGACTTGGGGGTATGATATTAATCGGTAAGGCGTCTCACTTTGCATTCAAATTCGTCGATAACTAAAACTTTTAGATAAGGATGTTCAAACCCTTCAAACTAAAGACAGTCTCTCTTCCGTTTCTACATTAACCGACCGAATACACATAATAATTCTTATTCTTATGAAAGCTGGGTATGCTTTTTGGCCCAATACTCTATTTACTGTTTCACTTTTTGACGTTTTGTGGGCGACGGCTAAAACAACTTGTCACGTACTTCGTTCTCCGTCCTGGCCCGGCCGTAACTTCTCTGCTCCGCAGAAGCCAGCCATCCCACGCTACCTTTACCCCAAAATCAGCAATCACATAGCAGTGTTTTAGTCATGTTACTCATGTCCATCTTTTCACCATTCCAATCTGCTTTTCCAAATTTCTCACTCTCTCTGCAACTGCTCAAACACGCCATCTCACATTTTTTCTTAAACCTCGCATTGTCGTACATAAACCAACCATGACGAAAAGACCAGTCGTAGTTTCTTCTTCTCTCTCTGTCCTCATCCCATCATCTTCCCTGAAGCACCTACTATCTGTGACAAAGAAACCAATCTCCTTCTGTCATTCCTTCCTTCCATCCTTCCTTCCCTCCCATCCCTCTCCTTCTCCAAACCATACCTCAAAGGCAGAAACTAGTTGGCCAGTCTGCCTTTTCCATGTCCCACTGCCGGACCGTCGTTCTCTGCCCAAGCCTCCGCCATTTCCAGTTCACCAACAGCAACGACCACGAGAGGAAAGGCAAAAAGGCAAGAAAAGGGACAAATCCCTTACCTTCGTTGCACATGATCTCTCTTTCTCAGTGATTTGACGGCAAAAAGATGTTCTGGATGAGTATTGTGTGCAGGGAGGATTTGCTTATAGAAATTTCTGTGGTGAAGGTATGTTCGATCAGTTGATTTTGATTCTTCTTGCTTGCGTTGATACATGTTGGAGTATTGGAAAAAATTTCAGGCTTTGATTTTGATTTTGTTCTTTGGCAAGGTAGGAGTAGAGGCACTGTGCACTAAAAGCTTTATCATGAGCTTTGGGCCATTGATGAAGAACCCGCAATAGGCTGGACGAACATGTTTCTCACGAACATGTATATTTTCCCCCTCTCTCCATTGGTGCATCTAGGTCAGTTCTTTGACATTGGTGCCTCTTAAGAAACGGTCGATTGACAAGAAGAGGACACAAGAAGCGGTCCTTCACAATTTCAGAGCATAAATCGATCATGTTAGGTGAGTTTACTCAATTATCAATCTCTTAATTTTATTCCTTACACAAACATAACTCAAGTACCTAATTTCCTTCTACCAAAATCATTCACAGGTTGGTACATGTGGTGTATAATGATCTAAATTGATCTAGCATATGGAGAAGTATAAAATTAGCTAAAGCGTCACTCTATCAATGAATCTGAAGCTAGCAGTATTCCATTTGGATTTTCTTTTGTTGAGTTGTTGCTCATTCTAGATAAGTCTTCTTTGTTTCAGAATGTTTCAGTGGTAACATTTGCCTTTCATTTTTTGTTGTTTTGATATGGGATTACAGTGGGATACTGTAACTTTTGGGACTGCTGCATTTGTATGAAGAAGGGTGATTGGAGTTTGAGTTGTGGGTCTGCTCCTGCTGCTGGTAATGCTGCATTTGGGAGTGGAGACTTGCTAACTAGACTCGATTGTTCACCTGAAAAGGTTTACCAGCCACCCTTTGTTCATCAGTAATTATGCTCATCGCTTGCAAGTTACAAAAACAACTACTCTTTTTATTTGGCATGCCTGGATCCTGTTCTTTTGAAGTGGGGTAAAACTTACTCTCATCATTTATCCTGGATTGTTTCCGTCCAAGGAAGACCTCCACGCCGCCGAGGAATATTATCACAAGGCAACACGAGTGGAGCTTAGAGATGATGAGATATTAATACAGTATGCATAACTGGGGTGGGAGCTCCACCGCGGTTGAGATAAAGCAATGAATGGGTTGCTTCGAATGTGTAGCTCTGGCTTCTCCTCAAGACAGGTAATATAATATCTTTTTTCATCAGACTTTTCTCTCACATTGTTTCTGCTATTAATGAGCATGACTGATATTCCTCTATAATTTATTCATGTTGCCGCAATATAATTATGTCAAGTGTTGTTAGCTCAACGGCCTGATCCCAACGCCCTAAGAGTATGCTCTGTCAGCCTACAGATTCTTATAATTTTCTATTCCTGTTTTGTTCCTCAATTTGTTCTTCATTGTTGTTCTGAAGATTTCATTAAACTGTTCTTCAGTATGTTAATATCTATTGTGTCCTGTCCAAATTAGTAAGATTTCATTAAACTATGACTAAACTAGGATTTTGCTTGCCGATACTAATACTAATTATAGAATGTACATTGCGATTTTGTAAGTGTATCTTTTGTAGAAAAAAGCTACATATCAGTTATTTGTATCTTTACTTCCATTGGCCTCTTTCATTTTGTGCTTTTAGGTTTACGAAGTTCGCAATCCTAAGCCAGCAGTGTGATCAGTGATGTAGCCCCTCTCGATTCTCTCACTTCACTCATCTTGAACATGTTGTTGTGCCTGTGGGGGCTACTTTCATGTCTGCTTTTCGTTACTGGTATCAGGGCACAGTAAGAAGTGAGGAGTCAAGCCAATCAACGACCGAAGAATTAAGTTCAGAGCTTTTTTGTATTCCAGTTCTAACCATTGCCTGTAAGGTTATGACTAAACATTGCACAATTCCCTCATAATTTTCTTCTCGCCCCAAGAATTTCCTTCTCCCCAAGAAACAATTTGCCTATAGTTGTCCGCTCATATTTTCCTTCAATGGTGTAGTTGCACTCTGGTCATCTATACTCTAGATGCAAGAATAGCCACTTTGATTTCCTTAGACATGGAAAATGATTGGCGTTAGTGTTTTACATTATAATTAGGAGATTAAGTATTTTTTGTATTTGGTTCTTGCCTCTATCGTTCCAATTTAATTTTACAGATAAGTTGCATAAAGTTTATATGTGCTTCCCTCTTTTCCCCCTTCTCTGCCCTTATTTAGCTATTACGGTAACAATTAACTATGAGATTGACTAATCAAAGCACTATGAAACTCAAGATACAAAGGTTTGCCAACCATACTTCCATTACTTTGAAATCCGGACCACTGGAAAGAACGCGACCTCAATTTGACATCAATTGAACTAGCCACTAAAACAATATGATGATACAAATTTAGTTCCGTGGGTATTGATTCTAGTTTCTTTAAATTCCGTCTCTCTATTTCACGTACCACTATTCTTTTACTGTACTAATTTGGAGGTCAGAAAACGTGGACCACCACTCCTCTCCACAGATTCTTTCACTCCCAAACAGATCGGACAAGAAAGCCTGAATAAGAACCCCTAATTATCATTACCAACCGGATTGTCGAAACAGATACTCCCTTGTTTCATTAGTTTGTCTTGGTGCAAGGGAGCTCTTATAGTCCCCAACTTATTCAAACTACACCTAGCTAGCTAGACTTACTAATGGAGAAAAAGATAACTACAAACTCGATGCTGCAGTGTGGGATTCATCACTTCATCCGATTGACTGGGATGAGGATGAGCGGTTCTTTCTTGGACACAGTCAAGCTGACGCCACTCTGTTCTTCCATGGTCACATCCTCCGCCGTCATCCCATCGGGCAATTTCCAATCGAAGCAACACAACAGATTCGCCAGCGCAATTTCCACTGTAATCGTTCCCATGTGTATTCCAGGACAGACTCTGCGGCCGGATCCAAAGGGCAGGTACTCGAAGCTCTGCCCTTTGAACTCCAACGAGCTGTCCTCGAATCTCTCCGGCAAGAACTTGTCAGGTTCCGGCCAGTGATTCGGATCTCGCCCGATCCCCCAAGCGTTGACGTAGATCATCGTCTTTGGGGGAACATCGTATCCGTTGATTTTCACCGGGGAGATGGATTCTCTGGGGAGCAGCAGAGGCGCCGGTGGGTGGAGCCTGAGAGTTTCTTTGATGACCATTTTGAGGTATTCGAGTTTGTCGACGTCGTCTTCGGTGACTCTGTTTTTGTGGCCGGCAACGCTTCTGACTTGTGCCTGTGCTTTCTTCATTAGCCTGGGGTTGGCTAGAAGCTCGGCCATGGCCCAGTTCACGGTCAGTGCAGCCGTGTCAATTCCTCCCAAGAAAAAGTTCTGACAATGTCATATTCATATCAAAGTGAAAGATTAGTTGAAGATGGCATCAGCAAAAAATTGTAACACGACACTAATACTTTCCAATGTAGACATTTCAATTTTCAAATGATTTTCGCAACTTGTGAAAAAAAGAGTGTAATGGTGAATCCAGATTTCTGATTGTATCAAAATTGTCTCATTCTCTGTTGTTAACTTAAAACACAGAAGAGACAGAGAGGGTGGCTACCAATACCATACCAGGAGAACAGCCTTAATATTTTCTATCCCGAACAGAGACTTGCCACCGCCACCGAGCTGTTGTCGAGATTGCTCCCTGTAAATTCGGAGCAGCACGTCGATCATATCTTCCTCACCATCCCCTCCTTCCCTTCCCTGCTTAACATGTTCATCGATGACATGCTGGAAGAAACCGTCGAGCTCACTAAAAACCTTGTCAATCCTCGCCTGATGACCAGTCCACCTGTCGACAATCCAACCCAATCCTCGCGGGAAGCACTCCTCCGCCGACATGCTTCCGGCGACGACCTCTGCCTCGTGAATCACCTCGTGAAACTTGTTCTTGTCGAACTCGGTCCCGTGGTAGTCGAACCCGAACGACATCCTGAATGTCACGTTCGCCGTGAGAGAGTAGAGTTTTTCGGTGAGGTTGATTTGATCAGCTCCGGAGGTGACGATGGAGTCGATCAGCAACCCGACTTCCTGTTCCCGGACGAACCGAAACGACCTGAAACAGAGCGAGCGGCGGAGCTAGGTTATATCCAGGAAGTGCTGTGCTACTACCCAGCTCAATTTTGAAATACGGATAAATTTACATGTGACATTCGTATAAATTTAGAAAATTGACTAGTCGCTACGTATCACGATTCAAAATCGATCCTCTGTCGTTTAGATTTCTGTTCTGGCTCCGCCAGCCACTGACCTGACCCTCTTAAGGCTGAAGAGCTCGAGGATGATGATCTTCCTCATGAAGCGCCAGTTGTCGCCGTAGGGGGAGAAGGCGACGTCGAGGTAGTCGTAGGTGAGGCGCCGCGTCCCTGCCATGGAGGGGCGGCTGCAGGTGGCGAGGTCGTGGAGTTTCATCACTTCTCTGGCGGCTTCAGGGGAGGAGATTACCACAGCCGGTACGCGGCCCAAGTGGAATTGCATCACGGGACCGTATTTCTTGGAGAGCCGCCAGAGTGACTGATGGGGCAGAGCGCCGAGCTGATGCAAGTTGCCCAGAATCGGAAGCTTAGGAGGAGTTGGTGGTAGATTGGTTTTTTTACAAGATAGTAAGTAGTTCCTGATGAACAAGGCCAGAAGGGGAATAAGGGAGAGGATGATGAGGATGAGGGGCGCCATTGCAGCTTTGTTAGAGGTTCTTCTTCTTCTTGTTTAATTTTATCGGAAAATATATAGATGGTTGGGGGATGAATGAACTGTCAAGTCCAAAACTGGCCTACGTTTCTAACGTGCTACTTTTCCAAGGACCATAGAGGATTGTAGCAGCCATATGAGAAAAAGGGAGGGAGAAATCACAGTCACAGAGGTTTACGTGTCGATCAAAGACAAGTAAATTATAGTTAGTACCTATACTTTTTATTCTTCACAATTTGGTCTCTAAACTTTATTTTTTTTATTCGAGAAATGTCATTGAAAAATTACGTTTCGATTATTATGACATTTTAGTACCTAAAATTTTCAAAATTTACGTATTGGTCCAAGGCTTGGATATCATTTTGGATATATGTATCAATCTAGGAATTCATATCATCCAATCAATTTAATCCGTGAATCTGCCAATCCAATCAACTAATCTATGAATTCAATATATTTGCCACTCTAACACTAGCACTGGACCCGGCCCATTGGTCGGGAAATTTTGGTAATTGTGTATATTGTATGTATTGTGGACCAATATAATATTTGTTTTATTCAATATTTGACTACAAATTATATGATAACAGTTTGAGTAAAAATTATCTAACCAAGTAGTAGAACTATGTAGAATATGCTTACTAAGTAATTGAAAGTTGAAAAAATATACTATCACTAACAAAGATGTCCAATTAATAGTCTGACACATATTTATAGAAAAAGAGTACGCTACTTATATATTTTATGTAGATGAACATTAGAGATGCTTCCCTTCATAACTACGTAATCAATTCCTTTAAAAAAACTACGTAATCAAGTTAGAAGGTGTTTGTACCTACTAGCTCGAGGCATGAACAATAATGATTGTTGGTGTGGGTTGACTCGTCATCCGTTCGTCCGATCTCGTCGGGTGGGAGAGAACCTGTGAAAGAGCCGGGGTTGCCCCCCGGATTAAGCTCCGACGATCAAGTCAGTGTCTGTTTGTGGAGAGAGTTGAGAGAATAGATAGAGAGATAAAGTGTAGAGAGATAGGAGAAAGTGGAAAGTCAGGGGAGAGGGAAGAACTCCCCTTTCTTGGTGGGTTTCGTACCTTTATATACTCGTAGCGGGTTTCAATTGTTAGGGGTGTTACTAAGATACTCCGCTCACAGACTAAGTAAGACCACGTCCAATCGACAACATATGGCGCTCGAAACCCGCTACGAGTATATAAAGGTACGAAACCCACCAAGAAAGGGGAGTTCTTCCCTCTCCCCTGACTTTCCACTTTCTCCTATCTCTCTACACTTTATCTCTCTATCTATTCTCTCAACTCTCTCCACAAACAGACACTGACTTGATCGTCGGAGCTTAATCCGGGGGGCAACTCCGGCTCTTTCACAGGTTCTCTCCCTCCCGACGAGATCAGACGAACGGATGACGAGTCAACCCACACCAACAATCATTATTGTTCATGCCTCGAGCTAGTAGGTACAAACAATTGGCGCCCACCGTGGGGCAGATTTGGTCATTCGTCCGTTCGGTCTCAGCAAAAAGGAGGAGATATGTGAAAACGGAGGATGATTGAAGCTGAACAGAAAAGAGAAAGAAGAAAAGTTTCAGATCTGGCGACTTTCGGGGGAAGAAACAGAAAGCTCGAAATCCTTCTTCTTTCATAATGACGAGCAGCAGCAGCAAACTGCAGAGGCGAGCAACAGAAGAAAAAAAAAAAGAGCTAGCACTGTAGCCGATTCATCATTCTCATACTCAGCCTCGACGATGACGACCGCAGCCTCCTCAGTGAGCTCCGAAATCCTGCAAAATAGCAAACCAAAGCAGCAACATAACCTCTAGAAACACATCTGATAAAGTTGGAGAGAAAAACAGGAGAGCAAGAAATTTCCAGATTCCAACCGCCGGAGACAGATCCGACACCGGAGCTCCGGCAAGAACAAAGGAAAATGGCGCCATCACGATTCACGAGTTGTTGTCAAGTCAATTCTCATTTCACTGCTACTCCACAGTACGCAGACCCGCTGCTCAAAAAGGTCTCAGTCAAACCTTCTCTCTTCCTGTCAAGAGGAAAACACGGGCACAGTTTTCGAGCAACCTTGTGGGGTCCAGGTTGGGAAAGACAGAATGCCGAAAAACAAGAGTGCTCGGTGAACAACTATAGGGGATGGCGGCGCTCGTTACCAAACGAAACCACTCCGTTTTCTCCGCCATCTCCACCTCATCAACGGGAGCGCGAAAAGCCGGCATCGCGCATCCCAAGTCCAGCATAGTGCTTTTGCCCTCTCCGTGCACTCTGCACTCTCCACCCCTGACTCTATTCTTACCGGCGCCCAGTTGTAATTCAGCTTCTCGGCGCGGTCGTGTAATGGGCTTTGTCCGCCTGATCACTCCTCTCATTCGCGCTTCCAGCTACTCCTCGTTTACGCCTATAAGCGGCATCCGCTCCTGCCTCTGCTTTACTCACTGCCGCCACTTCTCTCTTTTTCTTCCCGACAAGTTCCTCTGCTCCCAACGATCACCACCGTTGTTGTCGCTCTCCCGCTTCCAGCACAAGCACTGATCACCGCCTCACCCTCCGTCAAAATCACGATCGCCAACCTGATCCGAGCCGCGCGGAACTCCAACTAAGGCGACAAAATCTTATGCGGCTTTGTCTAGCGTCGCACCGCAGTCAATCGTTCCACCCACACCTCCTTCTTAGAACAAGCGGATCCGCCAAAGCACAACTCGAACTGGTTGCGCAACTCGACTACGGCGCTCTGTGTCTCTCCAACGGTTGCGCGACTATCCCATTCCTACTGGCGCCCACCGCCATTCGACTCTCACCCGACCTCCACCTTCTCTGCCTTGCCTCAAATCCCGTTAACTCTACCGCCGTTTGTTCCGCGCCTCTAAGGTCAAAGGAGAACAACAACAACAACAAAAAAAAAGGGAGAAAGAGGGGAGAAAGACCGTCTGGCACCCACGCCCTCTCCCCACTCGCGGACCGCCCCAAGCCGCCTCCATCCAGTCCGCTCAAACTCGAGGCCCGCTGCTCCATGGGCTCCGTCCGCTAGTGCAGGCCCGAAATATTCAGCATCAACTAGACCCAATCCGCTTCAAGACATAGCATTCTATTTTTTTTTTTTAAACAAAATTTTGTGCTTCCGCCAGGGTTTGAACCCGCACCAGTGCATCGCCCTTCAACTACACAAGCCAGTACAACACAAGGACAACTTGTAGGATAAAGTCGCGGCATCTTTTTTATCAAGAAAACACCACGCTCAGCTCGCGGCCCGCTTCAAGTCTTACTCTCCACGTATCCAACTCGCGGCCCAAGCAACACTCCGCTCGACCGCTCCACGTATCCAACGCGCGGCCACAGTCAGGACGCCCTCGTTAAACGTCCGCGTAGATGAAGCCCGAGTCAAAAATAAAATCGTCACCGCCAATACTCGAACCTGCACCACTCTTCCGCGAGACAAGCAACATTACTAGCAGGCTATAACTCGAGTTGTATTTCAATGGCGCAGCGCCTGCCTTTCAACTACTCCTGCCGCCACTGCCAATATAAAGCTAAGTTCTCTATCCCTCCATCATTATTAAATTTTTAAAATATTTTACGTTCCTAAGCGTTAATGGCGCTAATGGGGGGCAAGACACACCCAACAACGTGGGAGATGAGAAACGCACCAAGCTCTTAACGCCTTGAAGACTCCAAACTGGGGGTTAAAACCCCGACGAGGAGAGGGCACATTGCCTTGAAGACTCCAAACTGAGGGTTTTTAACCCCGACGAGGAGAACTCCAAACTGAGGGTTAAAAACCCCGACGAGGAGAACTCCAAACTGAGGGTTTTTAACCCCGACGAGGAGAACTCCAAACTGAGGGCTAAAAACCCCGACGAGGAGAGCTCCAAACTGAGGGTTTTTAACCCCGACGAGGAGAACTCCAAACTGAGGGTTAAAAACCCCGACGAGGAGAGGGCACATTGCCTTGAAGACTCCAAACTGAGGGCTAAAAACTCCGACGAGGAGAACTCCAAACTGAGGGTTTTTAACCCCGACGAGGAGAACTCCAAACTGAGGGTTAAAAACCCCGACGAGGAGAGCTCCAAACTAAGGGCTAAAAACCCCGACGAGGAGAACTCCAAACTGAGGGTTTTTAACCCCGACGAGGAGAACTCCAAACTGAGGGTTAAAAACCCCGACGAGGAGAGGGCAACCACCACCAACTATAATCTGTTCTACCCAGCCACTACTGTGAGCATGCATGTCATCCGCTTGCCGCATATTAAAATGTCATGACTTGGGCATATGACAATTTGAATCCGTCTCATAGGGTAGTACTCGACCCGACTCGGATAGTATTCGACTCGCAGTAGTGTGAGACAGGTTATGAGTACTATTTCTACCCTGTCTCGTCCTATCCGGGTCCCATTCTTGACATATTTTACTTGGATTTGTCTTAAAACCTATTATATTTTGAAAATTTCATCTTTCAACTAATTGGACTTAGTTAATTTAACTTTCATGTACTATAACGTTACTAAACACATCTACACTACATATCACGTCTTTTATTGGAAACACCATCCAAAATCTTTTACTAACAAGGTCCATTTATACCGGGGGCGGACCCAGGGCACTTTGAGGGTGTCCGGGGACAACCCTAAATTTTGGGAAATTATTTTTCAACCCCTGATGGTAATTTACGTATGGACAAAAAATTTATAATTGATATTGAGGGACACCCCTGAAATTTGAAAAAAATGATTATGCTACTCACATTTTTTAAATTGCGTATGGGAATATTAAGTGGTAGTTTGAATAACTCAAACCTAGGACACAATTATTATTAGTCAACATAATTTCCATTAGGCTACAACTCATTTATTGTTTGATTTTAAACACTGCGTAATAGTAAAATGTCATTTCCTATCTCTAATATTTTTCAAAACCTAACAATTAAACTAATTTCAAGCTAGCCTTAATTTGTATTGATTTTATGGTTGTACAACAAGTGTTGAAAGAGTTTTTTCAACTTTGGGTTACATCAAGAACAAGTTTAGAAATCGAATATGTGATCAATTCATGAATAATTGTCTAGTAGATATACAAATAAATGTTTTTTTTTTTGTGGAGTGTATACATCAAATATATTCTACAATTATTTTCTAATATGAAACACATCATAGAATTTTTTTAACTTGTACGAGTCATGTATTTTCTTATTTAATAATTATTATTTTCATTTAATTTATTTTTTTAAAAGAGGACACCCCTATACAAAATTCATGGGTCCGCCACTAATTTATACCTATATGAAAAGACAAATCCAATGACTTACATATATACGTGAGAAGTTTAATCTCACTATATTTCAATACAGCTCCAACAATTCTCAGTACATCCTTTGAAAAGAGAAAACAATGCAAAAAATGAGAAAATCGAGTCGTCGTGAAAGCATACATCTAATATCACCGCCCATTATCAATTATATTATCACGACAATCTCTCCACCGGCATCGTGGTATCATGAACTCTATCACTAGCCTTCTTTGCCTGTAAACAAAATATGGAAAAAGAGCAAACAACAAACCATGAGTAATTTGGTGTAATTAACATACATATAAACGTGTATGAAAGCTTGTGTTGGCACACTTACTTCTTGTTCCCAGTTGGTGCGAATGGTAATAATGGCAAGCAGAATTCCTTGCACCACCAAAGCACATAAGATCCCGAGGTACAGACCCTTTCCACCAACGTGAAGAACAAAGGCAAACAAAATGCCACATGGTATTCCCACGATGTAATACGACCCCAGGTTTATATACGCTCCAATCTCCTGCCAACCGCATCCCCTAGCCGTCCCTGATACATAAAAACAACAAAGCAATCGCTAAAAACAGATCGGTATAATCGATAATGCAAGAAAGTTAAAAAAACCCCTTATATTTACGTGATTCATTTATACAATATACTTGACAATATTCCAGATTATAGAGGGATTGAGAAGTATATATAATACTTTTCTAAACTGGGTCTAACCCTAAACCTAACCCAATACACTATAGATTGTGGGAACCTTGCTCCCCCGAGCTCCCTAACCTGGCGCTTCGCCCCTGAACCCCCTACTCGCTCACCAAACAATGAAATCCCTTGACTTTTAGTGGGCGACAGATAATCGGATTCAATTCATCATATCAACACCCATATCACGGACTGAACAGCTAACACTTGGTTATACAACTTTAATCTGTGGTAATTGTAAGTTGTAACATACCTGAAAGCACACACTGGATGGCGTCCAGAAAGTTGGCAGCTGCAACAATGGGCATTATCTGAGCTACATAGTCGATCACCGGTTGGTCGTTGCTGTAGGCACGACCCCAAACATTGCGTATTGAGAACAAGATCACCGCAAGCAAAACCCCTTCCGCTACGGCCAATCCGACCACCACGATCACCGCCAGGCGTGCACGAGCAGGACGCCCTGCTCCCAGCTCGTTCGACACCCTCGTGCTGCTCACATTGATGATTAACCATTTCAGGAATATGAAACATTGATCGATCTTATAACTTGTGCAGTATATCTTTGATGAACTAACCTTACAGCGCCACCTAGTCCATAGGCGATCATCCACACCGTTGCTGCTGTGTTCAGGCTACATAGACCAAAAAAAAAATTGTTCAATGATATAATGATAAACTCAGTGGCGAAGCTGGGAGTTGATAATAGAACTGTCCCTTTATCATAATAATAATAATAATAATATTAATATTAACCATAAAATAAAAATATCTAAATAATGTATGTGTAGAAAATTTATTTTTTGACTACTCGGCTCTCATTTTCATAAACAATGTTTTCATTTATGAAAGAAGTATAACATACATTCATTTTCTACACTATTTAGTTAACACTTTGGCGAAGAGGTAGAGAATATATACAAGGGAAGGGAGAGCAGCTAAGCTGATCGCTTTGTTTGGGAAGGAGGGGTAAGGGCTGGGGGGCGTAAATGGCAGGGGGAAGTGGGGAACCCGAGGAAGAAGCCCTCGTTTGGATAGTTTGGAACAATTCTGGGGGTGGGCAAACTAGGGGTTTTTTCACTGTTTTAACTTGCGAGAAGAAGAGAGTCTGATTAGGGATTCGATGTAAGTGGGGGTTTAGTTTAGGGTGTTATAAATAAGTTTACTGACAATTAAATCACAAAAAATAAGCTATAGTGCAGTAACTAAAATAACTTCGTGTTAACCCAGATGTGTACATCAGTCGTACGCTAGCATTTGCCATATATATTTTATATTAATTATATTTTTTACTCAAAAACTTGGTGTGTCCCGCCGTGGTCTAACTCCACCTATCATTCATTAATTAATTAATATGGTTGACTAACACAATACACGTATCACTTTAGTATCAGTTTAGTTTATGGCGTTTATACTAACAATTTGGCTAAGATAAGTTGATCTATAGATTCAAGGAATCTCATTACCTTATGGAAAGCACAGATGTCTCGAGCTCCGGGTTAGGAAGAAGGCCAGAAGCAAGAACCAACATCTCAAATGACCACATTTCCAAGCTGCACATTCATTCAAATTAAACACAAAATTAAAAGACAGAGACCCCATTTATATAAAATTAATTACAACATTGACATGTACGGCTTTTGTGTTACTGTAATTGAAATGTAACGTTACCAAACCATGGAAGCGGACGGAATGGCGAGCTTGAGGAAAGTCCAGATATCTCTGAAAGCTTCCCGCGAAAATCCGGTCCAGGTCTTGGCACAGGAAGGCGAGAACTTTATGTACAACGAGAGCGACAGGACGTTGACCCAATTGGAGATGGAGATGGAGATGGCGGCGCCGATCATACCGAGGGCGAACTTGAAGACCAGCAGCCAGCAGAGGAGGAGGTGGAGGAGGGCCGCGGCGGCGGAGCAGAGGACCATGGGGAAGACGATGCTCTGCGTCTGGAGGAACTTGACGAGGCACTGCAGGATGCCGTAGGCGAAGATGGACGGGATCATGAACTGGGCGTACGTGCCGGCGCCGGCGGAGATGTCGGCCTGTTGGCCCAGTGCCTTCAGGATTGGGCCCGTGTTGGCCCATATTAGGGTTAGGGGAATGCTGACGGATAATAGGACCACGATGGCTCTTTGTGTGTGGATGCTCATCATGTGGTACTGTTTGGCTCCATAGGCTTGCCCGCAGAACGTGTCTAGGGCGCTTGACATTCCCAGCTAGGTCATATGAACCCGAAAATAAAAACAAAAAAGAATTGGATGGATCAACGGTCAGTAGGATAGGATCAAAGTCATGAGAAACGAAGTTCAATAGTGAAGATATCCTAGAACAAAAGACTAGTCCAACATTGGGGATTTTTCCAGAAATAGCACTGTTTAAAAAAAAATTCCAAAAATAGCACCTAAGTCCGAAAAATTCCAAAAATAGCACCCTTTTCCAAAAACCGCTCCCTACCAGTGCGGTTTAGGCGAAAACCGCCACCCAGAGGCGCGTTTTTCGATGAAAACCGCACCCCTGGGGGCGGTTTTGCAGACCGCACCCCCACCATGCGATTTGGTTGCAGATCGCACCCCCAGGGTGCAATTTGGTTGCAGATCGCACCCCGAGGGTGCGATCTGCTTTTTTTTTTTTTTTGAAAAATCCTAACCTAGGTGGAAACTTCAAACGGACGTATCTTTGTGTTCGGGTATCCAATCGTCGCAAATTGTTTTTTGATTCCGCATAACTTTTTGAGATCTTGCAAGCCAAAGGTGGTTGGGTCTCGCCTTCATCCCAAAAAATGTCGTTTGCTACCCCGAACGAGCTTTTTTCCGATTTCGTCAAACTTTGGACAACCATAACTTTGTGCTCCAAAATCCAAAAAACATGAATTATTTTTTTATTTCGCATAACTTTTTAAGGACTACAACTTTTATCATAGACACAATTTCAAAATGTACGTGGATTGCTGAGAAGGGAAGGTAAGCTATTCCCAAAATCCTGTATATCCAAAAATAATTCCTGTTTTGAAAATTCATTCTAGTATTAATTGTAGTCCTTAAAAAGTTATGCGAAATAAAAAAAAATTCATGTTGTTTGGATTTTGGAGCACAAAGTTATGGTTGTCCAAAGTTTGACGAAATCGGAAAAAAGCTCGTTCGGGGTAGCAAACGACATTTTTTAGGACGAAGGCAGGATCAAACCACCTTCGTCTTGCAAGATCTCAAAAAGTTATGCGGAATCAAAAAAAAATTCGCGACGATCGGATACCCGAACACAAAGATACGTTCGTTTGAAGTTTCCAACTAGGTTAGGATTTTTCAAAAAAAAAAAAAAAAAAACAGATCGCTCCCTGGGGGTGCGATCTGCAACCAAATCGCATGGTGGGGGTGCGGTCTGCAAAACCGCCCCCTGGGGGTGCGGTTTTCATCGAAAAACGCGCCCCTGGGTGGGGGTTTTTGCTTAAACCACACTGGTAGGGAGCGGTTTTTCAGAAAGGGTGCTATTTTTGGAATTTTTCGGAGTTGGGTGCTATTTTTGGATTTTTTTTAAACAGTGCTATTTCTGGAAAAATCCCCCAACATTGCACTTGGTCCAAATCTCGCTTCAAATTATTATTTTTTAAATAATTATAAAATTTATGAAACCAAACCAATGACACTAGAGATCTGGACAGTGCTAGGACGATTCAGTGTTTTTTTTTTGTCAAAAGATATCATATATTGATCAAATCAGAAGGTAGTTACACCCTGGAAGCCAGCCAGGTCTGGAAATCAAAAAAGCGACTCATAGTCGGGTACAAAGAGAGGGCTTTCCTAGCTACCAAATTAGCTACCCTATTGTTCTCCCGATGTACAAAACGCACTCTAAAGCCAGGCTGAGCACGGAAATATTGAACAATCTCTTCAAGAACAGCACTCAACCAGCTATCATTTGTGTTGGCCTGATTAATTTTGTCGATAATCACCTTCGCATCGCCCTCAAATCGGACCTCCGACAATACTTGCTCCATACACCAAATAATAGCTTCCCTAAGCACCAGCAATTCCACCACAGCGGGATCATCAATTTGAGCAAACTGGACCCCTCTAGCCAGAAAGAGTGTCCGAGCTGGGTCAAAAAGAACCATCCCACCCGCCGAATGAGACCCACCCTTAGTAGCCCCGTCCCACATGCAAACCCACTGGGAATCATCCAAATGCGCTGTTGAGGGCATTATTGGGATAAGAACCCTAGGCGCCTGATCCGCCGGAAGACCCATCCATTCCTCATACTGCTGGTAAAACTGCCGCATGAGTGTCGGGATCTCAAATTGCTTGCCTTCAAAGACCACCCAATTCCGAGATCTCCAGATCCTCCAAAGAATGGCAACAACAGCCATAACCATCGATGGGTGATGGAAGGAGAATTTGGGTGGATTTCTCTAACTTCATTTTAATTTTAATTTTTCAATGATCCTAAGTTTGGCGATAGCATGGTCAATGATCCTAAGTTTATGCTATCTTTAAGTATATTAATTAATCTTATTAGTAACTTATTATCAAATCAGCAAGCAAATTTGCAGACGGAAGACGAGGTTTGGAAGTGCATGTGGGGGAACGTGCGTAGATTTGATTCCAGCAGGCTGCCGTTTTACTCTCAAGCACAAGAAAACAAAAGCTGTTACTTTGTGAAAGTTACGACTATTGGAGGCACGTAGCCGCGGATCAACAAAGCCGGCCCGGCCCGATGAGAATGGGCCCACGCGTGCACCATCCAACAGCCGGGTCCATGTGTCGTTTTGCTTTCTCCCGTCGATCCACAGCCCGCCCCCCACCCCACCCCCGACTAATTATAAGGATGTCTTTGTCGTTTTGAATTAATACGACAAAGTTCATTCCTTGGCGTTTCTACCTTTGTCACATTGGGGGCTGGACCAAAAGATTTTAAAAATTGTCTAAAAAAGTAAAAAGTCTAATTAACAACAGTATCCTCAATCAATCATACGTAAGAAAAGTCTGTATTGATCGGTGAAATATCGTCAACCTCAACCTAGCTACTCATGATATGCTGTTCGGCTAAGATTAGATTAGCATCACATCAATGTCCCGATTGATAATATTTATCTTAGTATTCTTAATCAAAATTATTACCTTAGCTCAATAATGAGGGGCGGAGCTACACAAATTCTCAAGGATTTTGAATACAACATGTAAATGTATTGTGAATTTTGGAATTAGGTATTAACTAATTACTATTTAAAGTAAGAAAGTGTACATTATTATTATATAACGCAATTGCTTCTATCCTAGGGTGCATGTTGCTGGTCTAAAGTGAAAATTGACGAGTTTTGTTTCACAGTGGTAGCACTACAAATTATTGTTTTTTCTAAATATCAGGTCTGGGGCGGAGGGAGAGAGTTAGAGGGTGGGTCCCTGGCTCGGGTTAGAATATGACCAATTAGGTACAATAGTTAATCGGATATGAAAAATAATACGTATTTAAATGAAATTGGTTGACCTTTGAAATATTTGATGTATGATTTATAATTAGCATTGACATATTCAATGTATTTATAACGAGCTATGTACAAATGATAATGATGTATATGATTCGCCCAAAATTGAAGATGTATGTATTCAATATCTACAACAAAATTCCACCAAATCATAACTCATTTGTAAAAATAATTTTATTTCAATAAGGGGTAGGGAGATTGTAACAGTTATTTTCTAAGGACGAGAATGAGTAAATTAGTATAATAGTTAATTGAGAATGAAATTTAGGGCACTTCTAATTGAGAATGGTTGACCGAGATATCATTTGTACGAATATTTGGAACCCCATTTGTTAAACACATGATATTCGAATTTACGTAAACTTTAAGCACGCATAAGTTGGTTGTAGTAAACATGAAAGTGTTAGTAAATACTAATAGTATAAGATTCATTATTAAATCTTTCCTAACAACTCAAGCTAATGATACTAAACGGTCTTGACGAAGAACACAATTCAAAAGCAAATGTCTAACTAAATCATAAATAATTGTTTGATACATATATGGTGATATTCTTGATAGTTTTGATATATATATTTAATTTACCATGTTTTTGAAAATACAAAATTATATCATAAATGATTTAGAAAGCTAACAAAACTATTTTATCGTATGTATTTTTTCTAAACAGACCCACCCTCGATAAAATCCTGGCTACGCCCCTGTATCAGGTTACACATTTTTTTACTTTAGATCATATTTTTAGTGTTTATAATCATCTCAAATAACATAGTACGATTATTAAAACAACTACTTTTTTATTATTATATTATATTATAAACACACCACCATTTTTTAAAATCTTTTTCAATTTTTTGCGATAACAAATAAAAATATGGACGACGACGTCCAAATCCCGACTCCATCCCTATCAACAATAATAATAATATCTAATGATATGCTACTAATTAATCAAACAGCAACAGTATCCTAAAAAATACTTTTCCATTACGCACGGTTTCACAAACAGTAGTGCTTTCTCTAGTCTACTACCCAGTTTCCAATCCTAGGCTTCAATTCAATTTCAATTTCAATTCAGTGGTTGGCAAAATCTTAAAAGCACAATTAATGTTGATGATATATTATGGGGGCGCTTCAGAAACTCATGAATTTCAAATGGAGGAGATAAAAGGAAAAGGAGAGGAAATCAACTACATACCAACAAGCTGAAGCCGGTGACGGAGGCGAAGGAAGTGGCCATGGAAGCAGAGGACAAGCTGAGCTCTCCGAGGTGGCCCACAAACATCACCGATATGAGGGTGAGGCTGTACTGCAACAAGCTCACCGCTATCAGTGGCCCCGCCAGCCATACTTGCTTCTTCACTTCCTCACCCAACTCGCTTCTCGCCGCCGTCGTTCCGATCAAAGGTGCGCTCAGCGCCGCCGCCGCCGTTTCTTCTTCTCCTCCTCCGTGCCCCATCTTTATAATATATATCTCTATGTGGGTGGGTTTTTTTTCTTCTTTAACCCCAATTGAATTGATCAAAGAGAAGGACTTATTTAAAGAGGATTAAGTAGCTAGTGCGGGAGCTATTTAATTAATATTTATGGGGGGTGGGGGGGGGGGGGGGGGGGGGGGGGGGGGGACTGGAGACTGGACTGGTGGTAGCAGCTAGAATTGAAAGAGAGAAAAATTTAAGGATGAAAAACATGATTGTTTACTGAGTTACTATTTATATAATATAAACATGTGGACTGTGGTGGCGTTGGTTGGATAGCCACACATGATAATGATAATGATACACCTCTGCCCGTGACCTTGTTGCTTTCTTTTCCACTGCCACGGTTTTTTGTTGTTGTCAGTCATAGATAAGTGTTAAAGCACAACAACCTTCCTTTCGGCTTCGGGCGCATATGATAAAAGCACAACAACCAATCCAACGTGGCAGTTCACTAATAGTCAATAGAAGGACGTTCAATTCAATCCATAATCCTGCTGTACCCTGCCGTAAGAAGTAAAAGTAGATGAAAACAGACGAAATATAATGCATCCTTAGTCAACCGGGTTTCCTCCACAATTGCTCTGTCTAATGTCTATGTGTCCTCCATTCAGGGATCCTAGCTTGTTCTGTGCAGGATGCTAATGGTGGAGGGACGATTGTTTGACGGTGTGTTCGATCGATCAGTTGCTGGTGGAATGGAACTCCTAGCACTTCAACAGGCGATTTATATTATTGGTGTGCGATGCATGGGATGACGAGGGTTTTGTTTGTTGGATTATATACCTTCTCATATTATTTTGAGTAAAAAACAATTTAACAATAAAAGCACCAAGAAACTATCATTAAATTAACTATAAGATAACATGATCGAACGATCACTTGAATAGTTCGCATTATTTATTTATCTTCATAATATCATTGGTATGGATTGTTACTACTTTGCAAAACGGCCAATAAAAAAGACATTCACTATAATACTGGAAATCTCTATTCTGAGAGTTAGTTTCTTCTATTTGTTTATGTGGATCAAGAGCAAGACCTCTAAAATGACAGCTAAATTATTGGTCAATGTTATAAAATGGTCACTCAATGTTAAAACTATAAGTGGTTATTAAGCTTCTTCTAATTTAATTAATTGTGCTAAAATCAAATGGGTCATGTCACTTAAGTTTGTCCATTTTTGAATTCATTAATATGTATGTCCTCATTTATGTTGAGTCAAACTTGCCAATAACTTCAAACGGAACTTGGGTAGCAAGAAACAAGTCAGGTCTGAAATCACAAACCAAGGAATCTGATTGACAAATCAATAAAGAAAATCTCCTTATAAGGAAAAGACGAATTCGCACAAGAAAAGGAAAGACAGTTTGGTCTACAACAGCTATTTTTTATATATATATATATATATATATATTACTATATAAGATGAGGAGGCGGCTTAACTAGCTAGTAATGGAGCTCTTTATGGTGGAGGGACTGGTAGCAGCCACAATGAGAAGAAAAAAAAAAAAAAGGAAGAAAAACATGTTTATTTTGGATGGCCACACACCACTTTTTTATTTTGTCATCCATAAGTGGATAAAAAAGATAGTTAAAACATAACAACCATTCAAACGTACTAGTCGATCAATAGTCGAGATGTTGATGGAATAACATTAGCAACCCTTAATGCTCCGAGCCATTAGTTAAAATATCTAGAAAATGTGAACACCAAAATCCATGAGTTAGGCTCGAATATATCTTCCACTCGCCTAACTCTTCATTTGGCCTTGATTGAAACCCCTGTAGACATAACAACTGCCGAACCACTTTTTGAAATTCACGTCACCAGTCAGATGAAAGCGTCGTAGTCATAACCGAATAAAGCAAAACATAAGCAAATGAATAATGAGTGACGGTTAATGATACAATAGAGAACCTCTGTAAAAGCAACATGAAAAATTGATCATATTGAAAACCTAAGAGAATGGAATGGAAAGTGTGCCAACCTCGGGATGGTATAGCTCTAATAAATATCCAGAATCGACAAAGACATATACAATTTCTACCAGGGAACCATCACAAGGAACTCCAAAAGGACTCTACTGGCTCTTGCCAAAGGGGATCGCACAAAGGTCATTTCGCCAAATTTGCCAAAATGGTCATTTGACTCATTTCTCTTAAAATTTGTCTATTTTGCCTTAATGTGTATCAGTGTATGTCCTCATATACGTAGAGTCAAACTTGCCAATAACTTCGAACGAAACTTGGACAACAAGGAACAGGGGCGGAGCTAGGATTTGAGTCTCGGGGGGCCCGGATTTATTTGGTTTATCATCACGGAAAAATAAAATGTTTAAATTTTTAGTATATTTATAAATAAAACATGAATACTCATCAATATTATAGTTAAAAACAATTCATTGTATAACCAAAAGAAGACTTAAACATAATGATTTAAAATTTGATCAATTTATTTGAAATATAGGACTTGTAAAAGAAAATATGAAAATTGAAATGGTTAAAACAGTTAAATCCATATTAATAGAGCAATTAAACAACGAACAAAAAATTAATAATTCGCTTCAATATGTAACATGTTTTATTTAATTTTTTCATAAATGAAAATGAATGTCTGTTAATATTATTGTACAAAATTAATTCTATAATCAGAAGATACCTTTAAATATCAAGGTAAACAAACTAATCTATAATCAAAAGGAACCCTTATAATATGAGAGTTTAAGAATTGATAATTTATTGGTTTAGTTTGAAAATGGCAAGTTGACCAACGGAAGAAAAAAAGACAAGTTTCAAGGTTATGGAATAGCAAATAACAAGATAATATGCACCAAGTTGGATTCGAACCTGCACCCAAATGAAACAAGCTATGCATCTCTGCCACTCTACCATCCTCACTATCTTGCATCAATTTTGCACCCAATTCTACTTATACAAAAAATATAGTTTATACGTAATTTTTCGCTATTCTTCAAGGTTTTGTACATAACATCGAAATTCTGGCCCCACCTAGTTCCGCCCCTGACAAGGAACCTTTACAATTCAAATCAAGACATGGGATACAAGGAGTAAGGTTCAATCAGGAAAACAAGTCAAGAATGGAATCACTAGCTAATCAGGGTACAAATCAATAATCAAATGAAGAAATAAGAATTTGCAAAAAAAAAAAAAAAAAAAAAAACGAAAATAAGATTAGTTAAAAGGAGAGGATTATGAAGAAGTGCAACTTTCCTGACGATCAAAATCGCTAGAGAACAAAGGGTAGTTGTTGAGAGAGCTTAAATCGAAGAGGTACTATAGCAATTAGCAAAGGGGATTTGCTTAGTTCAAGCTTTGGGCAGAAAGCTTAGTGATCAGCATGTTTATGCTGAGTAAACATATAATAGGGGTGCTTGAAACACTTGTTATGGCTTTGCTGGATTGCAAGTTGTTTGTGAGAGTTTCTTGATTGACGATTCTGTCACTCAAGGAGAGTTGGTGTGATCGTTGTATTTTGGAGACAAATTGGCATAACAAGGAAGATAATACTCAATTATATCACACAAGGCGATCTTGGATCGTGGATTAGCCAGTGTTGATTACTTCAACATTGGATACTAAATAAATATTATGTGTTCCTTACTATAGTTTATGCAATTTCAAGTTTGTTGCCTATCTTGTGTTGTTGTTTTTGACTGTAAGCTTTAACCTAAAGATTTAAAGGAAAAAAAGGTTTGCGACAACTGGACTGAACGATAAGTTTAAGCCCGATGCATTTAGTTTAGCCTTGTGAAATTCAGCATACTAAGGCAGAGTATATTGGGATTACAAGTTTAAACTCGTTGCATTTTGTTAAGCTAAGCCACGAAAACAAGTTAGCAGTTCGAATTACAAACTTCATTTGATCAACAAGTTCGTTTCATTTCCTTCTTCATTGTGTTCCTTATGTTGGAGCTAGGGTTTCCACCAAAACTGAGAGTCAAAATCTCAGATTTGAGAGGGTAAAATGTGTGACGCCCGAACCAAAAATATGTAAATACACTACAAGAAAAATGGCTTTTTGCAACCAATAAAATTGGTTTCTAAAGGTCAAAAATTGGTTATAAATACCTTTTTGCGACCAAAATATTTGGGTAGCGGAATTGGTCGCTATAGCCGCGTTACTAATTCCTAGCGCAACCAAAATGTGGATTGGTAGCGAAAAAGAAAGCGTTCGCAACCAAATTTGCCAATGGCAAAAAACCCTACTTTTTCGCGACCAGTTTAAGTTGGTTGTCATAGTCCAACTTAATGGTTGGGAAATGTAATTGATTGGTCGCGAAAAATGTAAATGACAACCAATTTTATGTGACTATTAGTAACCAATTTTTTTGGTCGCAAATAGAATTTACGTACGTTTTATAGGTGACCATTCAATTTGGTTGGGAAATTAACATATATCAACCAATTATATCATTACAACAACCAATTGTTTAGGTTACGAAAATTTCACACAACCATGAAATTTGGTCGTGAAAAACACATATCCCGACCAATTATACCATTTTAGACGACTAATTATATTTGTTATAAAATTTTAACACAACCATAACAATTGGTCGTGAAAAACACATATCTCAACCAATTAAACCATTTTGGTGACCAATAGAATTGGTTATGAAAGTTTAACACAATCTTAAAAATTGGTCGTCAAAGATACATATATCGACCAATCATATCATTTTTCGCAACTAATCATTTTAGTTATTGAATTGTTATGCAACCATAAAATTTGGTCATCAAAAATCCATATCCCGACCAATCATATTATTTTAGGTAACTAATTTTATTAGTTATAAAAATTTAGCACAACCATAATAATTGGTCGTAAAATATATGAATGGTGACCAACTATACCCCTTACGACTAATTCTTATGGTTATAAAAGTTAAATGCAACCATAATAATTGGTTGCGAAAAACACATACGCCGACCAAAAAATTCATTTCATATGACCAATTTGGTCGATGAGATTTGAGTCACTAAAATGAAAATATAAAAAATTAATAGTATTATAATAACAAAATTATTTCATATAACAAAATTGTTTACCAACCAAAATTATCCACACACCATATCATGTCATCTAATCTGACACCTGCAGCGACAAGTTTTACAGCTGCTGTGATCTCTAATCTTCGACATCAGTTATACTGCCTGACATAATCATGCTGCCTGCATTAATCCTTCTCTCCTATTTCTTCCTTAATAGCCTTTATAGTTCAGAGGGCTTCTCCAATTTTGGGAGTACTCTTCACATAGCAGCCAAAGCATAACAAGCTTCTGTTTGTCAAAGTGCAGGTGACCATCTTGCCACTTCAGAAACATTTTCACACTCATCATTGCACCTCCATCACCATCTTCTTCCTCTTCACCATCATCTTCCTCTTCATCATCTCTCGCCTGTTTCAATTCTACTAACCATGGACTGCTGATATGATGCAAAGGCCGCCTCATCGCCACTCTTGCTCGAACCTTCGTTTCTACTGCTACCATTGGTGTCTCTACCCAGTTGATAGTCGAGCTCATCGTCAAACTCATCCGATCTGACACTAGTCTCTTCCTCATTGCTGCTTTCGTGTGGGTTCTCATCATCGTCCATCACGTTCGAGTCATCAAGATTTGCATCCTCTTTGTTCCCACCTCCGCTCTCACTCTCATATTCACGGTAGTGCTTGGCTCGAATCCTCACATGCTTCCCCTTGATGTATCTGAACTCCCACTTCGGCGGAGGGTACTTGGCTTTCAGCTTATCGTACATGTCCACCATGCCTCGATGCTGGAACACGGTCCCGATCATGTTGGCTATCGAAACACTCGGCTGGACGCCCAGTTCCTCCATGTCGGCAAAAATCTACAATGAAAGAGCTGCCATTTTAAGCAAACCACACATGAAAAATTTGTACAAAAGGAAAGCTGTCTCAAAGGGTTACCTCAAACATCTTGTCATGCATATCCCTCTTCACATGAATATAAAGATGGTTGCCTAGCCACATCCCCACAAATCGAAACATCAACAACGACTCCACTCTCATGCATCGTGTGGGAAACACATTATTTGCAGTTTTTGGTCATTTCGTATTATTGTCGGTTTTTAGTAATTGGGGGATTATTTGGGGTATTTGGGAAATAAACAGGGAGTCAATTGTTACGTTTTATTATTTGGGTAGAAGATAGGAATTATGCAGACTATATAATCAATAGTAGCGGTCTTATTTTTCATTAAGCAATTACAGAAAAAAAAAACCTAAAACCTAATCTTTCTCCCTCTCCCTTTCTCCTACGTTTCCCCTCTCCCTCTTCTCTTCCAAAAGCTGCGGCAGCATCAAACCTTCCCTCCCCTCTTCTTTGTTCTAAATCCCCAATTCCCAATCCCTAGTTAGATCTAATTGATCTAGCTAAATTCCCCAATCGCGAACCTGTTAGAAACCTTGTTTCTAACACATCGGGACAAGCAAATCACAAGATTCGGATTCACCTTGACAATCAGTGGAATTATAGATTTCTAAGTTCCCATGCTTCCATGATTGATCATCTCAGTTCATGATTCACCATTAAATTATGAAGCTCCTCTCGAGATCCTACTACTTTTACTACAAAACAGATACACAAATAAACCAAAATCAGTAGGCTCCAATGTTTATGCTCCACCAACAGGATGACATTCACATTCATGAAAACAATACCACATTCTTCTGTTTTTATTTATATTTTACAACCCAGTGATATGAAAAGGGTATCTTTCCAAGAAATGAAAAACAATACCTTGTCATCCAATCCAACATCTTCGAAACCAGAGAAAGCATGTGCATATAATACCTTAGCCCACTGCAATCAAAATTGTTAGTTAGAAACGGGACTACAATCATGACGAGCTCTGATTGGAGCATCTTTGTCTCCTCTGATCTAGTTCAGCTAAGTTCTCTAGTCCTACATTAGCCCAAGTTTTATGTTGCTAATTGAAAAGGCTATTAAGACTGAAAATGATAAAGAGCTTGAATTACTTACAATCACAATTACAATCAGACCACTAGTTGAAATAGAATTCTAAACACTACGCTAGTGGTTGACAGGTCTATGGTGATGATTTTAGGGGAAAATCGATATCTAGCTGGAATTCCATAGCAGAGAAATATGGCATCCTTGCACATCAAGACATTTCAACTATAAAAATGCTCCCGTACTGTCATTTCACTCTCAAATCCACCATCAGCAGGGGTTATGTTGAACCGAACATTAGGGACTAAGCCTATGTGTTTGTTTTTTTCGGTCCCAAGGAAATAATGTAAACAAAAATTAAAGCATCCGGTTAGAGATAAGTACTTACATCAATCCTTATGACTTCCACTCTGTTCCATCCCAGGTAACCATAATCTAAAGTAGAAAACAACAAGATCATTTAAATTTTAACATAATAATTCTCAACAGACTGACAAAAAAAAAAAAAAAAAAACAGTAGGGAACCTGTCTAAGGAAGTTTGCAAGCTTTTCACTTCAAACTTCTCTTGAATTAATTCACCTTCTTTTTGAGTCAACTTCACAGCCAATAATTCCACCTGCAATTTGCAGTAAGTGTCAGTTACCAACAGCAAATAGAGCATTTAGATGCAATGGAAACCCAGATGCATCAAAAGAGAACATACGCCCTGCCATACTTACCATAGAGATAGCCTGCTCAACATCTTCTTTGTTTCGCCCTGCCATACGTCCTCTCAAAGATTCTAATGCATCTCTCAAATTCTTCAAAAGTACATGCCCCTTAAGAGAAGCCACTTCCCTAACGTACATCAATTCTCATGCTATAAACAAACATAGAAAGAAGCATATCATCTATCTATCATACAAGGAAGCCTTAACCAGTAGGTTCAAGAAAGAAGCTTGTTCTCCTAACCTAAACACTAATTATTATCAATTTGATCAATGCAAAGAAGGCTGCAATCGCAATCAAATGCCATGGAACTTCTGCATCCTGCAAACAACACTCAATGGACAGTTCATAAAGATTTGCTTCAGGCGGTGACGTTGTTGCTTGCACTGCCTTTGTAGCAACTCATTGATAGAATCCTGAACAGGTTCTTCTTCAATATCCTCCACTTCTAGTTGCATCTGTTATGAAAAAATGGAACATAAAATGTCAGTAATGTGACATCATAAAAGCTAATAGAATAGGAAACTAATAGTACTTACACCAAGTCTATCATAGGCAGATGTTAAATGATTCTTCTTGAACTCTCGGGTCTAGCAAATCGGCATCTCATCAAAAAACTCTCGGCTGATCAGACCAAGCTCACTAGACAGCTTGGCAGATTGGACACCGTTAGTTGGTCGACCTTGCATAACGTCGATCTTGATAGGTAGCTTCTCCTTACCCATGGCAGCAGCCAACTTGACAGTATCCAAACCTCGGGTGGGGCCTCTAGTGTTGTTCTTCTTTTGATGATTTGGATTTTCATTCTCAGACGAAGAAAACATCCTATCTTCTTCTACCTCGAATTCATTAAGAATGTCTTCTTCTGGAGGTATGTAGTTGGCAGGAGACTTGAGCTTTTTTGAAATATTAGGTTGGGCAGACTGGTACCAAGAAGCAGGCAAGCCTCTAGTTTTCTTCTTCTTCTTCTTCTTCTTCTTCTTCTTCTTCTTCGTCTTCTTCTTCTCATTTGGATCATCAAGTACAACTTCTGAAGGTCCACTGTTTGGACAAACCTTGAACATCTTTGAAACATTAGGTTGAGTAGATTGTTTCGAAGAAGAAGCAAAGACTTTGTTGCCCTGCTGACTTTGGAGTTTCATATAGAGTGCCATGTTCAACTTATCCTGTATAAGAGAAATGGAACAAATTAGCATCATAATAAAAGGATTATGTATCGACGGACTATACTATTCTAGTTAGATATCATCAAACCATTACATCTGGGATCTATTTCCTTGTAATATTAACAAGAAGGTAGTCTAACTAATTAAACTTGTTAATCACTATTACACAACATTATCAGCCACAATACTGGCAGCAAGGCTAAGCCATCCAAGTCTATGATCTAACTCAAACAAACCAAAATAATAAAACACAAGAATCATTAATGAAGCTATAAAGAAACGAACAGTAACATATAGTCATATACGTTTATGAATCCAGGACAGGCGCACCAAAAGTTCCACTTGTTGGATGCTCTAAAACCTTATGGGGGTAAGTATTATATTAACCTCAGTGGCCAGCAATGCAAAACAAGCAGCTGAAGCGACAATACTACTGCAACATGAAACTGGTCGCAAGCCAGAGAAGTTTGCCTTTCAAGTCTGGAAGAATGCCTTCCAAGTCTTAACAAAGAAGTTTAAACACTCTAATATAGAGAAATGCATTGTGACTAAATGGAATCCAAGTTCACTTTCACTTCTCTGATCTCAAACAAGTAAATCGGCAATATACCGACTAAATCGAATTCAAGTTCAAATCTAGTTCAAATCCGAAATCAAGGTACGCCGACCACCCGAGATAAATTCAAATCCACAATAGAGATTCGAAGTGCCTCTTGAATTTGACTCAGCTCAAAAGTGAAAATGGGATTCCAACCGACTTTCGAAGTAGTTCAGCTTAGAGAGAGATCAGAAATAAGCTAGGATCTGAAGTTACCTTTTGAGAATCGATCGTGAGGGAGGAATTATTGCGCGAAGCAGATGAACTCTTTGCTTGCTTGAAACCGTGATTCTTCTGGAGACTGGAGAAGAGGAGGAGTTGGAGTCAGAATCGAAATCGGAATCGAAATCGAGAAGAAGAGGAGAAGAAACCGAATGGAATCGACATGATCGAGGAGACAGAAGAATAAGAGGAGAAGGAGAAATCGGATGGAATTGAATTACCAAAACCTTGTCTCTTACCCGACCACTTGGATGGGACCGAATTCACCTCTGACAAAGGATCTGTCGAGAGACTTAATAGTGAACGCCAATATTGGATTGTTTTGTTCAAAATTACTATGACAGCCCCTAAGTTTTAATAATAGTCAGAATAGTACCTACATTTTTATAGACTACTATGACAACCATATAATTTACTTGCTGTAAATTTATTATTGAATTTGCAACCAAATTATTTAGTTATCTAAGATTTTCAAATTTCTTGCTTAAATTCACAACCAATATTATTTGGTTGGAGAAAGTAAAAATCAATGTGCTACCGATTATTTGGTTGGAAAAACTAAAAATAATTTTGCTACCAAATCATTTGGTCTCTTCAAGTTTTATTTGGTTATCAATATTTTGACTTTAATAGACAACCAGATTTTTATTATTTTAGCTACCAAATATAATTGGTTGTATATACTACCCTTTTCACAACCAATTTTAGTTTGGTTGTACAATTTTTGGTTGCAAAAGCTAGTTTTTGTTGCAGTGATAGTACTCTTATATGACTATGTATAGAAATCCGATCCTATTCATTTCACTAAGAGTTGGCTTCGTTTCGTTGTTTTCATAAATATAATATTTTGGGTTAATACCGTAGTTTGGTCCGAAGTTTAGCGTAAGTGACAGTTCTGACCCCATTTTTCAAATAAAATATTTATGGCTTACTTTTGAAACTATTAGACTTGACCGTTAAAACTGATGGTCAAACATTTTCACCGTTATTGACTCATAAAAAAAACCGATGTGGCTGGTCCACATCATTAAATAATTATTTATTTTTCTGAAAAAATGGAAAACAAAATGAAACAAAGCAACCAATTAAAAAAAATCAAAAGCACAAAGTAATTACGGTCAAAATCGCTAATCACTCTCATCGGCAACTATCGCCCTCGCCGGTAAAATCCCTGATCTTCTTCCCGATAGTACACTTACCGACGATTGATGATTGAAGAATGAAGATGACAAGATGCAGGGGCCACCGGTGGGAAGATGGCGATTGACGATGGCGATTGACAATTGAAGATGACGATGGCGATTGAAGATGACTATTGACGATGATGATGGAGCTCGGTGGTCTTTCTTCTTGCTTTGGGTCCGGCAGAGGAAGAACTTGGGATTATGGAGGGTTCTACGATTGACGAAACCAAAAGCCTACTCTCTTGCTTTTCTTTTCTTACTCTGGCGGTGATCCGCTGGTGGCGAGTGGGGAGGTGAGATCCGATGACCAGAAGCCTACTCTCTTGCTTCTTCTTCTTCCACCAGACTTCTCGCCTCAATCCGCTTTATCTTCCTCCACCTTCCTTGCACTCTCCGATCAAGCGTTCAAGACAGATGATCGGAGATTCCACAAGAAGACGAACCGATTGAACGATAGGCAGACTCTCAAGGACGGACGATAGCGACAGCGACGATAGCGAGCGAAACTGGCCGACGTGATGGGAGTTGACGTTGGAGGGGGAGAAGGGTAGATGAAGTTGGTGCGGGTCTTGAGGCCGCGCATGGCTCTGACGGCGCAGTTGTAAGTGCAGGTGATAAGTCAGGTTGGAGAAGAAAAAAATGTAGTAGTTTAGCGTTTGAATTTGGGGATTTGGGTCTTTGCCTCTTTGGGGATTTTGCGATGATAAAAGGAGAGTTTTTTAATTTGTTAATTTTTTTAATTGAATTATAAAATTAACATACTATTATTTAATGACAGGCATCAGTATTTTTTTGCTGAGTCACTAACGAAATAGTGTTTGACCGTCAATATTAATAGTCAAAGAAAATTTTGGGCCAAATTTATCCAATAGTTTCAAAAGTAGTCTATAAATGTCTTATTTGAAAAATGTAGCCGGAACTGTCACTTACGCTAAATTTCGGGCCAAATTAGGGTATTAACCCTAATATTTTTGGTAATGAAAATGTAACACCCTAACCCCCCCGGGTATTACTTTTACTAAAATACCCTTGATAAATAAAATACTCAAATCTTAAATTGCAGCTGGAAAAATTTTACTAAATAAAATACTTTAAACACACACTTGTAGTTGAGAGCAACGCCCTAACACATGGACAAACTCAATACTTAAAAACTCAAAATGATTTCCAGTCTATACTCTTAATCATAAATGTAAATAACTAATAATCTCTAATGTTGTTGCTACTGAAAACCTTGACTAAACATCCTCCGTGACGCTTATCCTGCTCTCCTCTAGCTGGCTGCCCTCGCACTCGCTGCTCACTAACTGCTCCTCTAACTCCTCTAGCTCTTCAAATTGGTGAGTGAGATGAGGTCAGTCTACGCCCTTACATTTAACATCTTATTAATACTTGATCACTTTACTTCACTTAGTGGAAGTTGTTTTGTACTTCCACTATTAAAAATCTTGACTCTTAAAACTGTATTCTTAAAGCTCAAATCTCTACTTAAATACTTGACTGACACGAGGATCCCTCACTAGCTAGTCCAGTTGCCAACTCATACGTATGAGAAGCCCTCCAGACTTTCCTTAAACTTAAACTTATCGTGGAATGCTCTTCTTCCACGATTCTCAAGAGCATATCTGATGCTCATCTTAAATGTCTCAGGAGCGTAAATGTTGCTCTATCTGAAAATCTCAAATGGCAACGGACTGGCGCTAGTGACTAAAAACACTTAAAACGACTTCACCTTCTTGAAGGTGAGTTACTTCTTAAAAAGAACTTGTTTCTTAAACTTTAACAATCACTCATAATGTAAAGCTTTAAGGTAATTAAATAACACACATTCACTTCAAATCATAGCTCAACCAAAGCACATACCATCAAATATAATCATGCAATCTCAAACATGAATCAAATACTGCACATACATCACGTAAATCAATACTTGAAAGTACTTAAGGAAAATACTTGAAAAATCGTAAGGCGTAGAATTTACCCCTTTACACCACCTCAGCATTTATGTCGACCGGCTTGAACTAACCATGAGACTACCACTTCTGGATTCTGCGGGCTCGGTCGCCTCCATTTGGTCACATATCTTTAGCTTGTTTACGTAGCCACTCAAACTACCCATCCCTTCATGGCCATGCAAACCAAATATCACTACCCATATGCACCATACAAGCCGCCCACTTGTGGCTTTCATCTGCTCCACTCTACATAGTCAATTAAGTTGTGGAATCATTCATTACTAACCTATGATCATCATGGGTACCAGAACCACTCGAACCAATTCTTACACAAGGGTTTCAACTTCCTGGTCCTTCGATTATCAACAAGGACACATGGAGTTACGCTTCTCATCCCCATGAAAGAGGACAAAGTAGTCATATAATCATCATTAAAGCATAATCACAACCACCATAATCATATATCCCAGTGTAATTTTCATTTTTGGACATGTTCAGCTCATAATCTCTTTGCCCGAGACCCCTTGGCCCCTTCCAATATAACAATCTCTAATAGATGCTAGTGGCGAGTAAAGAGAAGCGGTCATTACCTAATTGGGGCGTCCGCTGCATCATGCGGATCCATCGTCGAACCCTGGGTCACCGCGAGGGGTGTTGCGCTCCCACTCTTGACTTTTCTTCTTCCCACGGTTGCCAGCTCAATTCCCCAAGCAAGGCTCCACCGACAATCATAGCTAAAAATTCCCCTACCACGTCCTCTTGCTGTCCCCAGCCCTGGCGGCGGTCCTCTTGTTGAGAGGTTGTGGTGAAACTGACGATGAATATTGAGAGATGAGGGTTTTTTTGGGGGGCTGCTCGGCCACATGCCCTCCCTATAAATATATATTGGTTTTTTATTAACAATAATAATTATTATTATTATTATTATTATTATTACTAATCCACGATTGCAACCCTTAGTATGTAACCGTCGATCCAATCGTTCGGTCGAACCTAAACCCAAAGGTCTGAGTGTTACATTTCCTCCACCCTTATAAAAATTTCGTCCCCAAAATTTACTCGGAATTCATCCCCCGTCAACACCCTTCTTAATCTTCCTTCCAACGATCATTTATTCTTACCATAACAACTTCGTTGGTAACCTTTGATCATATACATTTTCTTAGCTTGTAGCACTCGTATAACCTTGAGTGACTCACTGTCCTTTTCGTTTCATAACTTGACTGAAAAGTGATGAACAAAATGCCGACTTGACTGGACATGTTGATCCAATTCACCTAATAGTTGTTGTTGAACCTAAACCCGAAATCGAGATATCACATTTCCTCCCCACTTAAATAAATTTCGCCCTCGAAATTTGTCCACTGTGATTACATCATTCCTCGTTTGGGGTAATCCTCTATACTTTGAGTAAACGTATTTCTTTTAACCTGTATGACATGACGTATAAATCCCTCCCTCCGTTCATTGGCTCATGCATGTTGTGGTGGATTCTTAACCCCTCACACCGCATATGCACTTAAAACTCATGTCGGACAACCACTATCCCTATTATTCGGTACATATGCAATTAATGCCCCTCTCGAACCCTAAGGTTACCAATGACGGCTTAACCTCCTTATTATTAGATCGTAAAACTCTTCTAACGTAATTCTCGTCCGTGGTTGACCACATCGATCACCTAGGTCCTTGTATCTCCTAACTTGTATCTCTTACTTTCTTCCTCGATACTTCATCTTATTCTTTAACCATAAACTGAATGGTCATCTCCTCGTTACTTCTTTCTTAACGCCGAAACCTCATACTACTGCTTTTATTTTCTGTATGCATCAGAGACATCCATTGTATCGCAGTCCTAACTTGCGTTCAAATTAATGCTTCTTTCAAGAATCATGACATTCTCCTTGGCTTGCTTGTTCACCACTGACCGCCTAACTTAATACTCACTTATTGTCGCTTGAATTTGCAGTCTCATAGTATCTTTATGTTATTCTTAGAACTTAACTGAAATTCCTCTCATGATACTTCCAGATTAATGCTCGATATTTGAGATGGTCTCTTTGTCTATCTAATAAGACTTGCAAATTTTATCATGGTATCCAAACTCTAGCCCCACCTGTCCATTCAAGAATTCGACCACCTCCTCATCATTTAAAACGATTCTGACTCCATTTGAGTGCATCCAAATATCTTCTCTAAATACATACCCCTTACTTCTTTACTCGCAACCCTTCTTCGTGATGTTTCTTGTCCTCGACGTAGACCTCTAGGTTCTTATAGTCTATTCTCACTTATGTACTTTCTATAAGGTTTCTCCTTTTGACTATTCTCGATGACCACGATTCCACCTTTAATTTGACCGATCAGTTCCAAATTTCTCGATGGACTTACTATTGATCAGCTGTTCTCCACTGGCAGTCAACCTAAAGCTTCCTTGTTGTCTTCTGTATTCCTGTTTTGACCTTTCCTAGCTATCTTCCTAGATGCATACATCGCCCTGTCGATGACCACCATTTTCTTTCTTTTACGTCCTATGGTGTCCTCCTTGCTTCTTTAATTTTACTGACCTTCTGTTGTTGCTTCGTATTGTATTTGGTCACCAACCTCCGTTGAGTATCTTCTCGTTTTGCTTGGGTCAAAGCTTCCAATAGAGGGTTTCCCTTTGTAGGCTTTAACATACCTCATTCACGTCATTTGTCTCGATTGATGCATGTATATGGCCTTGATCTCTTAGTCTGAGTTCTTAGTGGCTTAATTGAACGTGTCTTACCTATCCTTAACTAGCCGCTTCCTCTGGATGACATCCTACTATGCTGTTCCCACTCAGAGTGGGGCACCTTGGATAAGGTAACTTAATGATATCCTCCTTCTTGGTAATGCTTTTCCTCGTCGTACTCCACTATGCAGTTTCTTGAATTCGAGTCACCTAGACATATTCTCAATCCTTCATCAAAACTTCCATGTGCTTCCTCGAATTCTCTGCCATTCACTAGAACATTTATTGAACGTTCCACTTACTAGTCTATACTCAATTGGATTAATGACTTACTCTTATAGCTAGTTTCGAGACTTAAGCTCTTAGCCCCCTATTTCCAACTTACTATTGAGGTTCCTCCTTCTGACACCTCTCATGTACCCTAGATGGCTAGGTGCTCCCTCCTTTTAGGATAGGACAACCACACAAAAGATCATCACGAACTCTTGCATTCCCCTTTAAATGGTCCCACAACTTCCTGACCTTTCATGATCTGAGTAGTTTGTAGGGTCTCTCATATCCCAATCTATCCTCTTTCTAGATTGGCGTTGTTCACTAGAACATTATTATTCTTGATCCAAGCTCATCCTCTACCTCGATTATCTTGATTCTTGTCTTTTTCCTTTTAAAGGCTTGCTATCAGCCTAACTCCCCAGTGTCATGTACCCTTTTCACTACTGACGTAGTTTATCTATAAGGGTTCCTTTATCGTCATATGTAAACGACCATGCCTCCTCGCCGCCTTGCCCTTTTAACTTCTTGAAGTCCTTTCATACTCCATGTAACCTACTTATTTCCTCCTTTGCTTCATTTATACTAACATAGCTTATCTTAATGTCTAAGCTTTCCACTACTCCTGGTCACTGTGTTGTAATATCGTCGAGCCATCGACGACTAAAACTAGTTGAGGGACGTCTCGTGGTACCTCTTTATTTCTTGAACCGTTTCCTCCTCGCCACTACTTAGGACCAAAGACCCTGACATCCTCCAATTATCATAGCTACTGCATCTAGTGATTGTACCTCTTCCTTCGGAGATTCATATTTCTCCCATTTGTTTGTCTTAGCTTATTAGATCCTCCACTTGTCTCCAAGTAGTAAAATCCTCGTACTCCTCTCTCAACTCCTTCAAAATCCTCGATGTATTCCCTTTCAATTGGCACCTCTTTGCTGGTGTTTGGAGTTGAATTCCTCGTACTTTTGATTCTACCTCCACAGACCTTTGTAACGTTCCTCCTTCCTTCTCTAGGTTGATGATGATGATCTGTTTGATAACGTCCGAGTAGTTGGTTAACTAATTCAAGAACTACTATCCATCATGTCGACGAGATACTTGATCTTGAGAGCCTTTGAGATTCTACTTGGGTTGGTCGTGTTTCTTGCATTCTTTCTTTCTTACTGACGATCGTCATATTCCTAGATCTCTCATTTGACAAACCACGACGTGTTAACTAAATCGTCTCCTAGCTTATTCTTAAACCAATCGCACCCTCGCGCTACCATTTCGTCATGTCGCACCTTCATAGCTATTCACCTTATTATGATTAGAGTAGACTGGAGATTCCGTAAACTCTTAAAAGAAAACCCTTGACTCATTTTCCAATCCTTTAAAACAAAAGCCTTTAAAACTTAGACTGATATTCTAGTATTCCTTGGAGACCAAGGAACAGAGGAAAACCGACTCTAATACCAAAAATAAACACCCTAACCCGTCCGGGTACTACTTTTACTAAAATTCCCTTGATAAATAAAATACTCAAATCTTAAATTGAAGCTAGAAAACTTTTACTAAATAAAATACTTAAAACACGCACTTGTAGATAAGAGCAACGCCCTAACACATGGGCAAACTCAATACTTAAAAACTCAAAATGATCTCCAGTCTATACTCATAATCATAAATGTAAATAACTAATAATCTCTAATGTTGTTGCTACTGAAAACCTTGACTAAGCATCCTTGTGACGCTTATACTGCTCTCCTCTAGTTGGCTGCACTCGCTGCTCACTAACTGCTCCTCTAACTCCTCTAGCTCTTCAAACTGGCGAGTGAGATGTGGTCAGTCTACGCCCTTACGTTTAACATCTTATTAATACTTGATCACTTTACTTAACTTAGTGGAAGTTGTTTTGTACTTCCACTATTAAAAATCTTGACTCTTAAAACTGTATTCTTAAAGCTCAAATCTCCACTTAAATACTTTACTGACACGGGGATCCCTCACTAGCTAGTCCGGTTGCCAACTCATATGTATGAGAAGCCCTCCAGGCTTTCCTTAAACTTAAACTTATCGTGGAAGGCTCTTCTTCCACGATTCTCAAGAGCATATCTAATGCTCATCTTAAATGTCTCAGGAGCGTAAATGTTGCTCATCTTAAAAGTCTCAAGAGTATACTACTGCTCTATCTGAAAATCTCAAATGGCAACGGACTGGCGCTAGTGACTAAAAACACTTAAAATGACTTCATCTTCTTGAGGTGAGTTTCTTCTTAAAAAGAAATTGTTTCTTAAACTTTAACAATCACTCATAACGTAAAGCTTTAAGGTAATTAAATAACACACATTCACTTCAAATCATAGCTCAACCAAAGCACATACCATCAAACATAATCATGCAATCTCAAACATGACACAAATACTGCACATACATCACGCAAATCAATACTTGAAAGTACTTAAGGAAAATACTTGAAAAACCGCAAGGCATAGAATTTACCCCCGTTTGCCAGCTCAATTCCCCGAGCAAGGCTCCACCGACAATCAGAGCTAAAAATCCCCCTACTATGTCCTCTTGCTCTCCTCGGCCCTGGCGACGGTCCTCTTGTTGAGAGGTTGTGGTGAAACTTACTATGAATATTGAGAGATGAGGGTTTTTGTGAGGGGGGGGGGGGGGAGTGTGGTCCTGACTCTCTATGACACAACTCCTAACAAAGGCCAAGTGTAACCAATGAAAGAGACTGCAGTATAGTGACTCAAGTAATAAATATCGAATCCACGGGTCTCTAGAGTTATATTACTCAGCTTCAGTTTATTATTTAGCAAACCAGATTAAGATGAAAGAACTAAAACTACTCTAGTAAACTACAGTTAATCTAATTATAGGTTGGGAACTCACTTAGGTATGATTCCCCCTAACCACTAGCCAGACTAAAGATTGATGATTTCTAACTTGTTTCACTTTCATTCACAATGCGGAGAATCCTTGACTAGACCCTGAGTCTCGACTAAAGGAACAAGGCCCTCTTGAGTCAATTTCCTAGAGGGACGTATCCTTCTCTAGAACAACCGATCAAGGCGTTCTGAACTAGATTCCCTCTATCGAAAGAGGTTCTCAATCGATACAAAGCAGCGAATCAACCCTCGACTAAAGCAATCGATCCACTACTATCAATTTATGGTGCTCTATTGACCTAATCAGGTATTCGCTCTCATAGGATCAAAGCAGAATCAATAATCTTGACTAAAGCATAATTGAATCATAAAAACATGCATAGATTGAATATGAACTCAAGATTATCAAGTCACAGTACTCATACAATCATCCAATCAAACAAACATAGCTAGGGTTCCTCAAAACCTAAGTGAAGGGAAGTTACTCCATAGAGAACAGAGAGAATGCAGTAAGAATCTTTAGATGATCAGTCTTCAAGTTCGTGCTTATTCCTCGAGCTTCCAAGGTGAAGAAATCCTCCAATTCCACTCTTAGAATGCCTTCAAATCGCCCTCTCTCTCTTTGGTTCGTCCCTTGGGTGTTTGGGATCCAAAACCCAGCTCCCCCTTTCCTTTGGCTTCAATCTGCCTAAAAAACCCGATTCAGTCGGCCAAAACACGGTCGCGTCTTAATATGGGCACGACCGTGTTTTGATTTATGCGCGCCCGTGTTTTTACTGCCGAACCAGTTCCCCTATATTCAATGCTTCGTTTCTCCCTCGTCCGGACTCCGAATCAGCCGCCGTTTGATCCCAAACGCTCGTAGTCTTGTCCTCTTTATTTTCATGACAAGCTTTCATGATTATTTGTCCATAAAGTGAGGTAGAAATCCATTCTTCTTCAGGTCATGCCCGAGTTTCTTCTCCCTAATAGCCAATTGATCTCTGATTGACTTGAAACTTGCGCCTATGCTTCACTTTATGTGCTAGGACCTGAAATGTGACAAAGGAACACAACCTAGCGTAAAATAGGCCAAAGACGCGATAATTAAGGCTCAAACTATCATGAAACAAAAGGGAAACATGTACAAATATCGAGTCATCAAATCCCCCCACACTTAACCGTTTGCTTGTCCCCAAGCAAACCTAACTCAAACCAATGCAGCTCTGTAGACCTCTAAGCAACATACAACCCCGATCGTCGGTAGAGGATTTCCTAGATCATATAGCAGCTTACGAGGTCAACTGGTCTTCTAAGACGTTCCCTATCTCTCTCAATGCGAGTACTAGACTCAAGCCAGGATCATGAGAAGAAGTAGAAGTAAGACAGTCAGTTCATGGATAAAGGGACTCATGTCATTCTCAACCAAGGACTCGTTGTACCGGGGTGCTCTTTTCACTTCATTTCACCGTTGGAACCCCTTTTTCACCTTCATTTTACTTTTTTTTTCTTTTTCATTCACTTGGAGGGGGTTCCAACTGCAGTCTCTTACACGGTCGACCCTTATTAGTCGAGCAAGAGCAATTTCTGTACATCTGGCGCTCGCCAAAGTACTTCTTTTAATTCCTTTTCCTCAACTCATGTGGAGGGTCAATGAAATTAAGGGGGGTCAGAAGATCTATCTGTGCCCTTAAAAACACATCCTCAAGTAGGCAAACTGTTCAACGGGTGGAAGTTTTACTTGTACTAGAGACAACTTAGCTTCACCTTGTAGGAGTACCCCCACTAAGGATCACTAAAATCTCTTCCAAAACCCGATTTGGTGCAATGAACGGTGCCGCACACGTTGGGCTTACCCCATGTTTAAGATTTTGATGATTTTAACATGGAGGACCAACTGCATTTCATTTTTCACATGTGCACCCTGTTCGATACACGAGTCCATAACACAATCCACATAGAGTCACCATTACCACATGAATTCAACGGTCCTAGCTCCACTAATTCACAAAATCAACTGGCACAACAGAGAGCTAGATAGGAAAAATCTTATACTTCAACATCCTCCATAGTGCTACACTACCTCCCTAGGTTCACATTACTATAGAGACTGTCAATTCAAAGCATACTGAGCAGGCAATTTGCAAGGAAACATGTACTTGGAGCTCTCAAATTTGTAAATTTGGACAGTGGACTAGGCTCCAAGCACACAAACAACCAAACATTCACCCGCATACATAATCAAACATCCCCCCACACTTAAGCACGACATTGTCCTCAATGGAGGAAAGATAAGGAGGTTAGAACAAAGTTACCAGATCAAGGGTGAATGATGGTGGACGGGGCAGGCGGTGTATTCCAGGAGGAGAGAGTAGTCGGAACACAAACACCACAAAATCTCACAAAGGTTGAGTTATTGACTCTAAAATCAAAGAACAAAACTGACTCAACCAAGGTGAAATAGAGAAAGAAATGCAAACCGACTGGTTGGGTTGCCTCCCAACAAGCGCTTCTTTCACGTCGTGAGCCGGACGATGGCTCCTAAGTTTCGGTCCACCCCAAAACCTCCTTGAAGTTGAGGTTCTCGTCAATGAGGTGGAGTCTCAAGTCACGAGCATGTGGTATGACAGGTGATGGAAGCTCGTGCACTTGATGCGGATGAAGTCTCCACCCTTGAGACCTCTTCTTCTCTTCTCTCGTCTCATTGCCCCAAACTAGATATGACAGCATCGATTGGCCACCATCGCGTCCACCAAGAGGGACCGATGTCGACGTGGCCTTGGTCTGGCAAAGGGACACTACAATTGGTTCCTTGTTAAGTAGTTCCTTGAAGTTTGGTGGTGATATTACATGTAACTCATGGTCGGTGCAGGCCTCTTCCACCTTAACTCCGTCCTCAGCCTGGACGCCAATTGCTTCTTCAGCCTCCCTTTCTTCTTCATGTGGTAACAACCCTGGGAAATGATCAAGAAATCCTTCTGCTTCACTTTCGTCATCCTCCACAACTTCTTTCTGCACCCTTTCTTCCTCTTCTTCTTCTAGCATGGATTGGAGAGCAAGTTTCCAAGCAATTTCTTTCATGAGATCTTCTTGCATCTCCTCACTCATGCCCGCCTCTTCAAAGCTCAGTTTGGGATGTGGGAAGGTGTGGTCGACTACGACAGGACATTCCTGATCATGATCATCACGGGAGCTCTCCGTGACAAATCCTTGTAGCCTTCTTCCCCTCCTCCTCTTCTAGTATGGTAGCAGAAGGGTGATCTGGAGCAGGTTGTGCACAAGATCGCTCAAGATCATCGACGCTCTTCTTAAGGCCCAAGAGGATCTCCTCTGTTTCACGGTAGGCCTGGACACAATGATCCATCCTGGAGCATGATCTCTTACAGTCTCGAGCAAACTACTCCATGAGAAGCCTCAATTCATAGTTTGGATCTGGTTGTGGAGTGTAGCATGGCTCTGCAGAATGGCCCGTTGATGACTCGATATTTGCACATGTTTTCCCCTTTGTTTCTTGATCGTTTAAGCTTGCATTATCGCTTCTTTGGCCTATTTTATACTAGGTTGTGTTCCTTTGTCACATTTCAGGTCCTAGCATGTAAATTGAAGCATAGGCGCAAGTTTGAAGTCAATCGGAGATCATTCGGCAATTCGGGAGAAGAAACACGAGCATGACCTGAGGAATAATGTACTTCTACCTCATATTATAGACAAATAATCATGGAATTTTGTCATGAAAAGAAAGAGGACGAGACTACGAGCGTCTGGGATCAAACAGCGACTGATTCGGAGTCCGGACGAGGGAGAAACGAAGCATTAAACAGAGGCTAAGCAAGCCACACGGGCAAGACCCACACGGCCGTGTGAACTGGACATGTGGCCGTGTGGAAATCACCGAGCCCTCACACGGGCATCTGGGAAAGTCACACGGCCGTGTGGCCTGGCTGTGTGATCGGGAATTTCTGGTTAAAACCCGATTTTCAGCAAAAGGAAAGGGGAGAGCTGGGTTTTGGTTCCCAAACACCCAAGGGACGAACCCTAGAGAGAGAGAGAGAGAGCGACTTGGGAACATTCTTGGAGCTATTTTGGAGGATTTCTTTGCCATTGGAGCTCGGGAATCAAGCTTGGAGATGGAGATTGAAGATCTAGATCAGATTTCTGCAGTCTCTCTCTTCTCTATGGAGTAACTTCCCTTCACTTAGGTTTTGAGGAACCCTAGTTCCATGTGTTAGGATCTTTCTTGTATGAAGTTTTGGATGTTATATTGTTTGATTATAATTGATTGAGGCATGATTTATTGGGTCAATTGAATCTTGATCAAATTCTCTTGACTTCTGCTTTAACCTATGATAGATAGAATCTGATTAGGTTAAGAGAGCTTCCTTGATTGATAGTGGTGAATTGGTTGTGCGAGAGTCAATCAATTCACTGCTTTGTACTGGAATTCATTCCAGTAGTGGAGATCTGTGCGAATCGCCTTAGCAGTCTATCCCGGTGAAGGCTAGTCGCTTGCTGGGTATTCTGTCTAAGAGGGCTTGGTCAGCTTAAGAGATTCCAAGCTAATTTAGGATCTTTCGCAGTTTAATCAACAGTAGATCAACCAAAGGTAATCTCAACTTGGACCTAATTGAGGAGCTAGGGGGAATCATACCTAAGTGAGTTCCCAACTTGTAATTAGTAGAGTAGTTAGTATAGTAGTTTAGTAAATCAATCCTTAATCTAGTTTGCTAGATAATGAACTGAAGCTGAGTAATAGTAACTCTAGAGACCCGTGGATTCGATATTTATTACTTGTGCCACTATACTGCAGTCCCTTTCATTGGTTACAATTGGCCGCTGTTAGGTGTTGTGTTGTATTGTGTCACCCGTGCATGGGTAACTCTAGAGCCGATGGCCCTTCTGGTTGTGGGAGAAATTCTTCTTGGTAATGAAGTTGTTCTTGATATGCCCAGGGGTCCGGTTGTTCTTCATAGTAAGGGGGTTGGTATTGGAATCCAAATCTAGCCTTCTCCTCCTTGATTGCTCCAGGGAGTCTCGGGGTAATACCACTCGGGTGGTGGTGTATACCCCCAATTGTTGGAGAAGCCACGAGAATCCATGATTCAGATCTGCACCAACAAAAACAAAAACACCCAAGTGAAAAGCAAGGGTGGAAAAGAAAAACGCTAAAGTAACAAACTTCTGCCTTTCCTAATAATCTAAAAAGTCCCCGGCAACGGCGCCAAAAACATGACTCGCTATGACACAACTCCTAACAAAGGCCAAGTGTAACCAATGAAAGGGACTGCAGTATAGTGGCTCAAGTAATAAATATCGAATCCACGGGTCTCTAGAGTTACTATTACTTAGCTTCAGTTTATTATTTAGCAAACCAGATTAAGATGAAAGAACTAAAACTACTCTAGCAAATTACAGTTAAAGTTAATCTAATTACAGGTTGGGAACTCACTTAGGTATGATTCCCCCTAGCCACTAGCCAGACTAACGATTGATGATTTCTAACTTGTTTCAATTTCATTCACAATGCGGAGAATCCTTGACTAGACCCTGAGTCTCGACTAAAGGAACAAGGCCCTCTTGAGTCAATTGCCTAGAGGGACGTATCCTTCTCTAGAACAACCGATCAAGGCATTCTGAACTAGATTCCCTCTATCGAAAGAGGTTCTCAATCGATACAAAGCAGCGAATCAACCCTCGACTAAAGCAATCAATCCACTACTATCAATCTATGGTGCTCTATTGACCTAATCAGGTATTCGCTCTCATAGGATCAAAGCAGAATCAATTATCTCGACTAAAGCAAAATTGAATCATGAAAACATGCATAGATTGAATATGAACTCAAGATTTTCAAGTCAGAGTACTCATACAATCATCCAGTTAATAATTACAAGTAGAAAAACTCATTTAGACCCAACCGATAAACGCCATGTCGGCAGGTTGCAGCTAAATTTTTCCCTAAAAATTTTATTATTGTATTCATTATATCATCATGACAATCTCTCTATTGGCAATGTGGTGTCACAGATTTTATCACCAGCCTTCTCCGCCTGAAAATAAAAACAACGAACTATAAAAATGTAAATCGCGACGTATACAAAATTCACAAAGATGGTTTGAAAGATGAGATACGCTTACTTCTTTATCCCAATTAGTACGGATAGCAACAATGGAAAGACAAGTTACTTGCACCACTAGAGCGCATGTGATACCTAAATAAAGACCCTACCACACCAAAAAAAAAGTTCAAAGGGTAAGAAAACCAATCATGCAAAGAGCAAAGAACAAGAAGCTAGATAACATAGTGGATTCCATTAGTAAAATCTTATTCTTCAATCCCAAATTCTCAATTCAATTCCTAAATTCAATATTTCAATCCCATTCCTATCCGATTCCCAATTTCGTAACCCGACCAGTTAATGTCCTGAATCATTGGATTTCGACCACCATACATATAACTTTCCTTATTGAGGCAAATTACCTTTCCACCAATGTGAAGAAGGAAGGCAAACAAAAATCCACACGGAATGCCGACCATATAATAAGATCCCAGATTTATATACGCTCCGATTTCCTGCCATCCGCACCCTCTCGCAGTACCTATATAGATCGACATGTTGAATCATATGAAACAACTACTATGTGTGTGATACTTATAAAAGAGTTACTGTATTATATATGTGCATAAACACCTGAGAGAACGCACTGGAAGCCATCGAAGAAGTTGGCAGCTGCTGCAATGGGCAGCATCTGAGCCACATAGTCGATCACCTGTTCATCACTGCTAAATGCACAGCCCCAGAAATTGCGTACCGAAAACAGTATCGTTCCCACCAAGATCCCTTCTGCGACTGCAATTCCAACCACTACACGCACCGCCATGCGTGCCTTCTCCGGATGCCCTGCTCCCAGTTCGTTTGACACCCTCGTGCTGCACAAAATTAAGCGAATCCGAGAACGTGCGTACACTAACTTAAACCCAAAAATAGTGTAACAATTTCTACTATGAACTCACCTTGCAGCACTACTGAGCCCGCTTGGGATCATCCATACCGTCAATGCTGTGTTCAGGCTGCAAAAAAACAGAGAGGGTCGGTCTACTGTTAACCGTAATCCCTAAGCCGTTGACAATGGCAGGATAGAATAGTACTGAGCTATTACCATATAGAAAGTACTGATGTCTCCAGTTTCGGATTGGGAAGAAGGCCCGAGGCAAGCACCAAGAGCTCAAATGACCACAACTCGAAGCTGTAAGCAAAAACAGAGAGTACCCGTACATGAAGAAGTAATTAAGACAAAAAAAAAATGCACATTGGTACCATTGATTGATTAATTACCAGACCATAAAAGCGGACGGAATGGCAAGCTTGAGGAAAACCCAGATGTCCCTGAACGCCTCCCTCGAGAACCCGGTCCACGTCACCGAACAGGAAGGCGAGAACTTGATGTACATCGACAAGAGAAGGACGTTGACCCAATTGGACACCGAGAGTGAGACGGCGGCGCCGGAGGAACCCAGGGGCGATCTGAAGACGAGGAGCCAGCAGAGGAGGAGGTGGATCAAAGTCGCGGCGGCAGAGCAGAGCACCATGGGGAAGACGATGCTCTGTGTCTGGAGGAACTTGACGAGGCACTGCAGGACGCCGTAGGCGAAGATGGACGGGATCATGGATCGGGCGTAGGTTCCGGCGCCGGCGGAGATGTCGGGCTGCTGTCCTAGTGCCGTCAGGATTGGGCCTGTGTTGGCCCAAATTAGGGACAGGGGAACGCTGGCGGTTAGCATGACCACCATGGCTCGCTGCGTGTGTATGCTCATCATGTGGTACTGTTTCGCTCCGTAAGCTTGCCCGCAGAATGTTTCCAGCGCGCTCGCCATTCCAAGCTGCAGCATCCATCAAATTCAAAACTCACAGCTTCTTATTGGATTTCTTTCTACGCTATGACTTGAAGACAAATTGTATGTAATCAACGAACTACATAAATATGTGTTTCTTTTATTTTCTTGTATTGTCAATTTCCTATTTAGTTGAGCAGGAAAAGGAAAGAAGGAGAACGAGATGGAACGTGAGTGCGTACCAGTACGCTGAATCCGGTGACGGAGGCGAAAGAAGTGGCCATGGCAGCTGAAGACAAGCTGAGCTCTCCGAGGTGGCCGACGAACATGACCGATATGAGGTTAAGGCTGTACTGTAGCAAGCTCACTGCGATTAACGGCCCTGCCAGCCATGCTTGCTTCTCTACTTCCTCCCACAACTCACATGATCTCGTCCCCTCCGCCGGCGGTGTCGTCGTCATCGCAATCAAAGGCGCCCTCAACGGTGCCGATTCCGCCGTCGTTTCTCCTTCTCCTAGGCGTCCCATCTTGAGTTTTGGCCGCCCCCAAATAAATCGAGGAGCTAATCAGTTATCAGTGTCCGGGTAGTGACAATCCATGGAATGGGAAATGGATGATAAAGATGTTTAATAATTAATTACTTACGGGCCTAGTGGCGAATTGGATTGTTGTGCTTCTGTCTGTCTGCTTGTTTTTGTGATTTAATTATTTAAATGTTCGTTTTTTAATCTTTTTCCGGGGCTCAAGATAGGGTGTGTAATCTTAGGGTGAGTAACAATGAGTAAACAAATATGGACCATTCTTTTAAGTGACTGCAGATCTAAGGGTGGAGAATTAAAGGAATTTATTTTCCCTAGTTTTCTTAATTGGATCATATCTTCTTCGTTCTAACTCGAATTTCAATTTCTTTTGCACAGATGGAACGAGTTCATTGTGCTCTACAAAATGATATCCATTTTCAATATTTTTTGAGAAATAAAATTTTCATCCCTCTCGTTAGCAACTCCATACCATATGGTATCTCCTTCGTTGTTTAGTCATTTTCGGAAATTTTGCACAAAAGGAACGATTTAAGCATGATCTATTGGATTTCAAAATTTTATGGGGGAAAAAATTTCAAACCTCTCGTTACCAACTCCATACCATACTATACCACCCTGGTATGAGGTGGTATTTTTCATACCATATGGTATGCTGTTATTTAATATCAGTCAATACCATATGTTGTTATTTAATACCAGTCAATACCATATGGTATAGACTGGTAATAATTGACAAAAAAATTTTGTTCCAAAAAATATCAAAGTGTATATCATTTTAAAGAGCACAATTAATCTGATCTAACTGTGCAAAAAAAAAATTTAAATTCCAAGTTAAAACGAGTGAGAAATCGTCCGTTAAAGATTAAGGGAAAGAAAATTAATGATTTTTTCAGGAGAGAGAAGGAGGCGCTGATGTGGCATATTCTTATTGGGTTATGAATGGAGTTACTCACCACAAGGTTACTCACCGGATCTGCTTCCCTTTTCCGGGGCTCAAGATACTAGATAGGGTGCATAGGTTATGCACCCATCAATAACCAAATCTGGACCCTTCATTTAGAAAATCCAGATCTAAGGATAGAGAATTAAATGTCATTTTTATTTTCTCTAGCTTTCTTAATTGACTCATATCTTTTTCGTTTTAACTCGGATTTTAATTTTTTTTGCACAGAGGGAATGAGTTCATCGTGCTATACAAAATGAGATCAATTTTCAATATTTTTTTAGAAAAAAAAAATTCTGGCCTCTCGTTACCAACTGCATATCATATGGTATCTTCTTCGTTTTTAATTCGTTTTTGAAAATGTTTGCACAGTAGGGACGAGTTCATCATGATCTATTGGATCTACAAATTTCTAGGTGAACAAATTACAAGACCAAAAAATACCACACAATACCATACAATACCACCCTGGTACGGGGTGGTATCTTAGGGTATATAATGTTAAAAGTCGTAAATGACAATTAATATACTTCTACTATCATGTATTCAACCATCCTACATTGTTGGTTTGTGTCATACCACCATGGTACGCTTTTCAAACCATAGGTATGCTCTTATTTAAATATCAGTCAATACCATATGGTATAGTCTCGTAAAAAATGACTCAATTTTTTTTTGTTTGAAAAATATATCAAAGTGGATATCATTTTGAAGAGCACAATTAATCTGATCTAACTGTGCAAAAAAAAATTAAATTTCGACTTAAAACGAGTGAGAAATCGTCTGTCAAAAATTAAGGAGGGGAAAATTAAATGCTTTCCAAAAAAGAGAGGATGTTGATGTCATGTTGATGTGGACGGGTTACTCATAGAGTCATGGTTACTCACCATAAGATTACTGACCTAATCCGTTCCCCACATGGTTAATTATTGATTGTACTTTAATTTGATTGAGATTGAGAGACATCGTGTTATTATGGGTAGATGTTGGAGCGTTCTTTACACGTTTACCACAGAAAATAGGGTTAATTGCATGGTTGGTCACTGAGATTACAAAAAACGTTCAAGTTTGGTCACTCGAAATATTTAAATCCATTGGTGGTACTTCAATCTACCAAAACCGTTCACGTTTGGTCACTCTTCGTCCAACTCCGTTAACTTTAGCTGATGTGGCAGTCAACTCTCAAAGTTGACCGTTAACATAGCGACGTGGCAACTAAAAAATTATTAAAAATAAAAAAAATAAACTTTTATATTTTCCCCCTCATTTTTACTTTCATTAAAAAATATAAAAAATCTAATTTTTTTTCTACAACTCATCTCAGCCATGTTAATAGTCCAGCACAAGCTCATCTCATCACAACAAAACAGAAACGGTCTGGTGACTAGCAGGAAGTCTCCGTTCTTCAGGACTAATATTCTTTTTCACTTAATAATAATGCCAGAGTGAGCGAAGAGTTGTGTTCTACTGCTAAACTTCCCCCAATCTATGTTATTATCCCTGCTCCACACACATTTATATGAACTCCAAACCATGACTCCCTACTCGAATAGTCAATTCAATCTGTGATCTAATCTCTGCCCCGTTCGACTCGACTGAAAAATGAGTTGCTTGATGAGTTGCAGCTCGTCCGCCAGAAAAAACCACCACCACTACTCTTTCACCACCGACGATTCCACCGCCACCCTCGTCGCCCCTACAAGGGATGTCACCCGCCCGCTGCCTCGTCAAGAAGCCCAATCCTACGGCGGAGATCTACAACGGTACAACTACTCATCGGAAAGGGAAAGGGGCCCGCCGTCAGCGGCAGGACGACATCCCCAAGACCTTCTTCATGATGGGCCAACAAAGCAGCGAGGGGAACCGCCCATTTACTCCCACCACGCTGACCCCTTCATCGAGTCGACCGAGTCGCCGATTCACTCGGGGATCTAGCGGCGGAAGGAGTTGTTTACACCATCCCTCTCGCCTCCGAATTCGGCAGCTTCACCTGCCCTTCCCCAATTGCGCCCGCCACTCCGCCGCTAAAAAGGGATTATGCGGCGGTTCCGGAAATAAGGGAGGCGGAAAAGGAGAAAAAGGTGGGGTCATTCTCTAGAGAGAGGCTGGAGGCTTTCAAGGAGAAGCGGAGGTCAGCGGTGGCGGTGTGGCAGAGGAGCGAATTCTGGTTCGGGTGGGGATGTTCCAGTTGGATTTCGGAGGGGAGGTGTCGCCGGCATGGACGCCGGTGGTCGGGAGATTCGCGATGAGGAGTCCGGCGAGAGGCGGGAGTCCGTTCAATGGGTAGGGTATGGGGTTTGTAGAAAAAAAATAGATTTTTAGATTTTTTATTTTTTAATGAATGTAATAATGAGGTGGAAAATATTAAACTTTTTTTTAATAATTTTTTAGTTGCCACGTCACTAAGTTAACGGTCAACTTTGAGAGTTGACTGCCACATCAGCCAAAGTTAACGGAGTTGGACGGAGAGTGACCAAACGTGAACGGTTTTGGTAAACTGAAGTACCACCAATGGATTTAAATATTTCGAGTGACCAAATTTGATCGTTTTTTGTAATCTCAGTGACCAACCATGCAATTAACCCCAGAAAATAAGAACAAATGAGTCCGTCAACCATCATGGTTGCATTCTTAGCCAACAAAAATTTACTCTGAATTAGCAAAAATTTGTTTAGTATTATACATATATTAAATTCTTTTCAAACTTTCATTATTGTATTATTGTAAACCCGTGAAGAAGGGGCCGCTAGATGGAAAACTGCCTTGCGGAACCGTTGTTGCATTATATGTAGTGGCAGATGAACATATTCAAATCACTACTCTAAATTTAGTTTAGAAATTATAGCTCCAAAGATTATTCATCTAAGAAAATAATGAAACCTAAAAGTCTAAAATGAAAAAGACTAAAAGAAATATGAGGTTTGTTCCCTTGAAAAATTTAATAGATCATCTGGTGGATATATGGATGGACACACAATGCAAATTGATTAGTCGATTGATTTGTCTAGTGTTGACGCTACTCGTTTCAACTGCTACTACAGAGGAACATTTTCAATAATGAGACATGTGAAAATTGATTTGTGAAAAAAAAGCAATGAATTTCTAGAGATTTCCCAAGTATTTTTATTTGAAATGTGGACTCCATTATTGATGCATTCGCTAAATTAAAATACCGTCATGTACAATTGACATTGTAAAAAAATCTATATTCATTATATTTTTACGGTTCTAATTTTCTAACGAAATGAGACCCAGCGCTCTTCTATGTTCTGGATCCGCCGCTGAACATATTCGGTCTTTAGTAGTCCTAAGGTGCTGGATGACAAAGTTTTGGGGCATAGATGGGCGGTCAGGGTAGGGGTGGACAACGGGAAACAGGTATTTGGGTATACTCGTATCTGTCCTGTTTTTTTAGGGTTACGGGTACCCAAATACCCGGGTTTTTTTCTACGGGATGGGACTTGGGATAAAAAATTGCTACTTTGGGTACCCACGGGTTACCCGTTAATACCCGTTTGGGTCTTATGGGTTCCCGTTATACCCATTAGTTCAAAGTTGAGATGGTGGTGAATGCGCTTTGAGGAAAGAGGGGATTGTCTTTCAAGTTACTTTGGCCATTTACACTAACAGAGGTGATGGAAATGAAAATGAAAATGTAATTGTAAATATTTTCCCCCCGATTATTAGGGGAAGAATGTGAGGGGTTTCCTTCCACCAAGGCCAGCCATAGCCATAGCCGTTTGTGTATATAACTAATCGATTCTACCCTTTTGGTTGTTTATATATCAGTTATTGTTGTTATTATTATGAGCTTCTATACTGTTGGTTCTATTTCTCATTGCTGGGACGAGGCAGACACAGTTGCAGTATTTCTAGGCAAAAGATCCCTTGCATAATGCAATCAGACATCGCCGCCGGCCAGTAACTAGCAGTAAGAAAAGAAGTAGTAAGAAAGAACACTTGCTTCATTTTTCATTTGCAGCGTCTTCTTTTATCCGAAGCAAGTTTCCTTGATAGCATTTCATATGTAAGAATTGAACGGGTATTTACGGGTAGTATGGGTACCCGTTAACACATACGAGTTTGGAACATGGGAAGAAGATTGCTTTTCAAATGGGATTGGGTACCCCGTCCCGTCCCGTCCCGTTGCCCACCCCCTAGGTTTGGGTTTCTCTAACTTGTGATTTCCTTCTTCTTATTCAACTTCCATCTCAATCGAATCAACCGACAATTGGATCTTGGAGAACAGTCACCGGTTTTATCAAGGTAATCTTCTTTACTTAAGGCCATGGGCTCCCGACATAAGTGTGATGGATTTTGATAGTAAGGCTTGGCCTATCTGGATTAATTTAGCGTACTTTCCTCTAACGTATGTGAATTCCCAAGGGTTTAGCCGAATTGCAAGTTGGATAGGAGTCACGTTGGGAGTTGATAGCACAACTAGGGTATGGAGCATGCTAGGCTATGCTATAGTGTTAGTGGAGCTCCGTGCTGAGGGGTGCTCCCGGACCATGTTATGATATGGCCGGATGATGATCTTGCAATGCGTGTTGGGCTTACCTACTTCAATCTCTCTTCTGTTTGCACCCTGTGTGTCTTTTTTGGTACTCAACGTAATCGGTACCGGTAATCAACTATCCGGTTAACGATATACCGGAAATAGCAATATGAAAATTGAGTACCGATATCAGTTTTCTAACCAATTAACCGGATAACTGAATAGACGATTACTGGTTATTCGTCGGTTACCCGACATACCGCCAATGATGGAAAAGGCAGAGAGTTGTTTCCACCATGCCTTCAGGCATTCGTGGTTCATTCTTCGCCAATCGCCACCCCTTCAAATTCCCATCACCTTAGGCTGTAATTAATGGTTTGTAATGGTGTAAGTGAAAAGCAGAGGCTGCAAGTGAATAAACCTCAAGCATTCCAGCCCAGCAACAAAGACTCATCTGCTTCCGTCCCGCCACTTCCATCCTCCTCCTCTTCAATTCCCGCTGCCGCTTGAATTGAATCTCAACTTCATCACTACAATCTCACACGGAAACTAGGAATCAATTCGCTCCGTCATCAATTGGGGAGAGATCCGCCGCCGCAGTCACCGCCATCGGCACCAGTCGGCGACCAGGTCTCTAGCCTCTTCATCGATTCGCGCTCCGGGCGTTTATGCGTCGTGCTTCCGTGCACCTAATTGTTGTCGGCCGCTATGTTCGTCGAGAAAGGAGAAATATGGAAAGGGTAATGAGGGGAAGAGTGAAGTTTAGAATGGATGAATGTAAGGCAGCGGCGGAGATGGTCGGAGAATGGTGGAAGAGCATGGCGACCGACATCGAGGAAGAAATTGGAAGAGTTGCTACTTTTTTGACAAATTGGAAGAGTTGCTGATGGTGTAGAGAGTTAAGATTTGCAGGTTTGGGAGATGAAAAAAAGAAGATTCTCATCTTTCAAGCGGGAGGGGAAGGGTAGATTTCGGAATAGATGAATGTGAGATAGCGGCGGAGTTGGCGCTATCATAGATGAATGTGAGATAGCGGCGGAAATACCCAGCCCATTATCAATGGGTCTACTTGGGTTTGGGTATAATTACCGAAGAAGGACAGGTTGGGAACTTGGGATGCTACTGACATCGAGGGGGATATCCAGTTATCCAGTAAAGTGTGTGCGACATTGTGCTACCACCAACCGATCCAGCATGTTAATGATATAATCGTAACCACCAGTTACAGGTTAGGTTATAAGTTATAATATAACCGGTAAACCGATTACCACCCTTTTCCTACTCGATTACCACCCTTTTCCTACTCAACATGGTTGTCACTACTTCGTGTAAGGGTGTGATGAAAATTGAACCTGACTGTGCAAGGACGAATGAAAAGACAAGAAAATATAAGGGAGTTGAGAAGGTAGTGGAGTAGGGCTGGCTAGTTGGTCCAGACTGTTTGGTTTTACCTGAAACCGGAGAACAGGAGTTGAACCGGATAGCAAACAATCCAATCTCATATTCGGGCTTAGATTTGAGGTAAAAAACCCGGATAAAGACCGGATAAGAGATCCCCAACACCTAAAATCAAGATCAAATTGGGACCGGTCCGGGTCAAGACCGGACTGTATCCAATCCAATTTTTGGTCCTTATATTCCCGAAAAAGACCGGATTGGAACCGAATCAATTTGGTCATATTTAACCGGACCGGACCGTATAGCCACCCCTATAGTGGAGGATCCCCAATTTGAAGTTGTGGTGGGGAGTATTCTTAATTCTCCAGGGTGTGGTCCCCCTACTAGGCGACAGAGTGTAAGATAGGGAACTAGCTTTGGCACTATTAGTGAATTGAATTTGGAAAGGTCTTTTGGTGTGGTTGAACGGAACGTAAATTTTCCATCTGATGCTGAATTTCATAAGATAATAAATGGGGTTGAGCCAAGAATCTGGAAAATGCAAGTCACACCAATACAGGGGTTGATATTACAAAAGATCTTCTATGTGTTGCAGCAATTTAATGAGCAAGAGGAAGTGGTGAGAAAAGGTAGGAAGACTGGTAAGAGGGTAGGACAAAAGGTCCTCTCTTCCAAATGATAGTGCAATTTTTGAATATTATAGGGTTTAGCAAAGCCTCTAAGAGGAAGGATCTTCTTGGGGTCGTTTGGATAAGGGATTGTGGTGAGGGATTTATCAAGGATTTTAAAACAATCTCTCATTCTACAGGATTTTAAAACAATCACTCGTTTGGGAAAGATGAGAGTTTCTACAATTAGGGATTTTAAAAACTCTCAAATGTGGGTTTTTGAAATAGCTGATGGGGATCAACTATTTCTAAATCCCTCGTTCTTGTTTTATTTTTTTCCAAAAACTACCCTTCTTGTTACGAATTCTTCTTCCTTTCTCTAAGCCTTCTGCCTTCTTCTCCAATCACTCCACTATCCACCTAATGCAACACCAGCTCCCGAACAAAACCGGTGGTGGGGCTTCTCCGGAGCAACTTCCAGATTCCGGAGATGAAGAAGGGAGAGGAGGAGATGAGGAAGGAGAGAAAGTAACCGAGGATGAGGATTCCAACGGGACAGTCGTCGAGAGGAAGATTAGATCTCGGCGATCAGATCCACTCCTTCTCGCCGATGTTTTGGTCTAGTTCTCCATCGGAAGCAAGTCGCCGCCGCCGTCTTCTTCTCCCTCTCCTCCGGTTGACGATGATTCCTGCTCGGAGGCCGTTGATTGAGATGAGGGTAAGAATGTAAATTGATTCTTTTTATCAAAATCCTTTGTTTATATCCAAACAAGTGATTTATTAAAATTTCTCATAGTAAAAACCTAGGTTTTTAAATTGTGGGATTGTGGAGAAAAACCCAGGTTTTAGAAAACCTTTATCCAAACAACCCCCTTAAGGTTTTTAGTAGGTTTGGAAATGGATCAACTCATTAGGTATTTTGACCCAAATAGTACGACCCATATGTGTATTGGGTTTGGACTCAAATGGAACCAATTTTTATTTTTATGTTTTTGGGCTGGGTTGGGTTAGGTTTGGTCTAATTTGGGTCGATCCAAATGGATCTATTTGGGTATAAATTGGATCATGAGACATCTGTAAGACTGTAACCCAGTTACCTCCATTCCTTTGCTAACTCCCACATGCTAAAAATTATCGGCAGATATGCAGAACCTGAAACCTTATTAGATCAATTCTACTTCTTTTATACTTTTTTCCTTCAATCGTTTCCCTTAGCTTGTTGGATCCTTAGAAAATCGATCGATGACACTTAATTTTCTATGTGAATGCTTCCCTTCAAACTATGCATCAACATATGCATTTTCTTCATCCCAGCAGACAATTTCCGAGCTGCCGCTTCCGGCGACCCACTGATCCTCTTTTACCACATCATACCTCATTGAATCGCCTTGTCTGATCTCCGCCAGTTTAAGCCTCTCCCTCGCCTCCCGACCCTTCTCGTCCCCAAATTGATCATCATCACCAATAATTTTGGCTCCAATTCCACCATCGACGACTCTTCCTCTACCATCCTATATTGTTTACTTTCCCTGCCGTCGTTGACTTGAACGAAACTACACCACGAATTAATCCCGACTAGAGCCCAAGTTTTTAAAATCTAACCAGGTGCAGTATAGGGAAAGTATTTAATTGTCGAACCGGGGTCGGTCCATGTACCCCTACTTCAATCGCTTAAGTTATTATCTAGCAAAACAGTTTTGGGTTTAAAACTAAGAAAACTACAAACTGAACAAGCAAGGAAAGTAAATGGAGGATAATTCTACTTAAGGGGACTTCACCTGATTATTCCTCCCCCAGTCTCATGCTAAGAAGCGACAAAGAAAGCTCTAGTGTGAAGGACGTGTTCATACACCGCGAGGTGAGCACAAGTGCAACTAGCTAGGAACAAACTCCATTATTCAACCAATGAAGGAAGATCAACAAAAATAAGCTAGGGAACTAGCTCTCTTAACCGTTAGGTGAAGGATTTTGATTCGTAGCTAGAGAGCCTAGCCCGCTTTACTGATCAACCAAGGAGATCCCTAACTCTCTTAGTGAGCTAATTGAGAATCGTTGCAGCAAGTTAAAGTGCTAACTCCCTTAACCTTTTGCCTAGGGGTTGCAACGATAGGCTAGGAAACCTAACCCACTCAACTAACCAACTAAGGATTGAAAGCCAAACCCTCCGAACATAATCTGGTCGACTGAGAGACCAATCCCGGTGGGATCACGGCCCTACTCCGATACTTGAGATCACGGCCCTACAACATTTCTTGGAGCCCAAAACGTCCATCCTTGCTGCCCAAGTCGTCCAAATGTGAAAAGGACAAGGAAAGAGATTGCTTAACCACTATGGAGCTTCCTTAAGCATTAAAAGCGTGTTTGGAGATTACTTAGCTGCTAAAGAGCTTCCTTTTGTCATAAAAACGAATTATAGTCCTTATTTAAGTAGTATTATGTTTCCTAAGTTAGTTTGGGATTTATTTTCCAATTCCTTTTAGGTTAGTTTTATGTTTTTGAGACCACTATAAATAGAGGGTGTAAGACCTATGAAATTTGTACCCAATATTCAAGTTTTTAGCAATCAATTACAAGTGAGTTTGTGTGAGTTCCTTTGTGAACGTTTTTGCTTAATCTCTCCTTTGAGGATTCGGGAGAATTGAGTGGTCTCTTATCAACTAGAGAACGCGTCTAGTTGTGGCGAGCATTGACTATATCGATTGGCCTTATCCATGGGTTCGAGATTGTTTGATTGGTTTCATATACCAATTTACCCTTCTCACGAGTTCGGGTCTGTCTGATCGATTTTCGCGAATATCGTTTATTTTCGTGTTATTGAAGAAGAAGAAAACCATAAAAAGTTCGATGTTGTGCAACTCTGGTGTTTTGGTTCAAGTTTGGGTGGATTCTCGAATTAGGATCATATCAAGTGGTATCAGAGCCTGGTTATTCTTCAAGGATTAAAAGGGGAATAATGCGCCAGCAATGGTAATCCAACCCGAAACTCTTTTCACGATAGGGATTCCAAATCCAAAGCAAGATCTCGAGCAAAGTGAGAATAAATTTCAAAAAAAGATGCTTAGGGATGGTAAGCTACTATCAGTTATGATTAATGGAGAGAGTTGCACTAATCTGGTGAGTGAATATTCGCTGAAGAAATTGGGGTTAAACACATTGGAACATCCGAAACCCTACACCCTTCAATGGCTTAATCAAGATGGATCAATTGAGGTCACCAAGCAAGCCATATTGAAGTTTGAGGTTGGAAGCTATAAAGATGAAGTCCTTTGTGATGTGGTGCCAATGGAAGAGGCTCATGTTTTGCTTGGAAGACCATGCCAGTTTGATCGAAATGGACAACATGATAGAGTCACCAACAAGTACAAGTGGTCGCATAGAGGTCAGAAGTTTGTATCAAAGCCTTTATCTCCCAAAGAAATCTATGAGGATCAACTTCAAATGCAACAGAATTTGAAGAAGGAGAAAGAGTTTCAAGCCAGAGTAGAAAAGGAAGTCAAAGAAGAAGTGCAAGAGAGAGAAGAGGTTCTTGTTGATGGACTTGCTATAGACACTTGTGAAGAGGATTCACAAGCTTTGATTTCATCTAAAAAGAACAAGAACTTGAGGTAGAAGAATTACAAGAGGCAGAAGAAGTAAAAGGAGATATTCTTATTGATGTTCCAGATTTGAATGCACAAGAAGTTAAAAAATACATTGAGGAAACAAAAATCAATGGAGGAGATGAATGCACGAAAATTCTGGGGGATTCATCAATTGTTCCATAATATGATCATATTGATTTCGTGGTTGGCGATGCAATTTTCGAAGAGGGAGCACACATGGAAAAACGACGAGAATTGCATAGTTATGTGGAAGTTGTTCATCAAAATGGAGTCTTTACAATTCATGGTCAAATTGTCTTTAAGAAGGGGGGAATATTACGATCCTAACTACCAAGACAATTTTATTGGAAGACCAAGAAGAATGGAGTTGATCGGAAATCAAGATTCTGTAAAGATTCGAGGTCGAATCTTCTTCAAGAGAGAGGGAATGATGCGATATCGACTAGCGCGATATTTAATCCCGTGGTCCAAAAATGAAGATTCATATTCGACGATTTAAGGATCAACTGGGAGCATTCTTGATGGATAAAATGGAGAATGCATTAAGTATCGGGCCTACAACATTTCTTGAAGCCCAAAACGTCCATCCTTGCTGCCCAAGTCGTCCAAATTTGAAAAGGACAAGGAAAGAGATTGCTTAACCAGTAAGGAGCTTTCTTAAGCATTAAAAACGTGTTTGTAGATTACTTAGCAATTAAGGAGCTTCCTTTCGTCATAAAAATGAATTATAGTCCTTATTTAAGTAGTATTATGTTTCCTAGTTAGTTTGGGATTTATTTTCCTATTCCTTTTAGGTTAGTTTTACGTTTTTGAGACCTCTATAAATAGAGGATGTAAGACCTACGAATTTTGTACTAATATTCAAGTTTTCAACAACTAATTACAAGTGAGTTTGTGTGAGTTTCTTTGTGAACGTTTTTGCTTAATCTCTCCTTTGAGGATTCGGGAGAATTGAGTGGTCTCTTATCAACTAGAGAACGCGTCTAGTTGTAACGAGCATCGACTATATCGATTGACCTTATCCACGAGTTCGAGATTGTTTGATTGGTTTCATATACCAATTGGCCCTTCTCACGAGTTCGGATCTGTTTGATCGATTTCCGCCACTATACTTTATTTTCGTGTTATTGAAGAAGAAGAAAACCATAAAAAGTTCGACGTTGTGCAACTCTGGTATTTTGGTCCAAGTTTGAGTGGATTCTCGAATTAGAATCATATCAAGTAACCCTTGGAACCCCCCTAGATGCCTCGCTGTTGGCTTTGGACTTTTCTTCTGTTTTGCGCTTTTTGACCTCCAATCGTCCCGAAACTCGTCCTCGACCCTTCCACACGTGCTAGGACCTGAAATGTATCAAAACAAGCACAACCTAGAGTGAAATATGTCGAGTAACGATGAAATGCAAAGTCAAACTATCAAGAAATGAGGGAAAAATGTGTACAATTGGACCCGAATCACTCCCCCCCCCCCCCCCCCCCCCCCCCGCCACTTGAACGTTTGCTTGTCCCCAAGCAAACCAAGTACAAACCAAGGTAAGCTTGCAACTTCTCTTTTTCAAGAAAATTTTTTGAGGCATGTTATAGGGCACAAAACGAATGAATCACAATGGTTATTTGTCACCGACCTATGGACAAAAACAAAGTAATCTTTGCAACCACCACAAATGACATTCAACTGTATTAAGCTTGTGCAAAAGAAGAGTTCTCACATTATTTATCAACCAACACACAACATGCCTCGATGACTCACCAATCATAGTTACTCATGCATGAAAATGACATCATAGGAACGAGCGATCGAGTAACCTAGGTCCTCACCGGGGTATAAGAAATGAACAAAACATGATGAATGAATCACTCACTCTCGACCAGTGGGGTCAGGACCATTTGATGCAAAAGATGTGCATAATCACGCTCAATCCTAACGTCCCTTGACCACGATGGTAGCCTCTTAATGCTAGAGCTCGCAAGATGGGTGTCGTTGCTAGCTTGTCCGAAGGTCTTAGACACTAGTTCAAATGACTGCCACTAGCATCCGCCAAAAACTACACTTCCCTCAATTCCAAACTACAACACATCACCAAACCATGTCACACATACTTTCTTTTTACATTTGCAAGTCAATTTCAAGCACAAGAGTGTGGTAGGAAAACAACAAGTAAGTGTTCCTAAAGCTTTCATGCTAAGCAACACTTCTAAGAGCATGTTCAACATTTATTATATTTTGGTGGCCATTCCCTTATTGATCTTTTTTTCTTCTCTCTTTTCTTTGGGGGCTATAGAGAGCTAAAAACATGCCACTTTTTTTTTTACTCAATGAACAATGCTCACTTTTACGAACTACCTCCACACTCACTTCACTTCTTAGAAAAACCATACACAAATCACTCATGTTGAACCTCATTTAAGCTCAAATGGTATGAATGGAGCTTCCAAACACAAGGGTGACTCGATAAGGTGTAGACACAAAGAAAGTAGGGTCGCTCTATCTAAATCAATCAAGCTCAAGTATCATGAGCTACTTAACACGAGAACGTCCCTTAGACACACGGCTCAAAGGGGTTGATTAAGGGATGATATGATTGGGTCGGTCAACATTTGGGTCGTGGACTAAACCTATGCCTCCATCTTCCTCTCTAGCAACAACGTGAATGCTACACATAATGTAGGGGGGATCTATCGCACAAGAAAGATACGAACAACACAAGTCTCACATGGCTACCTAGAGCAGAAGGAGGTCTTGGTATAAAGGATTTACTAACATGGAATCAGGCATGTATTGCCAGGCTTATTTGGTTAATGAACAATGGAAGAATGTGGATGTCTGGAATATGAAATCTTCTCCAAATGGTGATACGCCCCTGGGGGGTGTATGTTTATCAATGTCACGCAGCTAACGACTCAATCAAAGAATCGATTGAGCTCGAATCAAGAACGAAGCGTTCTTAATACGAACTTGGATAAAACGGAACCAAAAGGACAAATCCACACCTGGGGATAGCTCGATTGGTATAAAAGGGTAGTTGCTCGACCACGATTGAAGTGACTATTCAATCGATACACAAGCTCAGCAAGTTTGGAATCCACCAAACCCAAAACAAGTCGCAACTTGCACAAAACCAAAGGGTTTCTTTTCTATTCAACAAAGTCTTAGTTTTACAACGAAAGTAGAAAGGTATTTAAAGGCAAATAAACCTAATACAAACCTAATAGAAGTAGGAAACAATTAAGGTAAAAATCTACTCTAAAAAGGACTCAAAATTCGGATTTAAACTCTCTTTCTTCATGTGCAAGTAAGCTGCCAGCAAACAGTCAAAAAAAGCAGCTTTCGTACTAACTTCACACCTTTCGTACAAGGCCTTCTAGAACTCCGATCTTTCATCCGATTCCTTCCCTTGGTAGATAAACATTCCTATTTTCATGTTGTAGAAGCCTATGGTCTCGAATCATATCCATGCTCCTTGAATTGAGCTCCAAAGTAGGCTTCACAAAACAGTTTCCAGACTTAACCATTTTCTGGCAGTTTTCCAGTTTTGAGGTAGCATATTTGAGAACTTGGAAAACAACCTTAATGACATCTTCTGGATCCATAAAGCATACCATTGGAAAGATGGTAACTTTATTTGCAAAACAAACCCTTAACATTGAATTTCCACCAAGCCAATTGAGAGAACCATGCCTCCAAAGTATGTACCCTGAACACGGATTTTGACTTAGCCAAATTCTGCCTTTCTTCTTCCCAACTTTGGTAGCTTCTTTGTCAAGTAATTCTGACGTGAATTGTGGGCAATTTGGGATCATATCAGGCTCCCCCTCTTCAAAAAGTTTTGACCTCAAAGCTTGATCTTTCCTTTTGTCAAAATCATCACAGAATCGATCCCAAAGTGGATCGAAAGTAGGTTGCTCAAACTCAATTTTTGGCATAAAATTTGAAGCTTCGAATCCTTCTTCAGTCAACTTCAGCCGCGTCGTGGGACTCCATGGCTCACTTGTCACACAATAATCCACAAAATTTGGACCCAAAATCAGTTTGTGCACATTTTCGAACTCCGGCGAAGATTTCCCAGAATCCGGTGACTATGAGTTTTCCGGCGACCTCTTCCAAATTGGGGACCTCTCCTCTAGGCCACTCTGATCCAATTCAAGCACTCCAAACTCTTCTCCAGGCTTCCAATTGAAGTTCTGCTCCATTCCCAAGTCCCGAAGCATCGCCATTGTCTTCAATTCGTCGAGTTCTCCTTTCCCACCTTCGACGGAATTCGAATGTCCGCAACCCAGAAAAACCAAATCGAAATTGGGGGTTTTATATCCAAGCACCTTCTCTTCGTATTGTTGAATTCTACACGTTCCTCTTACCTCCTATGATGATTCTACAGCGTTGGATTTGCTCGAATCGAGCTGGATTGCTCCACCCAAGAGAGGGTCCTCGTCGGCCGTTTTCTTCACGAACAGAGGTAGTTTTACGCGAATCGATTCTCCAATTCCAGGTCTGTTCATCTCCGATGAAGTATCTTCCAATGTTTTTGGGGTCGTGGGGATCGATTTGGCACCAATGGCGGAGTTCGAATCTTCGCCGATCTCTATGACGAAGTCGCCCTCTCTCCTGCTCTGTTTTCTCGAGTGCAGGGGCGTTGCTGGTCGATCTCGATTCTGCAGTTGGTCTTGAATCGACGCAAACCACTCCAGGGTAAAGATTCTTGATGCTACCTAGACCATGTCTGCACTGGTGGTGTGGCTGGACTCTTCCCCTAGCTCGGCATCGACTTCTCCACGCTGTGGGCTCTGTTTTGACGAAGGAAAACAGAGATGATGAGCGCCGGTGGACGTTTGGACGGGAATGCCTTGCGAGGATGCCAACGTTCGTCGATCCAAACTCCTAACTCTCTCTTCCAAGTCGTGGGCAGGTCTGATTACAAATCCTTGGTCTTGACTCCCTTCTGGAATTGGATTACGTACTGTAAAACTTGGCGTCGAAGTTGTATTGTTTCTCGGCAACGCAAACTCATCTATTCAATGAGAAACTCGATCAAATTTGGGCTGGAAGGTCGCATTAAACGCGTCTGTGAGCATCTTCTTAAATTCATCCATGTCAATTTGAAGACTTCCCATCGTCTCTTCTGCGGATTGGGTCTTCTTCTTCGAATAAGAATCTTCCTCTGCTCCTCTCTGTTTGCTGTCCGCAAAGAAAAACAGAACGAAAAACAAGATTCTCGATCTCCTTCTTGCCCCTGCTTTGAACCAGGCTCGAATACCACTTGATACGCCCCTGGGAGGTGTATGTTTATCAAAGTCACGCAGCTAACGACTCAATCGAAGAATCGATTGAGCTCGAATCAAGAACGAAGCGTTCTTAATACGAACTTGGATAAAACGGAACCAAAAGGACAAATCCACACCTGGGGATAGCTCGATTGGTATAAAAGGGTAGTTGCTCGACCACGATTGAAGTGACTATTCAATCGATACACAAGCTCAGCAAGTTTGGAATCCACCAAACCCAAAACAAGTCGCAACTTGCACAAAACCAAAGGGTTTCTTTTCTATTCAACAAAGTCTTAGTTTTACAACGAAAGTAGAAAGGTATTTAAAGGCAAATAAACCTAATACAAACCTAATAGAAGTAGGAAACAATTAAGGTAAAAAACTACTCTAAAAAGGACTAAAAATTCGGATTTAAACTCTCTTTCTTCAAGTGCAAGTAAGCTGCCAGCAAACAGTCAAAAAAAGCAGCTTTCGTACTAACTTCACACCTTTCGTACAAGGCCTTCTAGAACTCCGATCTTTCATCCGATTCCTTCCCTTGGTAGATAAACATTCCTATTTTCATGTTGTAGAAGCCTTTGGTCTCGAATCAGATCCATGCTCCTTGAATTGAGCTCCAAAGTAGGCTTCACAAAACAGTTTCCAGATTTAACCATTTTCTGGCAGTTTTCCAGTTTTGAGGTAGCAACTTTGAGAACTTGGAAAACAACCTTAATGACATCTTCTGGATCCATAAAGCATACCATTGGAAAGATGGTAACTTTATCTGCAAAACAAACCCTTAACATTGAATTTCCACCAAGCCAATTGAGAGAACCATGCCTCCAAAGTATGTACCCTGAACACGGATTTTGACTTAGCCAAATTCTGCCTTTCTTCTTCCCAACTTTGGTAGCTTCTTTGTCAAGTAATTCTGACGTGAATTGTGGGCAATTTGGGATCATATCAAATGGTAGTGGTACTCTACCACTACTAGCTACCAGATGGTAGTGGTACCACTGTACTGGTAGTGGTACCAGTGGTAGCGGTAGCGTACCACTAGCGCACTGATGGAGCGGTAATATTTTGCAGGTTGCCGGAGCGAGTCTTATTCAAGGATTTCGCCGGAGAAAGTTTGTCAATCGGAAAGTCAGCCGATCGGAGTGGTGTGGCTGCTGGAAAAGGAAGAGAGAGGGGGTTGTATTTATTGTAGGATTTAAATTTAAAAAACAAGTATTTAATATGGGTTTTTAATTCTCAATATGTAATTAATACATAAAAAATAATTAATAAATTTATTTTTTTCTCATACCCAAAATACCCTTGGTTGTGAATTTCACAACCCCATTAGGGGAAGTGACCATATCCCCGCTGGGTTGGACACAACCCAAGACATCAACTTCTCTCTCTAGTTCCTCTCTCTAGGGTGTAATTGGAAGCTTCCCGAAGTCTTCTGAAATGAAGAGAGTAGCCCCCTATTTACATAGAACCGGAGGGAAGGGCAGGTTCGTGGCTGTTTTTCCTGAGATCGCGGCTGCGATCTTTGTCATCAGGTCGCGAAGTGGAAATGATGGCGTGTTTGGCTACTCGGATGGGGAGATCGCAGCCTCGACTTCGTAATTGAAAATTGGATAAACCTGCATGTATCAACAGCCTACCACCCTAAAATTGATGGTCAAACCAAAAGACTAACATATTTTTGGAAGAATTCTCGAGAAGCATGTTTCACCACTCACCCCAACACTGAATTGCTTAGTGATCACGTACTTAATGGTGGTATGACACCATTTATCATAGTAGCTTGAACACTACCCATTCGAGGCATTGTATAGGTATCCTCCTTCTCATTTTGAGATGTGGAATCCTCTTTCAACATCAGTGGCAACAGTGACAAAGAATTTGCGACAGTAACGAGGGATAATGGGAATCCTTCCGGGAAATTTGGCTATGTCACAAAGTCATCAAAGTTAGTGAGAGATCATCACTGTACTAAATGAGAGTTTAGGTGGAAGATTGAGTTTATTTGAAGCTCAAAGCCTTATAGGTAAATTACAGTAGCTCCATTAATGAATAAAAAGCTAGCTCCCAAGTTATATGGGAAATTTCGTCTTACAAGGAAGGTTAGGGCACATTTTTATGAGTTGCAGTTACCTTCAAAGTCTTCTACTCATCATGTGTTGCATCTCTCTGCTCAAACGAGCAAATGGAGCCCAGATTAACACTCATCCAACACTACCTAGCTATGACAGCTGTTAGAGGAAGGTAGAGAATGACTGTGAAACCCTGAACTACTCTCGTCGACAAAGACTATCTGTCAAAGACCTTTCTCCTTCATTCCTCCAAAAATCCTCTCCGCGGGTTCCCCTTGTGGTTGCTGCCCATTGCACGAACCGCTGCAGCGAGCCTTCCTGTCATATCTGCTTCCAGTTGCCTGCCGCGGTCCTTTTTCTTATTGAAGTGGTGATGTAAATGTTGGCTTAAATCCTTTAAAAGTGATAAGACCTTGAAAAATGTACCTCATATCTCTGAGTTCTCGAGTTAAGGGATAATGAAAATTCAAATTTACCTCATTTTGCAGCCAATTTATCTTCTTAATCAATTAGTACTCTCGCTTTCTTCCTATTTTCCCTCGGTTCTAAAGAACAAATTACCTTCAAAGGATCAGAGTCTAGGGTTTAGTTTTCAATTATTTACAACATGTAACTTTAAGTTGGTTATGGGCTTATTTGAAGTTATTTTTCGTAGTTATTGTGACACCCCACCCATAATCTCTATGGTTGAATCCGTGGTTCAACCGCGCAACCAACTCCTTGTGTTACGGGTTGAAGTCAATCAGCTCAAACATCATATTCGACAATTAAACACAAACCTAAACCATTATCATACATATTCATTATTTGAACCCCAACCCACTTATTGAATTTGTACAAAATGTGGGTTTATTATTCAAAACACTAAAACAAAAATCCTAGTTGACCTTTGCGGAACAGTATCCAAACTACCTCATGATGGTAGTACATGAAGATGGGGCAGCCTCAGTAGTCCGATCCTGGTTGCACCCACGAGACTGAAGACAGACGTGGGTCAGCAACTAAGTTGTGTGTGGATCTTTCCCACGATATAATTTGTGGACTGCAATAAGCTAATCAAAAAGTCATAATCAATCGCAATTTAGTACTCTAGATGCCATCTTAATTCATCATATATAAATCGTCAATCAATATATTAAATCCACCTACTGATCATCACCGAATCAATTTATAAAAAATGATAATCACATAGTTTCTCGAACACATAATCAATGTATGATGTGAGAATTCTGGTCAATTTTTAATGGCGCCAAAATCACCATAAACTTACCCCCTCTCGAGCAAATCGTCATCCGTGGTGCTCATGCAATCACAATACGCGCAGCAGCGAGCCATAGGTGTGTCGACTGCTTTGGCATCAGTCATATGGAATCGATGGAGAATATCAACCATGTACTTGTGTTGAGAGAGGATGTAGCCGGTGGTGGTGGGGATAACTTCAATACACAGGAAATAGTCAACATCACCCAGAGCTTTGAGAGAGAACCGACTGGATAGAGCCTGCTGAAAAGTATAAAGAACAACAGGATCGTTGTCGGTGAGAAGTAAATCATCAACATAGACCAGAAAATAGAAGAGTGTCCGCCCATGAGAATATACGAAGAGAGAAGCATCATAATGAGTCTTATGAAAACCAAAATCCTGTAGAAAAGTGCACAAGGTGGTGTACCAAGCTCGAGGAGCCTGGCGGAGGCCATAAATTGCCTTCTTGAGCTTACAAACATGATGAGGAAAAGAAGGGTCAATAAATCGAGGTGGTTGAACCATATAAACTTCATCCTCCAAAGGACCTTGAAGAAAGGCATCATTGACGTCGAATTGGGCAATAGGCCAACCATGAGATAGAGCCAGAGTGAACACAGTGCAAAATGTGACCAGTTTAACGGCCGGTCCAAAGGTATCGGTGAAATCAACCCCTGGTTGTAGAAGAAAACACTTGGCCACAATACGAGTCTTGTACCCCTCTATAGACCCGTCCGAATGATGGTTCACAAGATAAACTCACCGATTACCAAGAACATTATAACGAGGAAGACGAGGAACAAGATCCCAAGTATCATTGGCCAATAAAGCAGAGTGTTCAGTATGAAGGGCCGAATTCCATTCAGGATACCTCTTGGCCTCCTGTACAGTAAGTGGCTCAAGAGGAGGCGGCCCAGGAGAGAAGTATGTGTGAAATAACCTCTTTTTGGGCTTGAAAATTCCAAGCTGGGCCCTGGTGGTCATATTGTGGGAGCGGAGGACAGGGGAAGCTGAGCAGGAGCAGTGGGCGGACTAGACGGGGATGTGCGGGGCGGCTGGACAGCAATAGTGGACGGCCCATGCAGAGGAGAAGCAGTTGATGGGCCGGAGGAGGGCCCAGGTTGCGAACTGGGTTGAGGAGGGCCGATGTAAGGAGGCCTGGGCTGTTAGGGATCGACAGGAGACGCGCCAGAGGGGGGAGGGGTGGTGTCGGTAGAAAAGGAAAAGGACGATTAATGAGGTATGTGGCGGTAGAAAAGGAAAAGGACCAAAAAATAGTAGGAAGTTGAGCATGATGAAGAAGTGTGATACCAGTTTCAACCAGATGATGATGTTTGCGCTCAACAAGACCATTGTGTTCAGGTGTATGTGGTGGAGTAAGAAGATGAGTGATACCATGGGCCTGTAAATCAGAACACAATTTTTGAAATTCACCACCACCATCCGTGTAAAGTCGACGAATAGTAGTGGAGAAGTAATTTTCAACCATTTTTCTAAAGGAAAGAAAAATTTGGAGAACTTCAGGTTTATTGCGTAAAGGATAATACCAAGCATATCGAGTAAAATGATCAATAATAATAAAATAATAACGATATCAATCAATGAAAGAAACAGGAGCTGGGGCCGAAACATCAGTATATAAAAGATCAAATGGACGAGAACTCGATAATGTCGAAACAGAACATTGGAGTTAATGGCTTTTATTTGAGAGACAGGCATCACATAGAGAGTTTGTAAGTGAAGATGAGACTGGAAGAGAGTATGACCGGAGAAGACTGGAAGAGAGTATGCCAAAATGTTGTTGTCGTTCGAGTAGTGACAAGAGCCATGCAAACATTCTTGATTTCTTGAGGCAGTTCATACACATCACCGTTGTTCCACCCCCCCCCCCCCAACAGCTGCGCCCCCGGCGAAGATCGTTCACAACAAAATGAGTAGCAAAAAATTTGACCGATACCGGATTAGTTCGACATAACTTGGCAACAGAAATCAAATGTTCTTGATGGTGGTTACGCATAATCTATCACGCAAAAGCAAGTAATGAGAACCAGTAGAGAGAGAGAGAGGAGGAGCCAATATGAGAGATGACCAAACCTGAACCATCACCAACCAAGATCTCGTCCGTGCCCGTATAATCAGAATAAATTGACTGATTGCCCAAATCAGATGTCACATGATGACTTGCTGCCGAGTTAATAATCCAAGACCCAGAAGAGGAAGGGTTGCAAGCTGAACCAGTGTGAGTGGTGTTAGCCTAAGCCTGGCGAGCCTGAGGAAATTGATTAGAACATTGTCTTACTTGAGTGACCGGGCCTGTCACAAAACTGATAGATCACTGAGGCCCACCTGGAACTGCTGGGCTTAGCTGATGAGGAAGGCCCAACAGGCATGGAGGGAGTGCGGCGTGTGGGCTGGTTGTAGGGTTCCAGCCCACAGTTGTAAATCGGCTGCTGGAGATTATAGTGCTGCTGTTGGGGACGCGAAAAACCCTGATTGCCGCCGCGAGAGGAGTGAAGGCCACAGCCACCGTGTGACTGCCCGCCACCATTTTTGCCACCACGGCGAGTCCCGGTGGAATAAAAGGCAGTGGGAACCGCATCCAGACGGGTCTGCTCCTTTAAATTTGTTTCATATTCAACCAAAACATCAAGATGTTCTTCGACAGTGACCATTGTTCCTTGGGCACGAACTGCGGCAGCAAAGTGATTGTAATCCGATCCAAGGCCACGAAGACACTAAACCACGAAGTCCAGATCCGAGACAGGTTCACCCACGAGAGCCAGCTCTATCGCTGTGAGCTTTAGATCATTCACAAATGTAAGAACGTCCCGATTACCTTTAACTATCCGATACAATTTGTCTTTGAGATTGATTATACGGGATTGAGAACGACCCGCATATAACCTATCAAGTGTTAACCATGCCTCTCTTGATGTACTTGTCGCATAAACAAATGAATACAGAGATTCAGAAATTAAGCAACGAAGGGCATGAAGTATCAGCTTATCTTGGCGAAACCAATGGCGATACAACGGGTTGGGGCGACTGACGTCGTTTTCCTTGATCGTTGGGGCAGGAGCGACAACTGTTCCATCAATGTAGCCTATGAGGTCCATCCATATGAGTAGCGTTTCCAACTGGGATCCCCAGGAATTGAAGTTTGTTGGTGTGAGCTTTAGGGATAATTGTCCAGCAGGATTGAATGTAATCACAGTTTCTTCATAGGTAATTGCAGAGGCAGAGGAGTCCAACATGGTGATTGAGGGAGAATTGACGAGGATTATTATACGAGTAGAGAAGGAAAGAAGCTGGATCTGGACTTAGCTGAACGTTGCTAGCTCTGATACCATGTCATAAAGCAGTTGGTCCCAATAACTCGAGCTATTGGGAGAAGGTTATGCTGGATCTTATACAGGCCCATGTATGGTACTTAGCCACTTCCTTACATAAACTTGGGATCATTGACCATGCTATTTAGGATTGGAATTTTGATACTGCATTCGAGATATATCAAATATCGTACCGGCTTTACTTTGTTTGGATTTGTCGAATACCGATTTATTTTTAGGAACTGGATTTTAGATTCACTTTCGAGTGTTGTTTGGTATTTCAGGATTGAGATCGCTAATTGAAATATAAAAAAACATTAAAACTTAAAAATTAATTAAATATACCACACATATTTTGGTTCTTTCTCACTCTTTGATAACTCACAAGAAGGCTGAGATCCATAAAAAAAGGGCTAATACCACTAGAAAACCCGAACTATTAACTTTGTGTTATTTGTGTCCTAAAGTATCCGATATGACATTTGTGTCCTAAATTATTTTTCCGTTAGAGCTGACTGCCGTTGACCGTTAGTTTTTTAACAGAAAGTCTATGTCAGCGCTTATGTGGCATCTGAAGTGGAATTTATAATTATTTTTTATAAATATGAATAAACTAAAATAAAAAATAATTAAAAAAAATAAAAACTATCTCCTCCAGACTCCCAACTTCGTCCTCTTCTCTCGTCAATTCCATCCACCACATAGCCATTGGACTCGTTGCTACTGAGGTGGTTACTGCGTGGCCTGAGCTTAATGGATGTTCCACATAGCCGCAGGAGGAGGCTGCAATTGAGGTCGAGTATGGAAAGGACCTGAGAGAGAGAGAACCGAAGGGGAGACTAATCGCAGTGGAGGAGCGGAGTAGATGATTTCCCGCAGCGACCGCCACCGCCACCGCCGCATCTGCCAACTCTACCTCTGCGACTGATGTCGCTGTTGAGTTGGAGGTTTTGAAGATTGGTTTCGACAGGGAGGTGGTTCCACCCTTAACACCGCCGACATAGTGACCAACCACTACCAAAAACCGACCCGCACCGGCCCGACCACGGCTGGCGGTTGCATGGTCACCACGTTCGTCTACGGATGTCCTCTCATCGGCAACCAAGGCTTCCACGACATGTTCACGTCCCTTTCCCACCACCTCCGCCTCCTCCGGATCCGGAACTTCCCCGACCCAGTCACCACCTACCCGCCGGAATTCTTCGGGTTCGTCCACGTCACGAAGGAGCTGGTCATTTATATCAAGTCGCCTTACTTGAAGCCGGGTCCGAACCACCACAGCTTGGAGCTGTACATGCACGGAGTTGACCGGTACAATGGTGTCCGGCCGTTTGAGCTGGTGGTGGGCCGGGATCTGGCGCTGGTGAACAAAGGGGAGGATCATCTCAAGGATGAGTGCAAGGTGCCGGCGAGTTGGTGGATGGAGAAGAACAAGGGCATGAGGCAGCTGGGTGATGGATCCTGGGCGATGTCTGACTACATGCCGCCGCCGCCGCCAGTGATGACAAGATCTACCCCAAACTACTAAAGCAAGAAAGATAAATTGGGTTCCATTCTTCAACATGACATCAAACGAATGGGCAAGTGCATATTTATAGGCAAAACCCTCTCTTTCTCCTTCATGGTTCAGCCCCCTTCTGCCTATTCCAACCAAAATATGTAAGCTTCTCCTACAAGGACACAATAACCAAATTCCAAACAATTACTAGACAACAATCCAAATCCTACTAGAACAATGAAAACAATTAAGAAGACTAATAATAAAATACTTAAAACAATAAAGATACACAAGTCCAGAAAATGCCCTAATTATTACGATAAATAGATTCTCGTAACAATACTTCTTAATCCCTCTGTAATTTGTTAATTATTTCACCAAATATAGTGAAATTGTGTCTCTTTCCTGTACATAGACTAACTAACACAAATTGTATTAATGAACTATGCAAATTCATATTTTTTTTTTAACTTTTTGCACTATCGATTATCCCAATCGGTTCTTTAACCATGAATTTGTTGTTTTTATGTATTAGGGACGAGCACTTCTACTATGCTATATATTATTGGTGCTTTAATGTACAACTTAAAGTTGTACCATAACATTAAATGTATAAGTTTATGTTGTACCATAAAGCAATTTGTACCATTATGTTATGGTACAACTTTACAACTTGAAGTTGTACTATCACATAAAGGTAAAAGTTCAAGTTGTACCATAAAAGAATTGTACAAAAAGTATAGGTACAATCTGAAGTTGTACCATAACATACATGTACCATTTTAAGTTATACCATAAAGACAAAAACCTATAGCACCAATACTATATAGCATTGTAAAATTTCTCATTAGGGACGGCTAGTGGATACGGTTGGCCGGAGATTGGAGCGTACATAAACCTGGGGTCGTATTACATCGTGGGAATACCATGTGGTATTTTATTTGCCTTTGTTCTTCACATTGGTGGAAAGGGTCTGTACCTCGGGATCTTATGTGCTTTGGTGGTGCAAGGAATTCTGCTTGCCATTATTACCATTCGCACCAACTGGGAACAAGAAGTAAGTGTGCCAATCACAAGTTTTCATACACGTTTATATGTATGGTAATTACACCAAATTACTCATGGTTTATTGTTTGCTCTTTTTCCATATTTTGTTTACAGGCAAAGAAGGCTAGTGATAGAGTTCATGATACCACGATGCCGGTAGAGAGATTGTTGTGATAATCTAATTGATGATGGGGTGATATTAGATCTATGCTTTTATCGTGACTCGACTTTTTCATTTTTCGCAAGGTTTTTATTTAAAGAACGTTCTGAGAATTTGTTAGAATTGTATTGAGATACAGAGATAAAAATTTCTCATGTAAATAAGGTATGTGAGTCGTCATTCAAATTGTCTTTTCATGTAGGGTATGGACAATCCGATTATTACCTTGATAATAGATAATTTCATGAAGAATACGAAGCATGTTGGCAACAGTATACTGAAGTTATTTGAAAATAACTCTTTTTACCATTCTGCTTTTGCCAAATACCACATGCCAAATACCAAATTTGCATAGTTATACTAAACAAGATACTTTAATCTAATTACTACTGAAATAATAATAAAATACCAAATAATAATTAATGGTGTCTTTTGATTGTAAATGTTGATATCACCATTGCTATTAGCCAGTGTACTTTACCAATTACGATTAATTACATAACAAGTTTGCAAGTCATACAAATTGATTCAACATTTTGACTAGTTTTTTTTTAAATTAAGTATTTATACGAGGTAGAAAGAAATTGGTTAAAAATTGAGGAAAATATTTTAAATTATTGTAATAAAATGTGTAAGTTGGTAACGAGTAAGGAGTAAGTTACTCGATGCCCTGACCCGAACAATCCGCAACCCGATCCGCCCGACCCAAAACCCGATAAATCCGCAACCCGATTGAACCCAGCCCGAACCCGCCCGAAATAGCCTGATTGACACACTATACTTTTGACATCAAGCTGGTACACTAGTAGGACATGGTGAGTAGCAAAAGCTATAATGATTCTTACTGTATCTCATCTGGCTACTGGAGAAAAACCTATGTGTAGTCAATCCCAGGTAGGGGTGGGCATCCGGTTCGGTAAACCCGAACCGGACCGAACCGAAACCGAAGTCAACCGAACCGAAACCAAAGTATTCTTATTCGGTTCGAAAATCGGAAGCCAAAACTCAAGAGTTCGGAAACCAGGATCTTCTCAACCGAAACCGATTTCTGATTTCCGAACCGACCAACCGAACAAACACTCACAGTGTACAACTGCAAGCCCTGAGCCCACACAAATCCAAGCCCACACAACCCCAAGCCCGCTACATCTATTTTTCCATTTCTCTAAGGAAACCCTAGCCCACCCAAACCTCATTCTCACAACAATCACTAGCAGAAAGTGAAGGCTTGGCGGCGGTCCCTCGGCGACAAAAGAGGAGAACGGCAGCGGAGTTCAAGTCCCCGTCGGCGATTGCAAACGAAGGGAGGAGAAGGCTTGGCGGCCAATATTTGCTCGACGGCCGACGAAGTTCGAGTCCCCAAACCAAGATCTGCTCGACGGTCGACGCCATCACTTCCCTTCAAGCCTTCAACCAAATACAAAAAAGAAAAGCGAAATCGATGAGAAACGTAGATGCGAAGGAGAAAAACAAACCAAAAATTCCATGCATGCTTGGATATTAAGCCTTACTAACCTCTTAACCTTCGTCGTCGGATTGCCGTCGCCGTCGACTGGATTGGACCACCGCCTCCCTGCCGCCAGCTATACCCGCCCCGTCTCCACACGCCGAGCAATCTCTTCTTCCTCTTGCCGCGGCCGCTCATTGTCGCCGTTGCCGCTGGGTCGTTTTCTCCTTCAATCGCTGTCGACAGCCACCTGCCCCTGAGTTCTTCCCTCCGTCAATCGCAGGAGACGGGAGGAAAAATAGCCGCTGGGCGGCGGGCGCTGCTTTGTGATCTTAGGAGAGGAGAAGAAGAAGAAGAAGAGAGAGAGAGAGAGAGAGGGAGGGGGGGAGGAGGAGGAAGAAGAGAAGTGGTTCTCGACGAGAGAGAGAGAGAGAGAGAAGGGGGGGGGGAGGAGGAGGAAGAAGAAGAGAACTTTTCGTTCTGTAGAATTAGAAATGGTGGGTGGGGAAAGAGGGGTAATTCGGCTTTGACCATCCGGACCGAGCCGAACCGAGTTGTAATTCGGTTCGGTCGAACCGAACCGAATTACAACTCGGTTCGAATTCGGTTGGCGTGTTGAGCAACTCGGAAATTTGGCATGTGGTGGTTCGGTTCGGTTCAAACCGAACCGACCGAACGCCCACCCCTAATCCCAGGTTTCTGAGCATACTCCTTAGACAACCATTCTTACTTTATGGTTGTCCACAAAACCATCCTCCTTTAGTTTGATTCTGAACACCCACTTGATTCCAATACGTGTGATTCCCTCAAGCCTGTCTCTCTACTCAAACAAGAAAATGGAGCCCAGGTTAACACTCAACCAACACTACTGACTATGATAACTCGTGCAACTTGAAGATTGAATCACTAACAAACGGTGAAACTTTGAAATACTGTCGTCGGCAAAGACTATATATATGTCAACGACCTTTCTCCTTCATTCCTAACCCTTGTGGTTGATGCCTGTTGCACGAAGCGCCGCCTTGAGTCTTCCGACTGTATCTGCTTCGATTGCCTGCCTCGGTCTTTTTCTTGTTGAAGTGGTGTTGTAAATAATGCAGGCTTAAACCCTTTGCAACCGATAAGACCTTGCAATAGGTACCTCATATCTCTGAGTTTTCGAGTCAAGGGATGATGTAGTTTTCAATTCAACTCTTTTTGCTGCCAGTTTATCATCTTACTCAATTGTTACTCTCGCTTTCTTGTTACTTTCTCTAAACAAAAAACTACCTTCAAATGTTCAGAACGTAGGGTTTAGTTTTCATTTTATCAGGACAGGTATCTTTAAGTTAGGTTGGGCTTATTTGAAGTTACTTTTTGTAGTTGTGCAAAGGGCCAGGGTTTTTGAATGGCTTACATTCTTGATAGGGAAACAGATAGTTGTTTAATCATACGTAAAATACTCCGGGTACCATTAAAGTATAAGAATTGGGAGAGCTATACCGCTTAACTAAGAATAGTGCATCGCATACCACTGAACTCTATTATATGTGCACCCGGTACCACTTAAGTTTACTGTTAAGTGCATTCCATTAAAGTTGATAAAATATTCTTCGAATATTCCATTTTTTAAATTTCATAATTTGTCCTTCTACTTTTCTTATTGCAAAAAAATCATTTTGGACTTTTGAAAAAAATACTTTTTATTGTTTAGTTAGAATCCTCTTTTGAATACTTGATATCAAACCCATTTTTCAATAAAAAAATTTAGAATTAATTATCATTGTAAGTACTTTAAATTATCATTATGTGTTCTGATAATTGAATTATTTCACGAATGTTGTAGCTTTTATAGTCATATTTTCTTTTCTATATTTTTTACCGAATGTTGTAGTTTTTATATTTTATTTGTTACTTGGTTACTTTCCATCTCTTTTCGTTCTAATTTTTTTCAATTAGTGGAATATTTTTAATTCTTTTTTATTGTGTTCCATTCATTCTTCTTTAATTTTGACATATTGATAATCGATTAGGTGCTATTTTAACTATTTTTAATGGTGCTTCTAATTGAATTAGGGGGTTTAAATAGATATGCTAATATTGATTTTAAATAGTTATTATTATATTCTACTATATTTACTATTCTTCTTTATATTCGTTATTATGTTTACTAATTCATCTATTTTATTGAAAAATTTGATTAGTCATTCTAGTAATAATATGTTTAGAAGAATTTCTAAACATTAGATAAAACTTGTTGAAATATAGTTTTGGATGTTTTTAAAAGTTTTGGGTACCAAAAAGTAATTAAAAGTTTAGGTTGGATGGAAAAGTAGACGAATGCACATTTTGGCGACTTTAATGGTACCCGACACCCTATTCAAACTTAAGTGGCATCAGAGATATTTTACCCTAGAATCACACAATTTAGGGGTCGTTTGGTTTTGCTGATACTTCAATGCATGCATTGTGATATACATGCAATTAAGAAAAATGAAGCAATGTAATTTACCTTATTTGATTTTGGTGATAGTTATATTAACATTCAAAAGGTTATATTCATTTTTTTGTGTGAAATATCACTTTTACCCTTCTTTTTATGGGTTATCACTAAGAGTAAAATTGTTACAATAGTTTGTAGTAATAAATGACACCATTACAAGACCAGAAAACTCTGAAGGAGAACCATACATTTATCATGTTGCATATTCTTCAAGCATCAATATAACATCTTTCTGGTCTTTTCATTGAGACAACACAAATCCTAAACTATATGCTAATAATAGGAGCAAAAGAGCATGCCCAGAGAGCATAAGCCTGAATAAATGAATTACCAAAAACAAGGAAATGACTTTTTGTACTACTACTTACTAGAAATTGATCATATATAAAAACCAGCAACAGAGAGTCCCTGTTAATACATCATTTTGGTAAACAAAGCCACAAGCAGTTTGCTTGACCGCATCCCACCCGAATCCACTACAGGCCCCATTTTTTATATCGCATATGGCAGAATACTTTCCCTTGAACCAGCGATGCCTTGACTTCACATTTTCTGTAAGGCCTGGAAGCTTCTTCAGTATCAAAGCCTCGAGTTTCTTCAAGCCTCCATTTTTGAAATTTCCGCATTCCACTTCCTTTGTCTCGAGCAAATGTAGCATACTTTCAATGAACACTTCATCTTCCTTCTCTGTCCATTTGTTATACTCCTTTGCCTTCTTATCAACAGCAGATCCCTCAAACATTTCAACGTCAGCCATGGTTCAAACTGAAAAGCACAAACTGAACTTCAAACAAAACTTACAAAAAAACCAGCAAGAATAAAAAACCAAGAGATAGCTTTTTACCTGGATAGCTTTTACTCAATTCTTCTGCAGCACTTGTGAAGCTTTCTTGAGCATATATAAATACAGAGAGGAATACGTCTAATAAATTAATAACACCTACCCTAATAAATACTTGAACCAACAAACTACCTTTTGTCTTTACTCCACTTAATTAGAAGGTAAGCCTCTGTTAATTAATAAGCTACAACAAACACAAACCAAACTCTCCTCTGTCTAACCACTCACCCTATTGAATGTCTGCTTGATTCAATATAGCCACCCTACCTGGATTACTCCATCCCAAAAGTTCAAGGCAACCAATAACCAAAAGCAAAATTGGTATGTGTTGTTATACTTCACACATATTTAGTTAGCAGACCAGGTTCTAGTAGCCCCACATATCTTGAGCCAATTGCTGCCTAAATTGAGTCCACTCCGGTGTTGGCTGAATATGCATTATTAGGTCTTCATCCTCAAGGTCAAGTTCAGTAGGTGGATCTTCATCGCGGTACACCCTCTCAAAGACATCAGCAACCACCTCTCCTCGTATAAAATTATGAATTAGACAACAAGCATTCACGATTTTCGCCACCATATGAGTGGAAAACTATGTCTTGTCTCTCAAAATAGCCCACCGCATCTTCAATATACCAAATACTCGCTCTATAATATTTCTCGCCATTGCATGTCTCATATTAAAGATCTCTTTGGGACTTTTTGGTCTATTCCCACTCCACTCTTTAAGGTGATATCGTTGTCCTCAGTAAGGTGCTAAGAATCCTTGGCAGTTACTGTAACTAGCATCACACAAATAGTAGTATCCTAACCAAGAAAGAAACCTCTTGTCATTTAAACTAACAACAACATATGTTGTCGTCAAATAGTGTTTGGTAACAACCAACAAAGTCTGAAACTAGCACCTTCATCATATTTTATACAAATTGCAGCAACTGTACCTACTGTGTTTTAATGTTTACCTCTAGGAACCTTCAGTCCATTTGGCCTAATAGGAGCATCTCTTAGAAATCTTCCATCATGAGCCGACCCTTCCCATCCTGACAAGACATAAATGAACTCTAGGTCTTGATTGCAAACTCCCAACGCATTCATACCAATCGTTCCCTTACGCATCTGATATCTTTCTTTTTTCTCTTTGGTTGTCCGTACATCTATTATGGTTCCATCAAGGGCACCAAGGCAATTCTACAAAATGAATGAACATATATAAGTAATACGGTATGAAACTTCAAGCAAAACACCATGTGGTAAACAAATTTACCTTGAAGTGCTTCCACCTTAGATCTTCTAAATTCTCAAGAACCGGCTTTGGCTTACGAAGTAGAATAGGGTGAAGTTTCAAGACTGAGTTAAGGACACGTTTGATAACCCTACTAATGGTTTCCCCTGAACGTCGACAGGTTTTTTGCAGAACTCGATTCTTTTCATTATGCGCTATGGTGTATAAAAAGATGGCAACCATCTCATCTATGCCCATGTGCCAACTACACCTAAGGCCCCCTTGATCTCTAAGAAGAGTACATAGAGTTTTAAAGGAACTACCGTTCATTCTAATAAGAATAGTGCTAGATATGTCACCATGGGAAGTGATACATGCCATGAATGAATTCCTAGCTTCTAGTCGTTTCATGGGTGTCTCCCACACTGTAACATGTTCTGTTACTTGAACAACTTCAGATTCCAGTTCCTTATAATACTGAATAATCAACTTAACAAGGTTAAACACTAACTCGAAATATGCAGATACTGTGACTGCAGCTGCCTTCCTCCTCTGCATACGACACCTTTCCATGGCCAAAACAAAATACCAATTAACTCTCTGGAAGCAGCAACCTGTATGAGTTCTTCATTCCCAATTTTGATGATGCTGACACTAATTGCACCGATTGGACAGGCGGCGCGACGAGGCTATCGGTAGCTAGGTCGGTATAAACAGGGGAAGATGTTATAGCAATCGCGGATGGGGGAGGCCGAGGAGGTCGGATTATTTCTCGGACGACTACGGGATTGAGTTTTGGTGGCGCTTAGTAAAGCTGAAATTGAGCTTTTGCAGGCGGTGGAATTTCTGGGTAGAGACCTCGAAAATTGGGGGTGGAAGGTGAGTGGCTATGGGCGGGTGGAACGAAAAAAGTGGAGGGAAGTGTTCCCGGCAAAATGTGAGAGATGATTAGATAAACAATTTCATAAGGGTATTATGGGTATATAAATAAATGTGTAGGGACATAATTGGAACAAAATAACATGTAAACAATCTCCTTTAAACATTCCCAACAATCTCAAGATTTGCTTGAGATAGTAATATCACTAAATATGAGTGATTTTTTCCATCAAATCAACAAAAAAATGGTTGCATTGTTGAAGAACAAAAGTCAAAAAAATAATGCATTGTTAACAATACACACATTGTAACAATCCTAGCTCAACTAATACCAAAACCAAACGACCCCTTAGTTTTTCTTCTCCTCATAGACAGTCCATAATCACACATCTTGGTTTGAGTTGCATACTACCTGCAATCGATTTTGTCCGTCTCTAGTCCCCTCGCCGTCGTCGAGTTGACAATGGTGGATCCTCTCTCCCTTTCTCTTTCATCATTACTTTTCGTGAAAAGCCTTATTCCTTATTTCCTCTTCGAAGAGCAGTGCACCGACAAAGAGCTTCTCTGACTAGTGTGTGGTGCTCCCCGATGGTCCATTTTTCTTTTGGCGCAAAGAGTGGCTTTGAGAAAAGGTGTTGAAACTTTTCAGGGTTTAGGGGGTCGTTTGTTTTTTGTGATAGTTTAGGTGGGATTGTTACAATGGATGCATTGTCGACAATACATCGTTTTTCTTGATTTTTTTCTGCAACAATACATGCATTATTTTGTTGATGTGATGGAAAGAATCACTCAAAATGAGTGATATTACTATCTCATGTAAAACTTGAGATTGTTGAGATCGTTTGATTCTTTTTTTTTTGTTCCAATTATATCCCTAGTTATTTATCTATATTCCCATAATATCCTTGAACTTTTATTATCTAATACGCTCTCATTTTCCGGGAACACCCATGCTCAGTTCCCTCTACTTTGTTTATGGATGTCTCTACCACTGGCTTAATTTAAAACCCTCTTCCTTCAAAATTTCGTCGTCGGTCTAGCCCTCTCAGTCTCGTCGTCGTTCTCCTCAAGTAGAATACATGTGTCTATCTCTATAATTCAAAGAGAGGTAGAATTACTGCAAATCGGTATTCGTCTATAACCCATAAAAACAAGGGTAAAAAAGATATTTCATAGAAAAAAGAAATACACTTTTTTGAATACTAAAACAACAATCACCAAAAGCAAATGATGTAAACTACATTACATCATTTTTCCTAATTGCATGTGTATTACAATGCATGCATTGACAACAATGCATTGATTTAATTATTACCAAAACCAAACGACCCCTTATAGTGTTTCGCTTCTGGTACATTCATAACTAGCAAATTTACTGGAGGGAAGAGGTCAAGATGGGAACTCAATATGTTTTACGGGGTGTGGATTATGTTTTTTGGAAGGGGGAGAATATGAGGTTGGGTGATTGTAAATTAACTAGGGGTAATGAATTCAATTAGGGGTATGTTAGTTATTTTATATCATCTAAATCATAGTTGGACCAGTTTAATAGTTTATGGATGAAAATTTCAATATAGAGGCATGTTTGATTATGATTTCAAAATAAAGCGGTATTTCTGATGTAAAACATTGCAAAGGGGCATGTTTGATAAAAATGCATAGTAGAGGGGCATATTATACTTATAACTCTTTAATAAATTACATTTTAGAAAGTTACAAAAACATATTAATTAAAATTTTCTCTTCTCTCTTTCTCTTCCACAAATTTTGAACGAGCTCTCTATCTTCTTTTTTCTCTATCTTTTCCTTGTCTTCGTTCAGGAAAACTTATATCGCTACAAAAATAAAACAAGAAATCAAACCATATATGTAATCCTTCGCCTACTTCTCTATCCTCTTCACCGCACCAGCAGCAAAATCTTTGAGACAACTCCTTGCCAGGTAGAGGGAGAGGTGGGGGAGGGGGTGTTGAAGAATGATGGGCGGGCAGGTGGAGAGGGGGCACCTCCTCGTTTAGGAGGGGGAGAGAGGAATGGACATTCTTAGAGTTTTGGGCACCATCCACGGATATATAAAGTTCATGAATCAATTTACTAGAGTGCAATAAGACTATGTTAGAAAAAAAAATATTAATTAAAATATTCTTTATCCCTGTCTCTCACTTCCATAGATATTCAACAGCTCTATATCTATTTTTTTTATCTCAATCTCATTGTCTCTGTTTAGTTTATCTAATACCACTTCGAAAAATAAAACAAGAAATTAATATCAATATGTAAAAACCAAATTTGTAATCCTTTGCTGGCTCCTCCTCGTTACCGTAGCAAAGCATTGAAGGACAACTCCTTATCGGATAGAGGAGGGAAGGGCGAGGGGGGGGGGGGGGGGAAGAACGGAGAGAGGAAGGATCGGTAGGGGGAGGCAACACCTCCTCGTCGAAGAGGGAGAGAGAGGAATGAGTATTTTTAGAAGTTTGAGCACCACACACGAAAGCAAAATAGATCAAAGTGCAATAAGACTATGTTGTGGAACAAACTAATGGAAATGTCATCTCATAAAAAAAAATTCCAACGGGTTGATGAAGAAGTTGCAAGTCGAGGTTAATGTCCAAAGATTTTGAATATCTTGCTTATGTTATTTAAACAATGTTTAATCCCAACCGTTGTTCTCTCGACTCTCGGGGTGATCTATCTTTTGCAGAAGCTGCATGACCCTAACATGTAAGTAGATATTTGTTCTTTTATATATTGTTTTCCACTAATATAAGTAGTTTTATCATGTTATTTAAAAGAAATAGAAATGTCGTTTTTTGTAGATCTACGAGTTGAGGGCTCATCTACTTCTATCCATCTACCATGAATTTGGAAAAGAAATTGGGAATTATAAGTAGGCTAACGAGGTTGTTAATGAATGGTCACAAACTCAAAGGAAAATGAATATGGTATGTGTGAAATTGATTGCAGAGTTGTATGTGTATAGTGCCGAGGATTGACCAATTTGCCAATGTCAAACTCCAAGGTATCAGCGGACTTTACAAAAATGTCCAATATATATGAGGTTCTCAATGGTAAAAAGTTATATACTGTTATGGTGATCTTAACCTACATTTTAAGGTTATAGTTAGTTTAGAATTTAAGATCCTTATTGAGGGAGTGGGTATTGGGGGCTTCAGTACCCGGGATAGCCAAAGGCTTAATCTTAGTTATTGTTATTAGACTAATGGTTCTCCGTGCCATACTTGTTGCAAACTCAAGGCCGAACAGGATGCAAAAGACATGGCCGCGAGGCATTCTAGGGACAGACTGAAAGCATAGTTGGAGTCTAATAGTACGGTGGTAGAGAAGGCAAAGGTGGATGACCTGAAGAAGGTTGTAAAGGAAGAGCAAGAAAAGAAGGCCAAAACAGCGAAGGCGACTGAGAAGAAGGTGGCAGAGGTGGAGAAGAAGGCGATGGAGGCAATTGAGAAGCTGAAAACCAGGGTGGCTGAGCTAAAGGCCAAGAAAGCGAGAAAACAAGCAGAGAAAATACAAGCGGAGGCCGGAGGCATCAGCGGCGGTGGAGAAAATATTTGATCGGTGAGGGTTGTCAGTTAAATTAAGTTATTAGCTAGGTGTAGTTTTCTTTTCTTAATCTTTGTAAACTAGTTTCTAACTCAGAATCTTGTGCTTAGAGAGGAAGAGGCATTCTTAGATATTTGGGCACCATTTTTTAAAGCAAAAAATTTCATGAATTAAATTACCTAAGTGCAATCTATCTATATCTATCTATATCTATCTATATCTATCTATCTATCTATCTATATCTATCTATCTATCTATCTATACTATATATTATGGCAATTCAAAAGTAACTTCTTGCCACATAAGCACTTGGAGAATTCACAAGTTGCCAAGGTGGACAATTTTTTTGCAAACAAAAAATATAATTATTGATCTATTTATGATGCTATCTCTCTCTTCTTTTAATACTTCTACTCATGTTTACTAAACATTAGTAATAAGTTACATATTGATGAAAATGTAAGGAAACACACATAAGCAATAATATTTATGTCAATTAAAAAAATATAAAATGAAAACAGTGAGTGACATATATTGCATTTGTTAAAATAAAAAAATATATTATATCTTCTCAAGTAAATTTTCTATCCATTTCACTAAAACCTAAATAATAATTTCATTTTGATGAACAAGTAAAGAAGTACACACACAAATAATATTTTTTTATCGATTAAATAAAATATAGCGATAAAAAGAGAGAAAACAAGCGTTTGACAATCAATCGACTTTGATAATGACTTGACTGCCAATGTGGTACTCCCGTCCCACCCAAGATTTTCTCGTATGAAGCAACTAAATTGGACCTTACGTGGGCTAACACGATAGCAGGCCGAGCCCGACTTCCCGGGATGGCAACATCTCTTCGTACCTTATATGGATTTGGAAGGGGTAGAAATCCGAAGTTGGCGTCCGAAGTTGGCGTTGGAGTCGGCCGTCTGTTGTCCCTCTATTAGTTTCAATTCCTCACCGAAGTCTGAAGGAGCGGTAGAAATCCGAAGTTGCTGCAGGGCGGGTTGAATTTGGATTGTTTAATTTTGTTTTAGGTGGAGACCGGTGGCCAATGAAGTTGTATGTAGCTCAACTGAAACCATTCATCACTTATTTAGTTATTCCAGCCTAACAATATTTTCTTTGATTTCACTAATAGTGTAGACCAATCTTGCAATTTGTAATATTAACAATTGATTTAAACGTGTAATATGATCAAGCTACTCAACTTTCAACGACATCACATGTATTTAGCTTAGGAGAGACCTAGAGAGATATCGGGGTTCTATTTTTCTGGTTAAATGATAATTTTAACCGTTTCATCGTTTATGATATGGGATTTAAAACAATTGTTCTCACCACTTTTGGTTTTTTTGTTTAATTGGGAAACCAATAACAAACCAAAAAATTTCACTTTGCTTGAAGATTTGCCCTTTGTTTAATTTTCAATTTCGAGTTCAAGAGGATACATTTATAAAAAATTTATTTTTGTGACTACGTGCCAATTTAACAGAAATGATATTCCACCTCTACATTTGGGCCTTTTAGGCACTTTTGAAATGGATGGTAGTGTGCCATTTGGTTGGGATCGGGAAAGGGAGGGAGAGAGGACATTATCAAACAAATTAGTGAAATGGCGGGACAAATTATATTCATCTACGAATGAATAAAAATATTATTATTACTAGCACTGGGCTTGGCCTGTTGGCCGGGAGAGTTTAGCCGAAATAGTTCAGAAACACCAAGACAAATTGTCAAACTATGCATAATGTGTCACAATATAATAGAAAGAGTAGAAAATTTATATAACCTTATATAGAATGCAACTAAATGGTCTTTGTCTATTTATAATTGAGGTGTGCTACTTAAGTAAACTATATAGTTGATTATTGGAGTTGTTTCCCATGATACATATGTAATCAACCTTTAGAATGTTGTTGTAGTGTTTTCCCCAATAGAAATCATTATTGTTGATTAGAACACGGGTGATGGATCTGAAGTTTGCAGGCTTTGAAGTATATAGAGCACGATTCAAAGTTTTCACTAACCCTCATATCATAATGTGAAAATTGCCTTACAACAATGTATAATTTGTCTTAGAATGTATATAAATAATGAGGATGTCTAAAACAGACCACATAGAAGATAGGGCGATGCAAAGAATGAAGAGTTAAAAATCTCTTACCATATTGGAAGAAGATAATTGAAATTATTTTATTTCTCGAATTGAACAAATACTGTCACGTTTTTTTACAACTTCATAATGTTTCACTTTAATCTTTGTTTCATTGCCCTTAGTATAGGAAAATAAGTGAATATTCCAAAGGTTATTGTTTGTGACTACCATTATATCTATATAGATCAAAACATTTACTTACAACTTTAACAAAGAGTGCAGTCAGGGGCGGATCTTGGAATTACACCAAGGGTATTCAATAATGAAACAAAAGTATCAAGGTCTGCCTCCACTAATTACACCAGCACAGGCCTGCCCTGGATGGAATAGAAGATAATTCAAATTAAATTTGGAGGTCGCAGAAGACATTAATTCCATCAGTTATTCGTTGTTGATTGTCATTGACTCCTAACTTTTCGTTGACAACTTCATCTCCTTCGATAAGTTCGATTCTATAACGTATTATAAACGGTTACAACACATACATAATAATCAAACTCTCCTGGCCAACAGGCCAGGCCCTGTGCTAGTAAGACTATGTTGTGAAACAACCTAATGAAAAGTCCATCTCATCAAAAAGAAATTCAACGGGTTGATGAAGAAGCTGAAAGGTCAAGGTTAATGTCCAAAGATTTCGGAGATCTTGCTGATATTATTGAAACAATGTTTGATCCAGCAATTAGCCTCTCGAGTTGATCCATCTTTTGCAGAAACTAAGTGACCCTAAATGTAAGTACGTATACATTTGTTTTTATATGTATTATTTTATGGAATTGTTTCAGTTGCCAAAAATACAAGTAGTGTCGTTCTTTAGAAAAAGATTGTGAAATGTGTGTCTTTTTGCAAAACCTAGGAGTCGATAGCTCATCTACTTTCATCCATCTACCATGAGTAGGGAAAGGAAATCAGAAATTTTAAATGGGCTAGCGGTTATGGTGATTACAATAAAGTAGTAGTCATGGTGGCAACCAAGGCCAAGTTGGGTATGGAAAATATTTATAAATTTTTTATAATAAATTATATTTTGAGAAAGTTATAAAAATATATTTATTAAAATTTTCTCAGTCCCTCTCTCACTTTCACATATCTCCAACCACTTCTCTATCTTTTGTTTCTCAAATAAACAAGTCAATACTAATCCATTAAACAAAAACTACCATTTCAAAAAAAAAATACTAATACCATTATAGAAATAAATACAAAATCAATACCAAAACATAAAAATACTAGGACATGGGGAGTAAGATGACACCTCATCGCCAGGGAGGGAGGGAGACGGATGAATTGTAGGATTGAGAAAGAATTATTTAGAATTTCGGGTGCATATATGGAAAGCCAAATATTAAGTAATGCAATCATGTGTAATTATTATTATATTTCCAAAACTATCTCTAATCAATCATGACAATCAGTTAAAAAATGATGAGAGTGAAGGAAGGAGATGAAGGTAGCCATGGTGGCTACTAAAAAAACAATAATCATCATAACTCATCTTTACTAGGGACATATATACTAGATTGGGGCTCGCCCGTTGGGCTGACATATTTCGTAAATAGCATAAATAAAATTAGCAATTACACAAAGCAATATATATTTCTATTTGTGATGTGACCAAAGTACGAAGCTTTCCTACTTTTTATGGGTTTTCGAAGCTTTTCTCCAACGAACAAGAACTCGAACAAAAGATAATGATGGAACACGATCAAACAGATTCCAACTCGTGTGAAAGGCCAATTGGTATATGAAACCAATCAAACAATCACTCACTCGTGAATAAGGCCAATCGCTATTTGGTAGATGCTCGCCACAACTAAACGCGTTCTTCAGTTGATAAGAGACACGTGAAACTCCTGGAGACTCTCGACAGAAGCTTGCACAAAGAACTCGTTCACAATGAACTAGAACTCAACTTTGATTGATAACTTGAATATTGGGTACAAAATCCGTAGATCTTACACCCTCTATTTATAGAGGTCTCAAAACATAAAACTAATCTAAAAGGAATAGGAAAACAAATCCTAAACTAACTATAATTAATAATAAACAATTAACTTCAAAACAATGCCGACGCTACTGCTGGCGCGCGTCCTCCTTCCTTCTGTAGCGGTTGCGGAATCCTTCTCCGTTGCGGAATTGGCCACCTCCTTCACGAATTGCATCACATGGGAGGCACGCCAGATGGGTTTTGTTATTGTGTCTTTTTCCTTCCAAATTCAAATAACCACAATAACTAATTAATGAAACAAACCCATGCTTTGCCATGTACTTCCAGATTTGAATTGGAATAATTAAGCCACATGAACTAATAAATAATCCATGTGCTAATTGTCTCATGAAAACTCGAATGCATGCAGAACGCCACTTTATACCCACGCAACGCCATTTATCCATTAAGCATGCTCCCAATTGATTCTTATATCGTCGAATCTGAATCTTCATTTTTGGACCACGGGAATTTAATATTGTGCTAGTCGATATCGCATCATTCCCTCTCTCTTGAAGAAGATTCGACCTCAAATCTTTATAGAACTTTGAACCACGACCAGCACCACTCATCTTGCTCTTCCAACAAAATTGTATTGAGGATCGTATTATTCCCTCCTTCTTAAGAACAATTCGTCCATGAATTATAGAGACACCATTGTAATGAAAGCTCTTTACGTAGCGCTGAATTTCTTGTCGATTCTCCCGGCGGGCTGCCTCTTCTAAGATTGCATCACCAATCACATAATCAATATGAATAACTTTGGAAAGTATTGGTAAATCCTCCATAATTTCCAAGCACTCATCTCCTCGATCAAAATCTGGTTCCTTAATGTATTGCTCAACTCCAGGTGCACTCAACACTGACACATCAACAAGAACATCTTCTTTCACCTCTTCTGCCTCTTGTAATTCTTCTATTTCAAGTTTTGGTTCTTCTTGCGATGAAATTAAAGCTTGTGAATCCTCTTCACAAGTGACTATAGTAAGTCCATCAACAAGAACCTCTTCTTTCGCTTCCACGTCTTCTTTTACTTCCTCTTCTACTTTGGCTTGAAACTCTTTCTCCTTCTTCAAATTCTGTTGCATTTGAAGTTGATCCTCATAGATTTCTTTGGGAGATAAAGGTTTTAATAGGAACTTCTGACCTCTACGCGACCACTTGTACTTCTTGGTGACTTCATCTTGTTGTCCATTTCTATCAAACTGCCATGGTCTTCCAAGCAAAACATGAGCCTCTTCCATTGGCACCACATCACAAAGGACTTCATCTTTATAGCGTCCAATCTCAAACTTCAATATGGCTTGCTTGGTGACCTCAATTGATTCATCTTCATTTAACCCCAATTTCTTCACCGAATATTCACTCACCAAATTAGTGCAACTCTTTCCATCAATCGAAACCGATAGTAGTTTACCATTCGCTAAGCATCTCGTTTGAAATTTATTCTCCCTTTGCTCGAGCTCTTGCTTTGAATTTGGACTCCCTATCGTCAAATGAGCTTCAGGTTGGATTATTGTTGCTGGCGCATTATTCCCCTTTAACCCTTGAAGAATAACTTCCGTCGTCTTGAGCATTTGCTTCATCATCTCCGTGAATCGTTGATTTTGCTCCGTTGATGCCTTTCAAGAGCTAACAAAAACAAAAACAAATTTTTTTTCCTTCCCACACGTACAGCTTTGTGGCTGTAAGACAATTATTTTTTTCACGTGAACAGTACACATAAAAAAAACAAAACTCTTTTTTTTTCTCACGTGAACAAAAATAAATAAAAAAACCCTCTCTTTTTTTCCCTACCAACTCACGCAAACTAATGAAAAAGAAAACAATTTTTTTCTCTCTTTTTGTTGTTCAAAACAAAAGAAATGAAAATCAAAATAGTTTTTTTTCTTCTTTTTTTTCTAGCAACTAACGATAAAAATACCTTAAAAAATCTTCTTTTCTCCACTGTGTTTGAACCAGTGATTTTCAATCGCCGCTGAGTTTGAACCTAGTGTGCTTCGAGCCTAGTCCACTGTCCAAATTTCGATTTGAGGGCTCCAAGTAAATGTTTCCATGCAAATTGCCTGCTCAGTATGCTTTGAATTGACAGTCTCTATAGTAATTTGCAACCTAGGGAGGTAGTGTAGCACTATAGAGGATGTTGAAGTATAAGATATTTCCTATCTAGCTCTCTGCTGTGCAGGTTGATTTTGTGAATTAGTGGACCTAAGACCGTTGAATTCATGTGGTAATGGTGACACTGTTTGGATTGTGTTATGGACTCGTGTATCGAACAGGGTGCTCATATGGAAAATGGGAAGCAATTGGTCCTCCATGTCAAAATCAATAAATCTTAAACATAGGGTAAGCCGTTGTGTGCAGCACCGTTCATTGCACAAAATTGGGTTTTGGAAGAGATTTTAGTGATTCTTAGTGGGGTACTCCTACAAGGTGAAGCTAAGCTGTCTCTAGTACAAGTAAACTTCCACCCGTTGAACGGTTTGCCTACATGAGGATGTGTTTTTAAGGGCACGGATAGAGCTTCCGACCCCCCTTAATTTCATTGACCCTCCACACGAGTTGAGGAAAAAGAGTTAAAAGAAATACTCTGGCGAGCGCCAGATGTACAGAAATTGCTCTTGCTCGACTAATAAGGGTCGACCGTGCAAAAGACTGCAGTTGGAACCCCCGCCAAGTGAATGAAGAAAAAAAGAGAAAAAGAAATGTAAATGAAAGTGCAAAAAGGGGTTCCAACGGTGAAATGAAGTGAAAGAGCACCCCGGCATAACGAGTCCTTGGTTGTGAATGGTGTGAGTCCCTTTTTCCATGAACTGGTTGTCTTACTTCCACTTCTTCTCATGATCCTAGCTTGAGTCTAGTACTCGCATTGAGAGAGATTGGGGACGTCTTAGAAGACCAGTTGACCTCGTAAGCTGCTATATGATCTAGGAAATCCTCTACCGACGATCGGGGTTGTTTGTTGCTATAGAGGTCTGGAGAGCTGCATTGGTTTGAGTTAGGTTTGCTTGGGGACAAGCAAACGGTTAAGTGTGGGGGAATTTGATAACATCAGATTTGCACATGTTTGCACCCTCGTTTCTTGATCATTTTGGCTTGAGTTTCTGCTTTCTTGGACTATTTTACGCTAGGTTGTGTTCCTTTGTCACATTTCAGGTCCTAGCATGTAAATTGAAGCATTAGCGCAAGTTTCAAGTCAATCGGAGATCATTTGACAATTCGGGAGAAGAAACACGAGCATGACCTGAGGAATAAAGGACTTCTACATCATATTATGGACAAATAATCGTGGAATCTTGTCATGAAAATAAAGAGGACGAGACTACGAGCGTCTGGGATCAAACGACGACTGATTTGGAGTCCGGACGAGGGAGAAATGAAGCATTAAATAGAGGCTGGGTAAGCTACACGGGTATCCTGGAACTCCACACGGCCATGTGGGTCATGGCCGTGTGGAAATCACCGAGCCTTCACACGGGCAGCTGGGAAAGCCACACGGCCGTGTGGCTTGGCTGCGTGATCGGGAATTTCTGTTTATAACCCGATTTTGAGCAAAAGGAAAGGGGAGAGCTGGGTTTTTGGTTCCCAAACACCCAAGGGACGAACCCTAGAGAGAGAGAGCGACTTGGGAACATTCTTGGAGCTATTTTGGAGGATTTCTTCGCCATTGGAGCTCGGGAATCAAGCTTGGAGATGGAGATTGAAGATTTAGATCAGAATTCTGCAGTCTCTCTCTTCTTTATGGAGTAACTTCCCTTCACTTAGGTTTTGAGGAACCCTAGTCCCATGTGTTAGGATCTTTCTTGTATGAAGTTTTGGATGCTATATTGTTTGATTATAATCGATTGAGGCATGATTTATTAAGTCAATTGAATCTTGATCAAATTCTCTTGATTTCTGCTTTAACCTATGATAGATAGAATCTGATTAGGTTAAGAGAGCTCCTTGATTGATAGTGGTGAATTGGTTGTGCGAGAGTCAATCAATTCACTGCTTTGTACTGGAATTCATTCCAGTAGTGGAGTTCTGTGTTCATAGCCTCAGCTTTCTATCCTGGTGAAGACTAGTCGTTTGCCGGGTAGTTGGACTGAGAGGGCTTGGTCAGCTTAAGAGATTCTAAACTAATTTAGGATCTTCCGCAGTTTAATCAACAGTAGATCAACCAAAGGTAATTGCAACTTGGACCTAATTGAGGAGCTAGGGGGAATCATACCTAAGTGAGTTCCCAACTTGTAATTAGTAGAGTAGTCAGTAGAGTAGTTTATAAATCAATCCTTAATCTAGTTTGCTAGATAATGAACTGAAGCTGAGTAATAGTAACTCTAGAGACCCGTGGATTTGATATTTATTACTTGTGCCACTATACTGCAGTCCCTTTCATTGGTTACACTTGGCCATTGTTAGGTGTTGTGTTTTAGCGTGTCACCTAGGTACTTTGTTTATATATATTCTCTGTCTTTCATATGTTATTTCTTTATCCCATATGTGATTTTGTTTCTCTATTTCAGCAGGTCTTGGTTGATTGTAGTATCCTCAGGGGAGTTCTCCTTCTATGTCGCACAGCTAGGCAAATCAGATTCACCCGATTGAAAGGGAAAGTATTCGTTTTACATGGGTTTCATTGCAATGGGGCAACAAGTGCAGTCGCAGAGGAATTCTCTGTTCTTGGCGCAACACAACTGTTGGCAGAATTTTACTCTTCTTCTTCTTTCCTCATATATGCGATGTCAACAGCTGGTAAACAGAGTTTCAGACAACCTAGACTAGGTTTATGTTCCTAATGCTGTAGTAATTTACTCAGATGACCTTAATTTTTATCCGCATATGCAAAGTTGCAACTATGCACTGGTGAAGGATTCAAAAGAAGCCATGATTCTTGGCCTACTAGGTTGTTGTTGTGAAGCAATGCCTTCCATGCTAGGCTGTTTGTTCTAATGCTCATAGTCACTGCTTGGAATTTAGATGCTTTCTTTTTAAGGCCTTAAGTTGTGATCCTTTTCTCTCTTTTGGTTATTCTTATTAGCGTTTGCATTGCCTAACCCTAAGCTTGCTAATGATTGACAGAAAATACGAGACTTTGAGGTGTTTGTTACTATTGCTTACACTGTGAAAGGAGGTTTCCACAAGCTTTATATTTTGAGCACAATTAGTTTAACTTTAATATATTCTTTTATTGGGGTTTACTCCTGTTGTGTTGTGGTGCGTGAATTGAGTTCAGATTGTGGGGTTTGAGACTGGGATTCAAAGCGGCCAAATTAGTAATTGTGTAGATGTGAAGAGGTTACACTAGTTCCGTTCCTGTACTGTTCCCACACGCCTATTTTGCTTCTGCTATGTGGGTTGAATGCTTTGTAGTTTAGGCAATCTCCCCTATTGATCTTTTCGTGTATTTGAGGTTTGCCTGGCAATCCATTATCCATCATCTTCCTAGATATGGCATTTTTTACGTTGAGTGAACTTTGATTTTAATTTTGGTTTGTTGTTTTTCTTGCAGGTTAATCATTTAAAAATGATGCTCAGGATATGTTGTTTTCCAATTCAAGGAAGATCATCTGCTTAGAAATACATTCCAGTTGTTTTAGTTTTCTTTGAGTTGAATTGTACAAGGCGGAATTGGTATTTATAGTTCTTGGTCTCATGTTATTCGAAAAAAATTGTAATGGTGTGATTTAGCAGATGAATATGCTCGAGTTTGCTCTAAAAACATTCTGATTGTTACTGCATATATGTGTTGAGTTCTTTGGCAGGTCTCAAAAGGGGCCTATCAGGTAGCTCAGATTTGATTCTAATTGGAACACCGGGTCCTATTATCCTTAGGAGTTAATTGCAAAATGCTTGATTTTGTAATCATGTTATGGGATTCTAAATGGCACACCATGCACATCCCATTAACCTATTTATCTTATGGACAAATCTTTCTGTAACCCTTCATATATATGCAATAAAAGTTTTGGCTGCTAAGGTTATATCTTTGACAGAGGTTTATAAACAATATTTACACATACTTTGAATCTCACAATACTACAGATTGCGTACTTCTATTTTTTTTGTATTAGTCACAAGTCTCGGCGCAGAGTGCGGGTATAGAAAACTAGTTTAAAATAAAGGGGAAGAGCTGTTGGCCAAAAGAAAAAACTAATATTTTAAAGCCTTAATTAATAATGGCTTGTAGTGGACAGATGGGAGAGTGTGATTGGATGGGTGCACCACATCACCAATCCTAGTTGGTGCGCCCGTCCCACCCAAGTTTTTCTCCTAAAACTACTAGTTGAACCTCTAAATAACCAAATAAAATAATGAAAATAACAACTCCAAATACGCTGGCACGCGTTCTTTCTCCTTGGTGGATTTGGTCTTCATGATGCGTTCCTTTTCCTGCCGCCAAAAGACAACACCATTGCATTCCTTTTGTGAATTGGATTTTCTTTTTTTATTGCTTCACGTGGCCAGTTCCAAGCTAATTGGACATTCTTCAGATGAACTTTAATTGTAGTGCAATAAGAACTCTCATGCATCCAATTTTCACTTTAATTGCCATAAGCACCAATCACGTAAACCCTATGCCCAGAATGCAATTTGATATCCATGTAGCGCCATTTATTATTTTAAGCATGCTCCCAATTGATCCTTATAACATCTTATTCGAACCTTCATTTTTGGACCCCAAGAATTAAATATTGCACTAGTCGATATCGCATCATTCCCTCTCTCTTGAAGAAGATTCGACCTCGAATCTTTATAGAATCTCGATCTCTCATCAGCATCACTCTTCTTGTACTTCGAACTAAATCGTCTTGGTAAGGATCGCATTATTCCCCCCTTCTTAAAGACAATGCGTCCACGAATTGTAGAGACACTGTTGTAATGAAATCTCTCTATGTAGCGTTGAATTTCTTGTGATTCTCCCGGCGGGCTTCCTCTTCTAACATTGCATCACCAATCACAAAATCAATACGAGCAACTTCGAGAACTATTGGTGAATGCTCCATAATTTCCAAGCATTCATCTCCGCCTTGAATTCTGAATCCTCAATGTAATGTTTAACTTTTTGCACACTCAAATCTGGAACATCAACAAGAATACCTTCTTTCATCTCCTTTGCCTCTTCTAATTCTTCTAATTCACTTTCTAGTTCTTCTTGAGCTGAAATCAAAGCTTGTGAATCCTCGTCACAAGTGACTATAGTAAGTCCATCAACAATAACCTCTTCTTTCTCTCCTTCTACTTCGCCTTCTACCTCAACTTCCTCACCATTGATTGAACTTGAAGAAACCTCGAACTCAGCTTGAAGCTGGTTCTTGTAAAAAACGTAACAAAATGCCTCCCAAATCGAGTCACAAAAGTGGTACCATGAACTTGCCATTTCGAACATCAAAATTTCGTTAGCGCGTGAATTTGCTGCTGTTTCCCACGATTTGAGCTTCATCACATTTGTGGGACTCCAATGGACCTTCCCCACGCAAAACACATCGCCTCAATTTTCCAGAATCCGGCGGACAATTCCAGACTCCGGCGAAGTGGCATTTTTCGGCGAGTACTTCGAATTTGGGGCTTCCTTTTCACAGCCATCTCGATCCAATTCACTGCCCACAATCGACTCTTTTGGCTCCCAGTGATCGATCCCATGCATTCCCGTGCTCTGAATCTGCTCAAATCGCACCAATTGTTGATTTCCAAATTTTCCGCCGACAGAGGATTCGAATTTTCCAGAATCCGGCGAAGGATTTCCAGAAATCGGCGAGCCAAATTCCAAATTAAGCGTTTTCAGTACAGGGATCTCCACGACGAATTGAGCATTCCTACAGCTCCCTTGGACCCCTAGAAACTTACCAACAACCCCCAATTGGTTCGAATCAACCACGAGCTCCTCAACCCATGCGACCAATTTCCCTTCGTATTTCACCATTTCCAGAGGCATTTTGGCTCGAATCGGATTCTTCGTTTCAGCTTTCTTTGGGTCAATCCCTTCCAGCAAATTCGTTCTTGGAGTGTCCATGAGTGTGTTGGCGGTGTCAGCTTCGATCGATTCAGCCCCCAAGACTCCCCCCAATTCTCTCTCTCTCTCTCTCTCTCTCTCTCATGCTCTGCCCTGTCGAAGACATACAGGGGCTGCCTTTGCCTGCGGAGTTGATCGACGAATCAACTTCCTCGATTCTCAGTTGATCTGGAAAGCTTGGCATTGGAAAAACCTCTCCTTGACCTTCCAGCAACGGCCCAGAAGTAGCATCGTCCTTTTTATCTCCCCTCAGCATGACGTCGTCGTCTTTAGAACACGAACTCTGTTTGGCGGGAGGAAAACAGGGATGTTTATCGTTGAGCAGAGTCTGGACAGATTCGACTTTTGTCGGCGACAATTTGGATACCAAAGCCCTATGGTACTCCTCCTGGAGTCTTGGTACTTCCCTCACGTCGCCAGCAGCTTCCTTTGGAGATAATGGATTCAATACGAAAATTTTGTTTCGTTTCCTTACTCTGAACTTTCTGCTTCTTCTGCTAACGAAATCGACGTGTCGCTTTCAAAACCAAGACTATCCCAACACGATGTGGCTGGGTAGATTGTAAACCACGTCGCAAATAAGCTGGTCTTCGTATTTTTCGATCGAAAATTCAACCGCTGCTTGAAACATTACGATGCTTGATGTGTTTTCGTACGATGATTGGAAACTATAGAGCTTCGAAAGTAATTGGAATTGCAGCCCTAGCTTGCTTGCAATTCTTTCCGAAATCAAATTCTTCTCTCTACCTCCATCCACGAGAACCAAACACAACTTCTCTTGGATTAAACAACGCGTGAATACCATCGAACGTGCTAGCTCCTCGGACGCCATTGTTGCTCTGTTTCGTGCTGGATTTTTTATACGAAACTAAGCCTTAATCCTTCTCACCACTGACTTGAACCTAAGGCTCTGATGCCACTTGATAAAGCACCAAGGGGGTGCTTTGTTTGATTAGAATACGAAGCTCGAAACTCTTCAACGAAAGATAAAACGGATAGGTATAATTTCACCACAATCAAGGTGTTTACTTGATTGATAAGAAAACTCGTAAACCGATTCTGAAATCCTCACAGAAAAGATTGACTAGGGTTCTCGAATTAGCAATGGGATTCCTCACACAACTAACTCAAGGGTTTGATTCTTGATAACTCTCAAAGAACACAATTCTCACAAAGGAGCAATTTTCATTCTACTAAAACTTGGATGATTTACAACGTGAAATTGAAAGCTATTTAAAGACAATAAAAACCTAATACAAACCTAATAGAACTAGGAAACCATTATGGTAAAAAAAAACTCTAAAAAGGACTCAAAATTTGGCCATAAACTTGATATGATCCCAATTGGATCAATCCACAATTCACAATTACTTGTCAAAGAAGCTATCTCACCTCACTTGAAGAATTCTGATATTTGGCCAAGTGTTGAAACAGTTTCACGTAGCCCACTTTGGAAGCTTGTATCTCACAAATGGCTCAATTAAAATTGGAGAGAAATATCTTATTTTAAAGATAAAGTTGCCATGTTTCCAATGGTATGCATTTTGGAGTCAGGTGATGTCATTAAGGTTGTTTTCCAAGGCCTCAGAGTTGCTACCTCAAAACTGGTAAATCATCCAAGTTTTAGTTGAATAAAAATCACTCCTACGTGAGTTTTGCGTTCTTTGAGTTGTGTCTCAAGAATCAAATCCTTGAGTTAGTTTTGTGAGGATTCCATTGCTAATTCGAGAACCCTTGTGAAGCTTTTCTGTGAGGATTTCAGATTCGTTTTACAAGTTTCTTATCAATCAAGTAAACACCTTGATTGTGGCGAAATTCTACCTATCCGTTTTATCATTCGTTGAAGAGTTTTTAGCTGCGTATTCTGATCAAACAAAGCACCCCCCCCCCCCCCCCGGTGCTTTATCAAAACTCTCTTTCTTCAAGCACAAGCAAGCTGCCTTTTAGCACAAGCAAACTGTCCAAAAACAGTTTTCATACTAACTTCGTGTCATTCGTTCGAGGCCTTCCAGAACTCCAATTCTTCATCCAATTCCTTCCCTTTGTTCACAAACATACCTAGTTTCATTCTATGGAAGCCTTTTGACTTGAATCCCATTCATGCTCCTTGAATTGAGCTCCAAAATAGACTTCACAAAACAGTTTCCAGACCATTTTCTGGCATTTTCCAGTTTTGAGGTAACAAATTTGAGGCCTTGGAAAACAACCTTAATGCTATCTTCTGGATCCAAAAAGCATACCATTGGCAAGATGACAACTTTATCTGTAAAACAAGCTCTTGGTCTCCAATTCCCATTGAGCAATTTGTGAGATACAACCTTCCAAAGTAGTCTACCTGAAACTGTTTCAACACTTGGCCAAAAATCAGAATTCTTCAAGTTAGTTGAGATGACTTCTTTGGCAAGTAATTGTGAATTGTGGATTGATCCAATTGGCATCATATCATCACTCGAGAGTTGCCCCAGACTTTTCATAAAGGGCCCCAGTCTTCTATTTTTCACGAGCTACTTTTTCTCCTAGAACGGATATTATTGTAGCACAAAAAAAATACCACAATGATTTCAATTTACTCTATGAAAGTACAAAAAATTATACCCAAATTTCACTAACTTCATACTATGTTGGTGTAATTATGTATCATTATCGTAAAGGAACCTAGAACATGTTTGCGATCATGTTATTTAGAAGGATAAATTTTTATTTGAAACCATATGAGAACAAAAATCAAAGTGTGAATTATATTAAATTTAATTTTTTTTATGAAAATATGTAACTTTGAAATTGAAATGAAAGTGGCATACATGCAATCTAGTAACGATAATGATACAGATTTACTAAGATTGAACAAATATCATACTATATTGGTGAAGTTATGTATGATTGTCGTAAAGGAACATAACACTTGGCTTTGACCATGTTTATAGATGGATAACTTTTTTTTTAATTTGGATCATATTTTAATGAATATTATTGTCCAAATCACATCAAATATAATTTTTCTATGCCAAAATATAACATTGGGATTGAAATTAAGGAGAGAGAATTCGCTAAGTGGAGAGCTCTAATTAGATGTCATTCTCACTTTTTTATAATTTATCAAATGAAATATATAATAATCAATTGTGAATGATATGGCTACCTTCTACCACTATCGGAGTTTTTTTTACAACATACCAATTTTTAATAACATTTATTATTCTCATTGTTTTTATTAAGAGTTTTTAGATCCTCATTTTTAGGGTTTATGCGTAAGGTTTTCTTTAATAATTAAAATGACAAAAATATCCTCACTAAATTCTCTCAGAGAGCTAGAAATTTTGAATTGAGTATGTTTGGACGAAGAACCTCCATAAATAAGTGGTAGGATCTTAAGAATGGTTGATCGAGAGGAATTTTTTGACTATTTGTCTTTGATTAAGTGGGTGTGGTGTGTAAGTAGATGTGGCAATTTTCAATCCAATCCATCCACAAAATTAACCACCTAATTCAATCAATTCAAATTCTATCCATTTGTTCCAAATCCAATTGAATTGGTGGATTCATGGATTGATCCAGGAATCCAAATGTCAAATTACAGTTTGGTACCTATATTTTTTATATTTTATATTTTGTTACCCAACATTTAATTTTTTATACGAAAAACATAATTGGAAATTTATGTTTTGGTACCTAAAAAAAATTCATGACATTTTAGTACCCAAACTTTTCAAAATTTACATATTGGTCCAATAGTTGGATGTCATTTAGATTCATGGACCAATCTATAAATCCATTTGTTCCAATCCACTTGATCCATGGATACACCAATCCATGGATCCAATCCAATTGCCACCTCTATGTGTAAGCAAATATTATAAGATTTATAATTGCAATCAGTTACGACAAATCGAGTTATTGTTACTAAACGGTTGTTGACAAAGAACATTCAAAAGCAAACGACTGACTAAATGATGAATAATTGTTTGGCACACTCAAAGTGATTTTATTTTTCTATTTAATTTATCAAAATTTTCCAAATATAAGATTATATCATGGATGATTGAAAAAGTTCTTAAAACTGTTTTATAATATGTATTTTTTTCTTATATGGATTCACCTTAGCCGAAATCCTTGTTATGCCCCTGACATTTAAATAGAAAGATACAACACCGGGCCGAAAAAAGCGGAAGGACTGAAAGCAAACATATCTCATTTGTTATACTAGTTCTGGTTTGGACCTAGAGGAGGATTGAGTTGTGTCCCGAGGTAGCCACTCCCATATCCGCCACTGGCAGGAACTAACGTGGCTAGAAAGCCCGCCAAGAAGCATTACATCATCTGCCTTCAAACTGTCAGAAACACAATTATTTGGGGTTTCTATTATTATATTAGGTAGGATAATTATAATTATGGTTAGTAGAGATTTAGTCGTATTAGGATTATTATTTGGGTTTTCTAGTATTTCCCTATAAATATGTACTTTGGGTTTAATTTATAAACCCTAATTTATCCTCTCAACTCCTAATTTCTATTCTCTCCCAATCAAAGGCCTCGGCCGATTCCCAATTCTATTTTGTTCTTTCTCATCTAAATCCCTAATCTCAACCCTAAATCCCTATTTGTTACGAGTAGTTACGGGTGCCGATGATCAGTCTCTAGAAGCGGGGTTCTTACAGTGGTATCAGAGCCCTATTGCAGGCACTCGTACCAAAGCCATGTCTAGATTCAAAGAAATGTCAATCAAGGCACTTACACTAGCTCTTAAGACGAAGTTGGAATCTGCCGGATACACTGGCCGACCGAGGATGGAGAGGAGTCCAGTCCCAATTGAACCAATGATAGCATAAATTGATTTCGAAGAGTGGTTGAAACAACCTGCGTTCCCAATCGAGCTCGAGCAAGGTGGAACCACTATCGCAATGAAAGCCGAGAAAGCAACCGCTGCATTGACTGTCGCCCCTGCGACATCATAATCGTCAACCATTCCTTTCCCATACGAGACGAAGACAAGGATTGATGAGCTCCTGGCGGCGAAGCCGCCGACCCCGAAAGCAGCAGCACCACCACCAGTTGCCGACTTGAATACCAAAGATCATAGCAGAGCCACTGATGCGATTGACGCTAGTGTGGCCCGAGAGGAAGTGAATTTTGTTTCCCTTACCGCTACCCCAAGAAACGAGACGACCTCCTTCCTTGGAGAAGAACTCCAGGCTGAAGTTGCAAAGAGGATGTCAACACTGAATCGCTTGGCGAACTGGCGATTTCGGAAGAAGAAAAGAACCAACGAATGAGAGATGGCGGCTGCGGCGTCGAGCGTCTCTGCGGCCTCGCCCACATCTTCGACGATCGATTTGAAACCTGCAGACCAGGAGATGGTAACCACGACCCATGGAAGACGATGCGTAGTAGAAGAGTCACCGTTCCGTGGGGCGACGATGGGCGAGCCGCCGGGAGAAGAGAAGAAGGGTGGCGGGGATTTCTCTGCCTCTTGCTGGATTTCCACAGACGAGGAGGTGGAGAAAAGGACGATGATCTCCGGGTCGACCTTGTCTTTTCGTCGTCAGTTGGGCGAGTCACCACCGGGAGAGGAGGCGGCGGAGAGAGCACCGCCAGAGAAGGAGGGCGGCGGATTGAGTCTACATGTCTGTCTCGTGAAGACCCAGATGACCGTCGCGGATTTGCAGGCAATGTCGGAGTTCGGTCAGTGGAATGGCGAGTTGCAAGAGAAGAAGGTGGGGGAGTGGCCACTGCCAGAGGAGGAAATGACGCGGAAGTGGAAGGCGCTGGATTCGTGGCCGCCGGGAAATCAACGAGTTTGGGAGTCGGCGGAGAAGGACTCGAACGAGAAGGATGGCGGTAGCGGTTTCCCTTCTCCAGGAACCCCAAGTCGCACCACCAAGCGGTCAGAACTGTTAGGCCAAGCTGTGATTCGAGTCGCTGGGCTCGAGTTGGGTGGATCAGATCAGCAGAGCAACCCATTTCGGGGCCAACGGTTTAACACTTGCAGAAGGAATGACTTGTTTGGGCTACGGGCTAGCAACAAGAAAGGACATTGTGGGCTTGGCAATGCGAGATGGGCTAGGCCAAATGGGTCCTTCAATTGAAAAAGACTACTTAAGTTATGGGCATGGGCTGGCATGCAAAGAGAAAATCTTTGAATGCATACTTGGGCCGCGTTTGGAGGAAGGAAATAAGCCCAGCATGCGCTGTGTGTCAAAGGAAGCAAGTTTAGATGAGGTTCTTGGGTTGGTTTGTGAGATTTCCAATGAGCCAAGCCCAAATGAAGTTAGAAGAAAGATAAAAGAGGTATAATATGGGGTTGGGCTCTAGCTCTTTATTGCAACAATTGTGGGTCAAGTCAAGTATAAGAGCAAAGAAGATTAGGAAAGGCTAGAGCTTAATTTCACCACCAAACCCATAGAGGGATTTATAGAGCAGCAAGAAGAAGAATTCTCCAATTCTTATTCCGTGGACTTCGGAACAGAATGGGAGGAATTATTCGGCTATGAAGAACGTGACACATGTCACGTGGATGGAGGAGAGTCGAGGAAAGTTGGACTGGTGCGAGAAGAGTTTATTCAAGGGATCGAGCGCAATTGGAAACGAAGAAAGCGGAAGGTCAAGGAGGTAGAAGTCAACTACAACCTTGAGGTCAAGGTTGTTTTTAAGGGGGATGATTTTCAGAAACACATTTATTTGGGGTTTCTATTATTGTATTAGATAGGATAATTATAATTATGGTTAGTAGAGATTTAGTCGTATTAGGATTATTATTAGGGTGTTCTAGTATTTCCCTATAAATATGTACTTTGCGTTTACGTCATAATCAATAAAGAAGAATATTAGAAGAATCTCCTCAACCCTAATTTATCCTCTCAACTCCTAATTTCTATTCTCTCCCAATCAAAGGCCTCGGCCGATTCCCAATTCTATTCTATTCTTTCTCATCTAAATCCCTAATCTCAACCTTAAATCCCTATCGTTAAGAGTAGTTACGGGTGTCGAAGATCAGTCCCTAGAAGCGGGGTTCTTACACAAATGTAGGAGTCTAGTCACTATTGTTAGCTAGTTGGTTTCCATTGATAATGATGGACAGATTTGTTAGTTTGGATTGCTTATGAACTCCCGATCACCTTAACTGATTCGGTGGGATCTTGTTTGGAATCATTTCATTTGTTTGTTAGGTAATATATTGAAAGATTATCTCTTCTGATACTCATTCGGTCTAGGTCGCAGGTTACTTCTCCTAGTTTAAGATATCGGATACAATAAGAAGACAGTGAATTACTATCGAAAATTAAACCTCTCAAACTGTCGGAATCTCACCAGAAGAAAAGAAAAGAGAACAAAGTCACACCATTGATTCAACGGTTCCAACATATAACTTCCCTCCATTTAAATTAATCAACGAAGCTCACGTGGCTACGTAGAACTATTTTCCGGAGAGGAAAAACTGGTGTTTGAACTCAATAAATGCACCTCTCACTTTTTGAACAATGAAACTAAAATGGTTCACACCTCTCCGAACAATTTTCTAACGAGGGTGTTTGATGTTTTTGATGGTTTTTTGTGAACAAACTACCTTAATTACTCCTACTCCTATGGAGGTTCAGTGAGAGCTCCGAAAACTAAAGGGTACGAGTACTTTGCAAAGAAAAGATAAAGTTTGACATAGTGTGTCAAATGTTTGATTGTGGAACCCTTGATTTGTCTTCGTTTCTCCTATTTATAGTCATCCCTCATAACCTTCATTTAATTGCCTCTTGTAACCGCTGTCTTCTATGCTTGGTATTTGATGTAGCCTGCTTGACACCTTAACCGCCTTGCTTGCATGCATATCACTCGGTACCTTGATAGCTTGATGATTTCACTTGGCATGTAGCTATCTTGTGCCATGGAGGCATCTCGCTAGACTTCATCTTGACATTGGATGCTTCATGCTGACCACCCTTGCATGACGTCATGCTCTACGCCAAGATGCTTGGGGAGTTGATGGATGCACACTGACCCCTTTGGGATGGCATCATACTTGTAAGGTCTTGACAAGGTGGTTTACCATCCATGAGGCCTAGCGTGCCTGACTACTTGGGAAGAGGGTGTGTTGTGCCATACCCCCTTGGCCTGACATCATGTTTGGCACTCTAGCGCAAGGTAGGTAGGCCACATGGTACTTGGTGCTTGACTCCCCTTGCATGACATCATGCTTAACCCCCCTTGGACGATGTCATGCTTGACCCCATTTGTACTGTGGTACATAGTAGGTGATCCAGAGAAACCTCCATACTTAGTCGAATCTCATCCCCACTATGACTGTAGGATAGGTGAGTGGTGAGATGTCATTACTACATCTAGGTGTACTCGTGATAGCTCTCCTTGCACGACATCATACTTGACACCCTAGCGCAAGGTAGGTAGACGGCATAGTGTTGACCCCACTTGCATGACATCATGCTTGACCCTCCTGGGATGATGTCATGCGTGATCCCCCCTTGTGGGTCTTAACACTTAGCCGGGTGCAAGGTAACACTTAGCCAATTTTCACCTTCTTTCCCCATCATGTCTAGGGTTACTCTCGATGGCCCCCCTTGATGATGTCATGCTTGACACCCTTTGTGGATGAGTCTCCATACTTAGCCAAATTTCGCCCTCACCATGCCGACTTGGGTGGTTGATGTTGAAGAGTGTCAACGTTGGCACTTGAACCCTCTTGCATGACAAGTGGGTGTTTGGTGGGTCAAGTGGTGTGTGTTGAGGTACCTGGTATTAAGCCCAAAATACTATCATTTAGGCCCAGTTTAAATCAATTTAATTAATGTGCTTAACTTGGCCTTATAAATCACTACCTCTTCTTGAAAATAATCAATGTGGTATTGAGCGATTTTTTAGTGGTAAACAATAACCTATTGTAGGTTGAAATGTATCCTGAATGTAGCAGCTACAGCCCGCAATACAGCTAGAATGAAAATTGCATCATCGAGCCTTCGGGTTCCATCTAGTTAGCCAAGAACAAACTACAGTCCACAAACAACCAGGAATTCGAGAGCTCATACTGAAGAATCAAGGAAGAGTTGCGTAACGTAACTACAACATACACATGACGACAATAAAAAATCATATAATTAAGGGTAATGACTATTTATTAGCAAACCTTTTTCGGATTCTTTTTTATTAGCCAAACCTATCTAATACTAAGAATTAGTCAAATGTTAACTTTCAATTAGCAATTTTGTTAGTAATATTGACTTGACAACATGCAATTGACTTGGAAGAGATACAAGAATGTCAACATTCCAAAATTTTAGTATTTTAACTAAGAAAAAAGTTACTATATTATTAACAATAACGTAAAAATGACTAATATTTTTATGCATTACGAAAGATTTGGCTAATGAATTAGAATTATTAAAACACAAGTTATCAGAATTACCAAAACAATAAAGTTATTGTTCATTGCGACAAAATAGCGTTAACCACTCTTCAATCGGAAACTCTAACCCCTACGGTGCCGTAAGACACACTTTTATCGAAAATAATGGCACTTTCGTCTGGAAACACTTTTCATCATCGGACTATTGACCGGTTTAATTCCATGTGGCCCTTTGTAATGTAATTCCGTGGGAAGACCCTGGTGGTTGGCCAAACATCGGATGAACTTACCCTATGGGGTCATTGATGGGAACCTGCAGCCTGGGCCAGGTCAGTAGAAGGGGCGGGTTTGGCCAAGTGGCTAGGGGGAGGAGTGGTATTTTTGTTATTTGTGTTAGTTGTCTGGAACTCATACAAAAGGGGTTCAGAACATTCATTTTGGGATTAAGCAAGAATAATATCAAATCCCTAATTCCTACTTTTCTCTCTTGTTCTTCCCCAATTCTCCTCAATCCCTAATCTCTCAATTCTAATCCATAATCCCCAATTCTCCTCAATCCCTAATATTCCCCAATTCTCTCCTGTGGTGGTGGACCAGCTCACGAAGTATGCTCACTTCATGGCCATGGCGCACCCCTATACGGCGAAGACAGTGGCAGAGCAGTTTGTGGGAGTGGTTCGCCATCACGGATTCCCGCGGTCGATTGTCAGTGATCGAGACTCCGTTTTCTTGAGCCATTTTTGGCAGGAGGTCTTCACTCTGGCCTAGACTACATTGCGGATGAGCTCTGCACATCACCCACAGACCGATGGCCAGACTGAGGTGGTCAACCGCTGCTTAGAGCAGTACCTGCGCTGTTTTGCCCATCAGCAGCCGCGGAAGTGGCTAGCTATGCTTCCATGGGCAGAGTTATGGTATAATTCTACCTATCATCGGACTATTCAGACCACACCATTCGAGGCCTTGTATGGCATGCCGCCTCCTTCTCTGGTCCTATATCAGAGTGGTGCTAGTCCGGTGGATGCTGTAGATCGGTGGTTAGGAGCGCGGAACAAGGCATTAGAGCAGCTCAAGAATAATCTGGCCGCGGTGAACAACAAAATGAAGCAGTTGGCGGACGCAGGAAGGCGCGTGGAGGAGTTCGAGGTAGGAGATTTGGTGCTGCTTCGCCTGCATCCCTACAGACAGGCTTCTGTCTTTCGGTGGGCATATCAGAAGCTCGCCGCCCGGTTCTTTGGACCATATGAGTTGCTGCAGAAGGTCAATCCAGTTGCTTGCCGCCTTCGGTTACCCACAGACGCGCGCATCCATTCGACCTTCCATGTATCTCTTTTGAGGATGTATCGGAGACCGGCAGATCGGATCGAGACGACGGCGCCGCTAGTCTCGGCGGATGGAGACCTGGAGCTAACCCCCTTGTAGGTGCCTAGTGGAGGCGCCTAGTGGAGGAAAGCTTGATTTTGTGGAGGCACATGGAGCTGGATGATGCTACTTGGGAAGAGATGGTGATCATTCGGCAGCGCTTTCCAACGTTTGACCTTGAGGTCAAGGTCATTCTTGATGAGGGAGAGGATGATGTGAACCCGCAGCCTGGGCCGGGTCAGTAGAAGGGGCGGGTTTGGCCAAGTGGCTAGGGAGGAGGAGTGGTATTTTTGTTATTTGTGTTAGTTGTCTGGAACTCATACAAAAGGGTTTCAGAACATTCATTTTGGGATTAAGCAAGAATAATATCAAATCCCTAATTCCTACTTTTCTCTCTTGTTCTTCCCCAATTCTTCTCAATCCCTAATCTCTCAATTCCAATCCCTAATCCCAAATCTCTCTCTTCTCCCTAATCCAATCCTTCTATCAGTCATGAAGAAGAGGAGAGAAGGTGAACTAATGAACCATTTAGTCACCAATCGGAGCAAGCCGGATGTTTATAATAAGTTGTCGACCACCGGGATGTGCTAAATGGAACAGTTGTATCTGATCTCACCACAGTTGTCTCGCCAACTCACCATCAATGCATGCTAAAGAACATAATAACAATTGTCTATGTATTCCCACATGCTATTCAAAAACAGAGGTTTGCATGAAAATTGAAAACCTTCTCTGGTGCTATGTATTCCCACATGCTAAGAATTGTAACCATAAAAAAGAGATAAGAAGAAAGTATAATTGCATTTTGTGTGACCGCTAATCCAACCGAATCAAAAGGAAGGTAGAAAATATGTCAACAAAATAATGAGAAATTTCTCTCCCAAGTGGTGGAGAAATCACCCCAATTATACTCACCTTCTTCGCCCTTTGAATCACAAAGGGAAGATGGAAGACCAAGATTGAAAGAAATAATGGGAACCCGGGGTTGGAGGGAAGTAAAAGAAGAGATGTCATGTGGTTAAACTAAAATATTAACGCATGGAGATTGCAGACTCTTCTTCCGCCAGAGCAGCTTGAAAGGAGGGGGGAAAGGAAGGCGAAATCAAAACCCTCATAGTCATAGGCACTGTCGATTAGATTTCATTTGGTTGCCATTTGCCATCGAAAAGCAGAATTTAGCCAAAGGATCGGGGAAAACTGATAGAAAACCGAAACCCAAAAATTGAACGGAAAAAAAAAGAAGCATTACATGATTAAAGGCACATGAAGAATCCCAGTCCGTGCCAAAACCCAGTTGGAGAGGAGTGATGGAAATTAACATGCATAGCTCGATCGACTAGGATTTCGGGACTTCAAATAATTTCAAAGACAAGGATTGAAAACTATTGTAGAGCCCAATTCCCCATCCCTCTAGTTGCGCAAGCGATGGAAATAATGCTCTGGCGTTGAGAAGTTGATGTGACCAAACAACGCAGCTTTCCTACTTTTTATGGGTTTTCGAAGCTTTTCTCCAACGAAGAAGAACTTGAACAAAAGATAATGATGGAACACGATCAAACATATTCCAACTCGTGTGAAAGGCCAATTGGTATATGAAACCAATCAAACAATCATCCACTCGTGAATAAGGCCAATTGCTATTGGGTAGAAGCTCGCCACAACTAGACGCGTTCTTTAGTTGATAAGAGACACATGAAACTCCTGGAGCACTCTCAACAGAAGCTTGCACAAAGAACTAGTTCGTATGAACTTGTAACTTGAAAGTTGATTGATAATTGAATGAGTTACAATGAGGAACTCAGCCTCTTATTTATAGACTAGCTAACACAAATCCAAAGCTTAAAATGAAAAACAAATCCTACAAGTAAAAGGAAAAAACACAATCCTTAAAAGACAAGTAAAAGGAAAACACAATCCTTAAAAGACAAGTAAAAGACTTGGTCAACAACTCCCTAGGTTCTAGCCTTCCCTTCTGTTCCCACCTTTGATTCCTTTCCCACCTTGATCCTTTTCACACTTGAGACTCCCCTCCTCTTCCTTAGTCGAATCCTCTTCTCCTTCCAAGCCCATTCTTCCTTCATGCTGGCCCACGAGGTGTAGCAATGTAATGGTCTTCCCATGATGATGATCCACGTCCATTTGAGCAAAGTGATGACCCAAATAGGCAGCAAACTCCTCCCTTAACTCTTTGCTTGTAGACGTGTAATTGGCCCTTCTTGTGACAAAATGGACTTGGTTTTGATGACCTCATCAGTCCCTCCCTCTTGAAAAGGATTTGACCTCAAATTCGAATTGTCCTCCAAATATGGTGCAAGGTCAGAAACTTTGAAGGTTGCACTTATCCCATACTCTCCTGGCAAATCGATTTTGTAGGCATTGCTTCCAACCTTCGAAATAACTTGGAAGGGACCTTCACTTCGAGGTAACAGTTTGGATCTCCTTTGATGAGGAAACCTTTCATTTCTCATGTGCACCCACACCCAATCTCCAGCTTCAAATGATCGAGGCTTCCTATTGCGGTTGACGTTCTTCATGATTTGCTTTGTCCTCCTCTCGATGTTCAATCTTGCCTTCTCGTGGAGATTTTTCACAAATTCAGCCTTCTTTGCTCCATCCATTTTAACTTGTTCCTTCAAGGGCAGAGGTGTCAAATCCAATGGTGTAAGTGGATTGAACCCATACACGAGCTCGAAAGGTGAATGCTTTGTGGTTGAATGCACATCTCGATTGTAGGCAAACTCGACATGTGGTAGACAGTCTTCCCAAGTTTTGATGTTGCTCTTGATCACAACTCGTAGCATTTGGGATAGAGTAAGATTGACCACTTCAGTTTGTCCATCCGTTTGAGAATGAAAAGTTGTTGAAAACAGAAGCTTTGTGTCGAGTTTACTCCACAATATCTTCCAAAAGTAGCTTAGAAACTTTGCATCTCGATCAGACACAATGGTACGTGTCATTCCATGCAACCTCACGATCTCCTTGAAGAACAAATCAGCCACGTTATTTGCATCATCCGTCTTATGGCATGGAATGAAATGTGCCATATTCGAGAAACGATCCACTACGATGAAAATTGAATCCCTGCCTCTCCTTGTCCTCGACATTCCTAGCACAAAATCCATCGAAATGTCGACCCATGGTGCATAAGGAATAGGTAGTGGCGTGTATAACCCAGATGGTTGCATCTTCGATTTAGCATGTTGGCACTCCACACATCGTGCACATAAGTTCTGCACGTCTCCTTTCATGTGAGGCCAATAGAAGTGCTCTTGTAAACAGCTTAGGGGTCGTTTGGATGTGGAAATGTAGTGCAGTAATTGGACCCAATTACCACTAATGCAGTAATTTGGTTAAAATCCCACGTTTGGAAGAACAAAAAGAGTATGGGAATTGGACCATGGAAATTGGCTTCAATTACCACATTCATGGTAATTGAGAATACTACACCTCCCCCTAGTAATTTCACATTACCACGTTTTCTTGCTTCTTTTTCCAAATGTGTCCCTATTTCCTTCCTCTCCTTTCTTCCTTATTCCTTCCCTAATTTCTCCAAACTATTTATTACAAGAGTAGTCCCTTCTTCATTCATCAATGACGCCTCTTCTTCTTCATCTCCCCTCACCTTCGTATATCTTCTCTAATCCGTCATCGATTTCTTAATTTTGAATTCGCTTAATTATCTCATTCACCGTCAATATTCCTGCTTCTCCTCATCGAATTCGCCTAAACACGTATGAAAGCCGTATAACACGTTTAATATCTATATTTAATGAATTAAATTGTTAACTTTACTATTATTTATATATGTATTTATTATTTAAATAATTAAGCTTACTATTATTTATATATGTATTTATTATTAAAATAATTAAGTTTATATATTTATGACTATTAATGTACTATTAAACGTAACATTAGCTTAAAGAAGAAGTAAAATATCCGTAAGTATTTTATAGGTAACTTTTATGTACCATATTTTACTAATTATGCTAAAGTTAGCTCCAATTAGTAGTAAGTAGAACACAACAACAACCTTTAGGAGGGGTATGTATATATAAACAAAAGAGGGCATTTTTGTATTTTTACCAAATTTCACACCATCAATTCCCCCAAAACTAAACCCTATCCAAACGTGGAATTTCGTTCAATTTCCACAAGTCAATTCCTTGGTTTTGTAAAACATGGAAATTCAGGCAAATTCCCACATTTTCAAATTTCCACATCCAAACGACCCCTTAGTGTTTTGGCTACACCAAAGTGAGCCATCAATCCTCCTCCATGAGCTTCCCTTAACAATAGCTCTCGAAGTGATGTCCTAGGTATGCATAATTGATTACCACGAAAGAGATCACTTCGGTAGAACTTTCCTTCTCCATGCTTCTCACAAGCCTTGTTAATCTCTCCAAAGTCGAAATCCCCTTCATAAGCAGCCTTGATTTGCTCGAATCCAAGGTACTTAACATCCATAGTAGTGATCAACGTGTACCTCCTCGACAACGCATCAGCAACCACATTCTCCTTGCCTTGTTTGTACTTGATCTCATAGGGAAACGACTCAGTAAACTCCACCCAACGAGCATGCCTCTTGTTTAACTTGTGTTGGGCCTTCAAGTACTTGAGAGACTCATGGTCAGTATGGATCACGAACTCTTTGGGCCATAGATAATGCTGCCATGTCTCTAGGGCTCGAACCAATGCATAGAGCTCCTTATCGTAGGTAGGATAGTTAAGCGTAGCTCCACTCAATTTCTCGCTAAAGTAAGCAATGGGCTTCTTCTCTTGCATCAATACAGCCCCAATTCCCAATCCAGATGCGTCACACTCCACTTCAAAAGTCTTGTTGAAATCAGGTAGCATTAAAATAGGAGCATGAGTGAGCTTGTACTTGAGTTGCTGGAATACCTTCTCTTGATCCTCACCCCAATGAAACGTCACATTCTTCTTGATAATTGAAGTCAATGGGGCGGCTATAGTGCTGAAATTTGGGATGAATCGTCGATAAAATCCAGCCAGCCCATGAAAACTCCTCACTTCATTCACGTTGGTAGGGGTTGGCCATGCTTGAATTGCTTTCACCTTCTCTTGGGTTAATTGTATAGTTGGTCACTGAGATTACAAAAAACGTTCATGTTTGGTCACTGGAAATATTTAAATCCAACATTGGTCACTCAAATTAGTTAAATGGTTCAAATTTGGTCACTCTCCGTCCAACTCCGTTAAATTTGTCTGATGTGGCAGTCAACCCTCAAAGTTGACCGTTAAGTCGGTGACATGGAAATTAAAAAATAATAAATAAAATAAATTTTAATCTTCTACCATTTCCAACTCATTTTCACTATAAAGTAAAATAAAAAAATTTATTATAATCACGCTCTCATAAGGGTAGAAATCGTCGGACGCTTCTTTGACCGAGGGATCGAGGGTAAACACGCCGCAACAGGCGTCGACGATGCAATCGTCGAATATGTGAGTGGTTTTCGGCATGGGGCCGTGGGAGATGACGCAGGTATAGTCCTCGGAAAGCTCCATTTCGCCGGCGGTGAAGACCCGCTGCGGCGGTGAGTTCGAGGCGTCCAGACCCGAATTGTCCGACCCGAACGTCGTGGATTTCAGTACGGGGGATGGGGATAAACCGGAGGAGGAGAAAGAGCTGCCCAATTGAGAGTTCCTCGTCTTGATCCCGAAATCGGCCGGAGATCTGGGGGAAGACCCTGCTGCTGGGGAAGAAGGCGGGAGGAAGAAGGGATCTGGATCTTACGCTGGGACACGAATAGAACCATTCGGCTCTCGGCGGGTAATTTTGTTGATGAATTTGGGGGGCTCTTGTTCTGATCGGAGAAAAGAACGTCGACAAGGACGAGCCCGATTTTAGGGGAATCGAGGTTTTCCCAATACTGGCTCCGCTTGGGAGCGTCGGCGGCGGCGCGAGAAGCGAGTTCAGGGGAGAATGGGTTTTTTAGGCCGGAGAAGGACTTGCTGTCTAGGATGGAAGTCGGGCTCATCATCGCCGCAGCTTCGACGGTTTCATTCTTGAAGGAGGCGAAGGCAGTGGAAGGGATGTGGTGGCGGAGGAGGAAGCGTCCGACGATTTCTACCCTTCAGAGAGCGTGATTATAATTATTTTTTAATTTTTTAATTTTACTTTATTGTGAAAATGAGTTGGAAATGGTAGAAGATTAAAATTTATTTTATTTATTATTTTTTAATTGCCACGTCACCGAGTTAACGGTCAACTTTAAGGGTTGACTGCCACATCAGACAAATTTAACGGAGTTGGACGGAGAGTGACCAAATTTGAACCATTTAACTAATTTGAGTGACCAAGGTTGGATTTAAATATTTCCAGTGACCAAACATGAACGTTTTTTGTAATCTCAGTGACCAACCATACAATTAACCCCCTTCTCTTCATCAACCTTGACACCATTCGCACTTACTACGAATCCCAGAAATACCACATTCGAAGTATAGAATGTGCACTTCTTAAGATTGGCATAGAGCTTCTCCTTCCTTAAAGTCTTCAACACTTCTCGCAAATGATCAAGATGCTCCTTCATACTCTTTGAATAGATCAGAATATCATCGAAGTAGACAACCACGAACTTCCCAATAAAAGCTCTCAACACGTGATTCATCAACCTCATGAATGTACTTGGAGCATTTGTAAGACCGAAAGGCATCACCATCCACTCGTATAATCCGTGCTTCGTCTTGAACGATGTCTTCCATTCATCTCCTTCTTTCATTCGAATCTGGTGGTAGCCGGACCTCAAATCGATCTTTGAAAATAAGCTTGATCCATGTAGTTCATCGAGCATGTCATCCAATCATGGTATGGGATGACAATACTTGATAGTAATTTGGTTGATTTCCCGGCAATCAACACACATCCTCCATATATGATCTTTCTTTGGCACAAGAATGACTGGAACCGCACAAGGACTCATACTCTCTCGAACATGTCCTTTCTCCATAAGCGCTTCAATCTGCCTTTGTAATTCCTTCGTTTCCTCTGGGTTAGTTCTATAGGCTGCCTTATTTGGAATAGTAGCCCCAGGAACACAGTCGATTTGATGTTCAATCTCCCAAATTGGAGGTAAACCCTTGGGAGCTTCTTCGGGAAAGACATCTTCAAATTCCTCTAATACCACTCGTGCCCTTTGTGGTATATCTTGAACAAGCTCTTGATTCAGTAGGGCTTCCTTGTAGACGATCATGATCATGGAGTCACCATGATTCATAGCTTTCTTCACGTCTCCACTTCGTGCTATCATCATTGCCTTGCAATCTTCTCCTCCTTGATTCTGTTCCACGACAATAGCTTCTTTCTCCTGGTTTCTTTGGAGTTGTCGTTGATCCTCATATACTTCCTTGGGAGTCAAGGGCTTTAACATGATTTTCTTTCCATTATGTAACACTTGATACTTGTTGGAGACTCCATCATGTTGAGTGCTTCTATCGAACTGCCATGGCCTTCCAAGTAGGACGTGTGTAGCTTGCATAGGTACTACGCACCAAAGAACTTCGTCCTTATATCCTCCAATGGCAAATTTTAGAAGAGTTTGCCTCGCCACTTTAATTGAACCATCCTCGTTGAGCCATTGAAGCTTGTAGGGTTTGGGATGCTTGATTGTACTCAATCCCAGTTTGCTAACCGCTATGGTACTAATAGCGTTAGTGCAACTTCCGCCATTAATCACAACGACGAGCAGCTTCCCATCCACTACACATCTCGTATGAAACAGGTTCTCCCTTTGCTCGAGGTCTTCTTTGGGTTGCACTCTTAGCATTCTTCTCGTGACAAGCAAACTTCCAGGAGGGGGCTCCATTTCCATTGATTCGTCAACTTCAGATTCTGATGGCTCCCTCGCGTGCTCCTCTTCGGAATCCGAGACATATTCACCATTCTCTAGTAGGACTAGAGCTCTTCGATTAGGGCATTGGTGGTCCATATGCCCTCTTCCATGACATTTGAAGCATTGAATGCCTCCAGTAGAGCCTGCGGGATTGTCTCTTGGTGCTTCAACCTTGGATGCCTGTTTTGATTCTTCTGGCTTCGTTATGGCTAGCCTAGGGTTTGAAGTTGAAGGCGTTCCTGGCCTTGGTGCTGCTTGTGGGGGCGTGAATCTCCTCCCAACGTTACTACGTTGTTGTTTCTCCACTTTGGCTGCTATTGCAACCAAATCGTATAGATCCGCATAGGGATGAAGTTCCACCACATTTCTAATTCTCGATTAAGCCCATATAAGAATCGTGCAATGGTAGCATCACGATCTTCCTCCAAATCCGCTCAAATCATTAGCATCTCCATCTCATGGTAATAATCCTCTACACTCTTGGTACCTTGGCGCAGAAGTTGTAGGGCTTGTTGCATCTCTCTATGATGAGAACTAAGCACAAATCGATCCTGCATTACAGTTCTCATCTCTGCCCATGTCTCAATAGGCGACTGTCTATTCTTCCTCCTCCTCATGCTTACTTGATCCCACCACACAATGGCATAATCCGTAAACTCGAGTGCTGCCACTTGTACTTTCTTCCTCTCAGAATAGTTGTTATAATCGAAGATCAATTCCATCTTTCGTTCCCAATCTAGGTAAGCTTTGGGATTAGTAGAACCTCTGAACGATGGTATGTTGACCTTAATATTCCTCAAATCATCATCTTCATCTCGAGGGTAACCCTCGTCATCCTCATATTCGACCTCTTCATCACGAGGTTGGCCTCATCTTGCAACATGTCCACCCATTGGCCGATGTCGCCTAGCATGTTCGAACACGGGTTGTTGTACCACCCTTCTCTCTCCGCGATCTTCTTCTTCCCTCCTAGCCCTTTCAGCAGCAACATTAGGGTTAGGGTTTGGTGGTGCTTGCATCCGTGTTTCCCAAGCTTCCATTCTTGCGTTTTGAGCTTGTAGCGCCGCTTGAATCTCCATTTGGCTGGTGGTATGTGCTTGAAGTAACGCTTGGATTTGATCAGTCAATGCCTTGATCTTGTCTCCCATATTTGCGGCACTAATTACTCCTTCAAGATAGCTCACAAGAACCTTCAAGAACGTAAAGACTCCTTCAAGATCCTTCACGATCACGTCAAAACCTTCAAGAACACGACAAGATTGCCAAAAAACCTTCTTCTTCTCCGTTGCGTTTGAACCGGGCTCTTGATACCACTTGATGTGACCAAAGTACGCAGCTTTCCTAGTTTTTATGGGTTTTCGAAGCTTTTCTCCAACGAACAAGAACTCGAACAAAAGATAATGATGGAACATTATCAAATAGATTCCAATTCGTGTGAAAGGCCAATTGGTATATGAAACCAATCAAACAATCACCCACTCGTGAATAAGGCCAATCGCTATTGGGTAGAAGCTCGCCACAACTAGACGCGTTCTCTAGTTGATAAGAGACACGTGAAACTCCTGGAGCACTCTCAACAGGACACACTTGTGGACGTAAGTTTTCAGAGCTCCACTCTTTCAGAAGCCTGTCTGTCATTCCCACGCGCCTCTGTCAGATCCGATGTAACGCTTAGAGCCCGCTAGATCTCCAAGCTTCACATCAAACACAAATTTGCCCGCAAACGCCAGTCTTTCACACAGGTGGAATAAAGAATCATTGGTATTAATGGAGTGTCTGTCATGTTTAGGAAGAGGAGGAGCAGCTTCACCATCATAACGCAGCTGGACCGACCTGATAAAATTGGGATCATCGCACAAGGAAGGAACCATTTGTGATTCGCCATGTCGAGGCTGGCAGAATATAAGATCCTGATATTGCCACAGGCCTTGTCCCCGTGAATAACATAACCACTAGAATCAATATCTGCGGCTACGCCACAGGAACTAAACTAAACTTACTGACGGACAAAGTAAAACACAAATGCATTTGGAAGAAGCACTAAATGTCAATTATTTTTAATGCTTTGCAAAACAAAATGATCATTATTGCATACAGAGCTCTGACAACCAGATTATAGCTATAACATTAGCCAAATCTAAAAACACATTCTTAAAGTGTCTAACATGATAAGCGGCTGGCAAAGGTTTAATAGGTATCAATGTAGAAGGCACGTCAATCCCATATAGCAATGACCTCAAACACTATTTTTTTCTTGTCCAGCTTCCATTTCGATATTAAACATATTTCCAATCAAAAAGCTATGCATTTATAAAATTGTCAGTGAGCGCCGAGTATTTCGGAGCCTATTTCTGGAAGAGCAAGATAGTTGTGTCACTGTTGATGTATGAGGCTAAGATGTCTACGCATACAATTGCGGTTTAGAACATGTACATAAGTTGCTCGAAATATTGATTTGCAACTCGTACGTCACTGGTTTGTTATAATATGTACTTTGGATAGTTCGGGGTGTCATCAAAAGCATAGTTACAGTGACTTATATAAGTCATAATGCTATTTATTTTGATGAGGCACCAAGCATAAGACTGTTCAAATTATATAAAATTAAAGTCAGTTGGAAATCGAATGGACTTTTGTTCACTTCTTAATGAGCTTATTTACATTGTGCGGTGGAAATAAGTACTTAGCAGCAATCAATGTCAGCAGAGTTGTCTTCATTTGCAGGTTGCAGCAAACATATATATGATTTGGTATGGGTGAGTGGCTAATGGGAATTGGCTAGATGGGAGAACCTTAATACTTAGTTGACAATTTAGGTTGCAAGTCAGCCAACTCGATATTATGCAGTTGAAACTCCCACTCACTGGATTGAATCTCAATTCATGAATGAAAACAATGCTGAGACTACTCATTCATCAAAGCTAGTACGACATAAAAATGAATTATAACAATTAATTTGTTTGAATAAACTACGAATGGTTGTTGCATAAGCAAAAACTATACATGGGATTCGACGTACTTTGCAATCAAAGATTGAGGCAGTGGTGGGAAGATCACTTTGTAAATTGCATATGTGTTGGACACACCAGCATTCCCTGCAACCAAAAAAAACACATTAAATTTGATGTTGTCCTTTGAGCTAAGTCACTTTATTCTATACATCCACTGCTAGCACAAAAAAGTCAATAGCAAACCTATACAAAATAGTCCAAGAAAATCAGTTTTAAGTAAAACTATAACATTGTTGTATAATACACCCACTCGAATCCATTAAGCAAGAAAGGGGTACAGAGTCAATCACCTAAACACACCGGCAAAACAGTGACTTCGGGCCTGTCCTTATTGATCGTATTCAGAGGCAAGCAAGCACATACAGCAAAGCATGATTCCTTGGTCTAAATTTAGCCGTAGTAGCTTTATAGGAAGTGAGAGAGCATAATGGAACAACCAGTTAAAGAATGAGAGGTTATGTATGGAATTCATTTGCTTTAATGGAAGATTTGGATGGTAAAAATTGTAACATATAAGTTCCCCCATGGCCTTAACGAAAAAAGAAATAACAGAGTCGTTGTTCGATACTCGAATTATTTAAAAGTTTGCCTCATTGATAAGCTAAAGGGACACAGGAAGGATTAGTCGTAGTAAAAACAACCGAAGAACATGTTGAAAAGTGTACCACACCAGATTAAGAGCTTGAGGCTAGTAAATGCCCCAATCACTGGTGCAGCTCCATCCATTTGAATTTGAATGACTTCAGGAAGACCAAACTTGACAGCAAAATCAGTCCACAGATTGATTGAGAGGGAAGCTTCCTGCGTTCAGTAAAGGACACATTAGATAGTGGTAAACCATAGATTAGTGCAAGAAACAAATAACAAAAACAATGCACTACTCATTTCCTTTGGTCTGAGATCTCTATGGTACACATTCGCTGCAATTCCAACCAAATCCATATTAGAACCATGAGGCACCAGAATGATTATTCAGAATAAACCAGAGTGATTTCCAAGTACCCAAAAATTAACCACCATGTATTCGCTGAAAATTTTCACTTCAAAGAATATTGGTTGAGAGAGTCTGACAGAAGCCGGATTCTAAGAAAAAATCAGAGAAACTATTACCTGTATCCTTAGGAGCCTAATCAACTTGACTTCTCTCAATATTCTAATAGAATCAAAGATGTGTTGGAAAACGTCATGTATCTTCTTGATTGCCACTTTTCCCCCTGTATGAGTATCTATTGCTGCACCAACAACATCATAGGTTCCTTTGCCCATGACCTCCAAAATTGTATGATTGACATCACCATGCTCTGCAAAAAAGCTCCATCTCTTTCAAACCATGCAACAAAGGAAAAGTAACATAGAAATATATGGCCACACAAATTGACATATGAAACCAACAAAATATTCATGGCAGAACCAAAGCAAAGTGGGTCAACACATAATACATTTGCATCTACTTCATTAAAGTGCAACTGTGCCACACACCAAACAAATATAAGGCATCAGAACTGTCTGATTCATCACAATGGGGAACAGAATGAAGGAATTCAAATATAAGGCATTAGAACTGTATAGTTCATCACAATATTGGGTGGAAGGAACTAACAACGGAGAGAACTCACCACATTCTCTATCCACATCGTCCAGTATCTGCGGAATCGTCGGGGTGGTGGGATTTCCAGCAATCCACGTATGTAGTAAACACAATTTGAGGCTAACCCCTATGGGGATTTCCAGCAAACAACTCTAAAGTCCCAACTCCTGAAGTGAAGGCTTTCAATTCCTCAAATTGGCTGAACTCAAAGCTATCGAGACAAAAAATTGAATCGTCCTCAGAGGAAGGGATGAAAGAAGTGTTTGTAAAAAGAGTAACTAAGTAAACCTTTCCAGCAGCAAGAACTTCATTCAGTTGTCCCAATAGTTTCCTAGGCGCAACTTCTTGCACCAGCACCCCCTAGAAAAGGAAGGGTAGAACGAAATTAGGAAAAAGTATAGGGACAACCATAGTGCAGAAGAAAGTTAAACGAAGGGAACTCACCAATTCCTCTGTCCACAATGTCGAGAGCTCGTAGAATCCTTTGGGGAGGCCGAGGTCCTCACAATTTCATCGTCCAAGCAAGACCCACAACTACCTAACTTATCATTTAAATACACAATTCACCCACCAAACTACCCACTACTAATCAACAATTCGAAATAAGACAGAAGCTTTATAAGAAATTATTCCAAACTGATGTACCAAATCTATGAGAACCCATCTTTCCATTTCATCAGCTCTCAGAACCTATCGACCTTGTCAGCCTTGATGATCAGATTGGCCTTGGCGATTACATTCTTCCCTACTTTCTTGAAAGCTTGGTCACAACTCGCAATTGTGGTTCTTTGGGTATCTATGAGTCTCGCAGAGAGAGCTGGCGCACTTACACATAGAAGCCCGTCAACCAGAAATTCTTGTAGGTCAAGCACATGTTTGCTGCCTTGACCACCTCTACCGCCACCGCAACGGCGCAATCGCTTTTGCCGATGCCGACGACTCGCCGTCGCTGCTGATTTCTCTCGAGCACTCACCTGCTCAACCACCGTCGCCGCAGATTTGATCTTGGCAGAAATTGGTTCAGCTTCCGACATGAGGTTCAGCTTCCGACATGGGTTTTGTTGTCTATATTAACCTTATATGTTATATATCTTATACTAAATTTTACACAAATCATTATAAACATTAATAAAATTTTATTTTTAAGCATCTAATTGTTTAGTATTAGTTACCAATTCTTAGCTATAAATTATTTTGTGTGAAATAATTCTTCCAATTGCTTTTTTATGACTAATTTATTTGGAATTGAGGATTTCCATTTTCCTCATGTATTTTATTAAAACCGGCACAACCGGCATGAATACTGGTTGTACCACGATCAGACCATTCCACTTACAAAATCGGCACACCGGCATAAACCGGTTTGACAACCTTGGTACCCACTCTTTATGTTTTAAATAATAAAGAATTAGACCAGGGAACACTATCGGAATGAAGTTCATAGGGTTGTTCAGACATATCACAGGCTATGCCAAAAGGGGTGTGGATGGGTTCAACTTCAACGGGAAGCGAGGGGAGATGCACGACCTCAAGTGAACATAAGGGAACTTGTTCCTTTTGGCATTACCATCCATAATGATATGATACATCCGCACAAGTTGGAATCACAAAGATCTTCTTGTTCTGGTAAGGAATGAGGACCGGAGCTGGCTTAATTCGGTGTGAAATCGCAGCAGGGTAGCCGCCGATTGTTGAGATTGTGATGAGGATGAGGAGCGCCGCTGAGATCACAGAAGAACAAGTCTCTGGCCTTAGGGAATTCTGCTGACGGCCAAAAGCGTAGAGCTTTGATTCTACCATGCCCACGGCGCATGCGAAAGGGGCGGCGGCGCTTAGCAATTGACCAGTTTCGCATGCGAGAAGAGATATTGTCGTCTGTTCAGGATCAATTGCAACATCCCACCAGCACGCTGGATCCTTGTTGTTCTGCATCCCGATGTGATTCTTCTTCTGAAACGACGGCAGTAGGCGAGTCTTGGTTGGTTGCCAAGAGGATGGCGGGAGAGGAGTAGTTTCTTTCCTACCCCTGTTTTCGGTTTGGGTATTTCTTGACCTCGACATTCTTTTCAGGAATTGAAGTGACAACAGGGAAACTTCATCCTCGCCACCCGGAAGGAACCCTTCATGTTACCCAGGTACCTCTTCGGCTCTTCCTTTCTCTTCTTTTGCTTCGTGTTGCTGGGATAGATTTAGTTATCTTTGCAAGTTGCTTGGTTATGGAAGGCGCCCTAATTTGAATGGTTCCATGGACATGATATGATATCATCGGCCTCAGTAAGTCAACGGATAGGAGCATACTCCAGTGTTCAGTTGGCCACAAGAGGCCGATGAGTCGGTAGCTTTCTCTGTAGTGGGCAAGCGGAGCATTCACCTTTCTGGGTACATTGCGACTGAAGAAAGAGATTATCTTCCTGATGGGTATGAGTCGTATCCTTCTGATTCGTGCATCATTAAAGCTTTGTTGTGGGACGAATCTGTGAAAGAAACCGTTTAGTGTCTGTCTGAGCATGTGTGCTGTTGTTGTTCGTCCATAATTTGATATCAGTGATACAAGAGAGGATATAGGGGATGCAGAATCAGATGATGAATCCAGTGAATTTGGTTGTCATGATGATGAGGATGCCAATTGTGATTTCAACATGTTCCATTCTTCTCCTGTCACAGATAGTGGAGGTATGGTTTTTCTTTTGGTTAACAAACCACTTGGTTGACTGTGCTCGACCTTCAGAAGGGGGGAATTTGGACTTGTGGCGTGATTTTGACTTCCAATATAGTTGTGATTGAGGAGATAGAAGGTATGAACTTTAATGTGTCTCTAATGTAACCTATACTTTCTTCCATTTCCTCTTTAGCTAGAACAGGAAAAATGAATGTTGCCAATATTTTATGATATCTGTGAAGGGAAATTGAGGTCGATGAAGGAAGTGCACCCATCAAAAGTGCTTCTAAGAAGAAAAAGAACAAGAAACATGTTCCAGGGGTGACGTCAGATAGAGCAAAGTCTTCCTTTGATTCTGATCAGAAGCAATCTGCTTCAGAGCCTCTACCCTTAAGAATGGACTGGTCATTGAGGATTTAGCTTATGGAAAACCAGATGGTGAAATAGATTCTCCCGAATATCTGGTACGCTTTTCTTAAACCAAGTCTATCTTTCCTAACACGCCAAAGACCAAGTTGTTGATTCTGGCAGTATTTTTCTGGGATGGCCATGCCTTGGTCAACAGGTCTGGATTTACTATACCGGCAGGCTACAGAAGGATGGCACGATTTTTTATTATAACCATGGAATTGGATTTAGATTCCTGCTAGGTACCTCGAAATCTCTTATATATGGGACACATGCATAAACTGTTTAGGTAAACCTCATTCTTAAACTATCTTTCCTTTCCACATGGTGCAGGAATGGGGCAAGTCATTAAAAGGAATTGATATCGGTATGAAAGGTAGATCACTTCAAAGCTTATTGTTATTTGATCACAAGCTCCTAGCTGGTTGAATCTCAAGTTGCTATGCTCATGAGTTGTTTCTGAATCTCTCAGGCATGAGAATTGGGGACAAAAGAAGAATCACGATCCCTCCTAAACTGCGGTAAATCATAAATCCCTGCTTCTTGAATCTTGCTCGTTATCTTGAACAATGTTGGGACTTCTTTAAGTGCTGCATGCTGCTCTCCAAGCCGTGAGACAACTGACATTGTTTAGTAATGTGGTCTCTGTGTGCAGCTAAGCTATGGACCTAAAGGTGCTGGAAACATGATACCGCCAAACGCGTGGCTCGTATTCGACGTGGAGTTGATGGTTATCCTGTGATCGAGATGGACAAAGTGTTTTGGTCGTTGTTCATAGCTGTCGATTTGGTATGGCGAGGATTCAGGGCGGCGGTTGATGGGATTGTTTCGTCCAGCTTTTGAGTTAGCTACAACTGTTTCTAACGAGTAAAGACTAGGAACTATATAACATAGATCTCGAGAACTTGGGTTTTGGATAGCGAGAGACTGCCTCAAATATTTTGTAGTATTGAGATCCATCCCATCATATCTCTCTTGATTCATAGTTGGATTGGAGGGAAGAGTTTGTGGACAGAAAATATTTGAATCTCTATGCGATTGTTATTATAAGTTTGCTTGTTGTCGACATCAAACTTCAATGATTCTATATTAATATCTCTCGTGGAAATGTTAGAAAAAGAATCAATGTATCTTTTAACAGAACGGTAAGAGATTGAGAATTGTAAAATTATATCGGAGGTTATGCTAATTGCTTAAACTATGGTTCAACAATAGCATACCGCTAAAATCATTTACCATCTTAAACTCTAATAAAGAATTTTTTCAATCGGAATGCCAATACAGTCGTTGTATCATCACACAACACTTGATCATCTAGAAATTCTTATATGATACATCTACAACATGATACATCTACAACGAAAATGTGTAAATTAATGGTTTGGTCACTGAATTTACTAAATTATTTCATGTTTGGTCACTGTAAATATTTCATTCCATTCATGATCACTAAAATTAGTTCAACCGTTCAAGTTTTATCCCTGACGTCCAACTCCGTTAATTTTTTTCTGGTACGACAGTAAACTCTCATAGTTGAGAGTAAAAATGTGCAGTCATAACTTTTCACAAAGACTTTACACTTTGTGATCGTTCAACTTCGTTAATTTTGGTCACTTGTATAGCCATAATTATACACTTTGCAATAGTTCAACTTCGTTAATTTTGGTCACTCGTATAGCCATAACTTTGCATTTTGTGGCAATTATAGCCAATTTAACGTCCAAGTCTGGAAACATGCTACAAAAGGGGTAAGCAACAGAAAAAACTGAAAGATGAAGAAAATTGGAGGGCTAGTACATAGAGTCCATTGTGAAAGCTCTATGTGACCTGAAATCTACCAAATAAACCTCTGGAGACCAGGTTCATGACTCCATTGGAACGGACGGAACAAGAACATTGTCATTGTGAAAGCATTGATGGCGGTATACACGAGACCCATCAGCATCAAACTTCTGTAGCTGATGGAGGAGTGAAGCATCAGGAAAAAGAATGGCAAGGTGTAGTATCTCAACTCGATTAGAGGAGCAGGAACAAGTACTGCTGCTGTCGCCAAGAAATATGCTAGCACCCATACTCTTGGTCGAACTTTCCCTGACAAATATACATAGAAGAACAAAATGACTAACTCAGACTGAGGCTTGAGGGCAGAACATAAAGTAAGAACTGAGTTAGAAGCTAGAATAACCAACACCGACCTAGCGTCCTGAAGATTGAAAACCAGGAGTAGATGTAGAAAGGAACAAGAAAGTATTTCCCCAACTTGTGAAAATTGACAACCTTCCGCCAGAGGTAGAAGGTGTAGTGCCGGTTGTCAGCTAGAAGATAGGGATGAGCTATGCTGTAAAGAATAATCAAACTCTATCAGGCAGACGGCTATAGGACAGACTAGAAAGATAAAAGGATTCAGCTTGGCATGCATATCACTCCGTTGAGAGTTTTTGCACTGCTTTTGCTGCTGGTACATGATTGATATGTATATAACTCAAGTCAAGAGTTTATTTCTAACTGTTACTAACAAGTATGGTATATCTTTTGTATCCATTTTGGGGCATACTATGTTCATCTGAAGCTAACCTGAAAAAGTGCACAGAGAAGAACCCTGCTGCCAGAGCAATAAGCCATTGACAAAAACTTAGGGGACCCTTCTTCCAGGACCACCAGAACAGGGCTACACAATGACTCAATGAGAAATGCAGAGGAGCTGCAGCAAGAGCAGAGACTAGACTAAAATACATTAGTTGGGCAAAATGTGGAGACACAGTGTGAGCTTCTTTTGCACCTGCAAAAATAATGACACAAGTGTGAGCAAAAGATTTCCTGGGATCTAAAACAGAATTCATTATCAAATGAGTAGTACCAAGGACCACGCTGCCATTCCAACGGACAAAAGCAACAAAGGCCCCCAATACTATGAGGAAAGGGGTGAAGAACAATAAAATACTCCACTTCATGAGCCATGATTTCAAACAGATTGTTCGAATCTCGTCAAGGAAACCTTCAAATAATGAAGGAGGTGGTTAGTTGGCACATAAACATATTATTGCTCGAAAATCTAGTCGTGCAGAAGATAACCTGTGGAATTGATTATTACAGAGGCATTTCTAACAAGCACTGGTGTTTTGTCACTCTCCACAGCATCATTGAACTTTCTTCTTCTTCTCATGTTTCCAACTGTAGTGGCATGATAGTTCGAAACTACCTCAATGGTTTCATCTCCTGAGCTCAAGTCCACTATTTCAGTTTCTTTTATAAGGGGCGAGGTAATATCTATTACTCCACTGCATGCAACAAATACTACCCATACAATGTTTGTCTGTCGAGTGAAAACTGAAAACGCACCAAGCTGTCAAAACACCAAACAGATGCATACTTCAGATGCATATATATATCATGAGCCTCAGTGAAGGAATGCAATTGTCATACAACACACAAATGACAGGGAACAGACAAATTTGAACAAAGTGTTGTTTACCAGGGCACTGAAGAAGTACTTCTTCTTTAAACAAGCAAGGTACATTGCCAGCACCATCGTAAGCGATGCAACATCTGTATAGTAAAGGAAAGTGAAGAACCAATGAAGAGGGTAGAGCGCCAGGACAACGGACAGAAATGTTGCTTTCCTTTCACCAAGAGCTGGTCTCACGCAGGTAATTATGTCATATATAAGAACACTGCACAAAACAGCCAACACAACATTCGTGGACCTAAGGATTGAAACCGAGCACCACTCAGAGTACTGAGATGATGCACCTTGCACAGCATACACGCCTGGAAAAAAAGAAGCAACATGCGCAAGTGAGAGATAGTACCTGCAAAATTTTGTGCAAACCCATCAATTTTTGTGTCATCTTCAACTTGAACCAAATCAAGCAATGCAACTAACTGCCCAACACCCCATAAATTTCCAACAAATGAGAAACACTAGGATTCACCAAAACCTCAAAATTCAAGAAGAGTTTATTGAACGAACTTACAAGCCAGGAGGGGTAGTTATCATCGGATCCCAACTCAAGAAATTGCCCTTGCAGTACTGCTGAGCCTGTGGTATGTGGAATATCTCATCCTGCGCCGAGAAAGAAAAATGAAGGCTCTTCAGAGATGGGAAGATAAACGCAATTTGGCTGCTGGAAGAACGAGCATTTTGTAAAAGAAAGGTCGTAGATCGGCTTATCCATTTATAGCTTCGTTTTCCATTTTACCATGTAAGGCGCGGGCACGATCCGATTCACGACGATGGATATTGGAATCGCCCATGAGCTCACTATCAGTGCTACTGCTAATTTCCCCATCTCTTGAACCCTTCGCTGCTCTTACACTAGCGGAGGAGCGGCATCCCAAAAAGGGGGCAATGAGGGATTGTTCTAAGCTCCGAGGAGCGAAAATTGTAAACTTTTCAGCCTTCAAGATCCAACTCTCGATTGGGTAGAAAAGAATTGATCAAACTCTCGTCAACCCAGTGCGTTCTGAATTCGATAGCCAAGAGCCAACTAACCACTGGTCTTGGATATCGCCGTATCGGCTGGGCCTGTCTTTCAGATTCAGAACTGCAAGTCGAGGTTCCTAATATTTTGTACTCTTGGTTTATTAACCTCATTTTATCATTTCTTATTCATATATTTATTCTTCATTTGAAACCCTTAGTACGAAAAATCATCTAAAAATTACTATAACGCAATGTAAACATACAACCTTTGCCACGTCAGTCTATCCTGAAATGCCCGCACAGTTCGGAAGGTTGTTATCGTCAATTCAGAAACTCTCTCTTTCTTGCTTTCTTTCCTTTTGGACAGCAAACTTCTCTCACCTCTCTTCCCAACCAAAATCTGAAATCGAGACTCCCCCCATCCTTATTATCATGCAGAATCCCAAATTGAAATCTCTCCCGTCGCCCTCCCTGCTCACCACAGCTCCGATCTAATTTTTTCTACACTTAATCCGAAATCCAAATCGCCCATTATCACCGTCCCTGCACTTCTCCGATCGTCGCCGTGTTTGTTGCCCTCTGCTCTGTCTTGCTCTATGGTGAAATAACTTCTTCGACGCTCTCCCTCTCTCCCACTGTGGCTTTCTCACTGCTCCATCCCACTATGCTACTATCTCATCGGAACTCATGGATTCCGATGGTGTGTCGGTCGTCGAAAATGTTGAATTGACTAATACCCGTCTTCTCCTGAACCCTTATTCTATTTATTTTCAATCAAATTGCGGCTGTAAATTCGTACAAGGAAAAGGAAATTGACCTTTCGACTGCTACTCTTCATATGGAATTGGTTGTGTCTTTTTTTTAACAACCTGGAATTGGTTTCGTCGCCGTCGTTTTTGTGGGTCTCCTCCTTGCGGCTGTTGCTGTCTTGTGCGGAGGATCGATTAGGTTGCTAGGGCTTTCACTCAAGCCTATCTATTTTGTGGGCTTTGCTCTTCACTGTTGTGGGTTCAGGCATGTGCTCTTTTCAAGTGTTTTATTCCTTCCTCAGGGTCTTGGCCCAATATTTGTTCACCTTTCATACATTTAATGAATGAATTTCCAAATGAAAAAAAAAATTGACGAAAAAGGAAAATTGACGAGGCAGATCCATGCTATTAGTCTCATCCACAACTCCATGAATTTGGTTTTGGAAGGTGGAAGTGAGAAAGAGGGAGAGACGGAGTGAGTAGAGAGATGACATTTCTAAAAAAAGAACATTCTTTGAATGATTTCATGGTAAAATATATGTAGATTTTCAATATGAAACATAACTTCTAATGGGTTGTTGTGCTTTTGGTGGTTATCCAATGATCAAACTTCATCATATTTTTAGGTTGGTTTAAGAGAGAACATTTCTTTAAAAGATTCTTCGAAGGATTTGCTATGCATATGTGGATTTTCAATATGATAGATAGATAATTGTTCATGGACGGTTGCTCTTAGTGGTTTTCAAAGGATCAAACTTATTCATATAAGAATAGCTGATTAATTTCTTACCTCCCAAAATAGTTAATTTGCCATTGTAATTGTGCTTCAATCCATAAATGTTTAACAATGAAACAGTTGTAGTAGAGTAAAACATACTATATATAGAGCTTCAAACCTTGAGAAGAAAATGTATGTCTAAAGAACAACAATAATTACCAAAACTTATGTCTTGCATTCTAAGTATAATTCTTTATGTGTCTTTTACCCAACTCACCACATATAAGTTTTTACGTCATTTTGGATAACTAAATAAAATTAGGATGCAATTCGTAAATAAATTATGTTAAAAAATTATTAATAATTCAGCCATCGGGTCTGACACTTAACTAAAAATTATTCTACTCAATCCTTCCTCTATTCTTTAGAGTTTTACACAACACCGGCCAACGGCCAGGCCCAATGCTAGTGATCAATAGACCCCAATGGTAATTCGTGTTAGGTTTGTTTCAAAGTCATAACTCAATTACAATATCACAAATCCAGATACTTCATAATATCAACGTCTTATATCAAATCTTAGACACGAATCAGTAAGACGTGTTTTTATTACTTTTTTGTCATCAAAATGTGTTTATTCATGAAAGACAAGTATCAAACCTTAACACACAACAATAGCATGTGTTTGGTTTTCTTTTTACAAAACCGATCAAAACGGTCGAACTACGCAAACTTTGATCACAACTACTCGGATACGTAGTCAACTAATGGGTTAGAATCTAAGTAATTAAAAAACTATTTCTTTAATTTTGATATTTACGTCAATAGATGTAAGTTCGAATTGTAATATAACAAACATCAAATTAAGTGAATCTTATAATTTTAATACGCAATAAGCTGCAAACAATAATACACCCAACACCTTTAAATACTTACTGCTTTAAGCACTGATTTAGTGCGTTGTGGGGTGTGAATACACTTCCAACAAGTAATTGTACTTCTGAACCTAGAATCTTAAAATTTTGCAGACCAAATTCTAGTTTCAACCTTGAAGTTGAGATTGGACTAAATAGTGTTCGACCCATTATATTTAAGGTCGATGGCGACTACAAGCAATGTGTTTGCGGTCCCCCCAATTTTGAGTGACGGTTGCGACAGCCACCATTCAAACCTTGCAGTATAGTCCAAGTAACTTATGGGCCAGGGTAGAACAAGGGCTAACAGGATACTACATTCGCTTCTTGGTTTTTCACACTCAAGTCATCGCACAGTGATACTCATATTCGGCAGATAGTGTGTTGCCTTTGGAACATCTGGCTTGCTAGGAATGCTTGCACATTTGATAACAAGGCTCCTACCCCGGCCTCCTCGATAATCGTGGTTGGGCGCGACTTTATTGAAGTGGAAGAAGCTCGATTCACAATAGCTAATTCCTCTCTCAACCTGTCTGCACAATTATCTTCTTAGCCTAGGGGTTCCCATCTTAACACTAAACCACCGCCTCTGTCTCGAGTGATGTACTGTGACGGTTCCTTCGCTTCAGACTCTCTCCCAACAGCCTATGAGATTATTATGGCTAACTCTCATGGTCGAGTGTATGATGGCAAGGTTGAGACTTTCCTGTGTTCTCATTCGATTCAAGCAGGAGCCTTCGGTCTTCTTAATACCATCTTGCTTGATGCGCAAGACCTGACACCTACCTGCATTCGCACGGATTGTCAGGTGCTTTCACTTGCCCTGAGGAGGTCATCCCTCGACGACTGAACGAACTTGCGGATTGGGTGCCTTGTCAAGCTAGGTTGTGTTTGTTACCTGAGGAATGGGTGTTAATTAGTAATCTTATTGATCCACTTTTGTAGTGACACTTGGGTCTCTACTTCATCGAATGAAATGTAAGGTCCCTTATTGTAAAAAAAAAAAAAAAACTAATAGTTCATACCCTGGTGTCATACTTCAAGTCACAAAGAAACTCAAATGGCATGCAAAGCAATTATATTTCCACCCATTCTACTTGAAATAGTTCAAGTATGATTGGGCGTTATCTGTGTATATGTCAAAAAAAAAATTGTGTAATTATGATAACTTGTTAAGACTTAGGTAAAAGTCAAGTTTATTTGTTGTTGATCAATCATGTCATCAGCATTATATTGCTCCTGCAACACCGACAAGCATATTGTTTAGGCAAACAGATTCTCTAGGCTGCTACCAAGGCTCCTAATATCTATCATGCCCTAGCCCAACCAATTTCATATTCCTATGCCATGGCAGTTTGGGAACTTTCCCAAGCTTCGCTAGGAGCTTTCTAAATTCTAACACTCGCATACTCGATCCACTTTAAGCACAGCTCTTTTAGTTTGTCATTTACTGGACCGATTAGCTTTGACTAACAGGCATCCATTTAAGTTTTGGCAGTTCAATTAGCAATTAGTTAAGCTTTGGCAATAGTTTATCATTTACTTAACCAATTAAACTCAACTAGCAAGTAGTTAATTAAGATGTTAAAGCTACTGAAACTTGGTATTGCTGTAAAACCGATGTTTGCTTTTTACATACTAATCCCCACCATCATAATAGTTACTACTAATAACTAACTAATGAGATGTCTATCCAAAGTCCAAACTAATTAATCAGCTCAATCTTCTAAAACTGGCCAAAACCTCTATCCCTCTACAGTGCTGGTGAAAGGACTATTTGCACTTTTGCAGCCTAATCAACACATCAAAGCCGCAGCCCTTCCCTGCTGAAACAACTGAAGCGGACGCACAGCAACAGCCGATCTCTGCATCTCCATTCCTCCTCCACCCATCGCCCTGCCGCCGTCTTCGTCCTCCGATCGCAGATGACGCCATAATCCGCCACGAATGGATGCTTGAGAAACATATCAACGTGCAGCCGCTGACTGAAATCCCTCACCAAACACTTTCTCAAGAAATCCTTCCCCTGCACCGACATCCACTCTGGAATCTCCGGCGTCCGGCCTGCCGCAATTTCCATGAATACTTCTCGATCCTCCTTGAATTTGCTCCACGACAAATTCCCCGTCAGCATCTCCACCAAAGTGCAGCCCAGCCTCCATATGTCCATCGCCGGCGAAACCTTCCCCTCCACCGCCACCTCCGGCGACATATACCTCAGCGTCCCTGTGAATCTCTTGCTCCCGGGACTCAGTTTCCAAGTCTCCATCGCAAGCCCGAAATCCGCGATCTTCAATTCGCAGAGACTCTGCCCCCCTCCCCTGTTTCTAGCGGGGAAAACCAGAACATTGTCGGGTTTAATTCGCAGTGGGTGAATCCAAGCGAATGGATGGAGGAGAGAGCGCGGAGAATCATTCTTGCGTAGCCTCTGACGTGTGTTTCCGGGATTCCCGCTATTCGCCGTCCGATGCGGAAGTAATCACCGATCAAATTCACGAGAGATCCTCGGGGCGCGAGTTCCATTAGCAGGTTGTATGTTCTTCCTCCGCCGCCGCTTCCGGATTCCGGTTCTCTGCGTTCGGGGCCGAAGGTCTGCACCACTCCCGTGACGTCGCGAAACTTCTCTAGAATTTGGTACTCGATCAAGAGAGAGGCGGCGTTCTCTACCGGCGCCGATTTCACGGCCATCTTATTGAAGGCGGGGTTACTTGGGATGGCGATAAACACCTCCCCGTAACCTCCCTTTCCGATACGATCTCCTCGCGTCAACCCCATGGTCGCGTGGCGGGGGAATCGAACAGGAAAGCAGGGCAAGTAAAAAGCAGAGTGAAGAAAAGAGGAGGGTAAGGAAGAGGAAACAGAACGAGAAATTGGCAAGTGAGAGGCTCTATATATTATGTTGTTGATGGCGAATTTCGGCTTAGGATAGGGTGAGTAACCCTTTGTTACTCACCCGTGAGTAACCACCTAGGAACCGTTGATCTGGGGCGGAAGATCGTGTGGCTGTCATTGAAGCGGGATGGTCAAGGGCATTTTTGTCCGTTATTTGAATTAATGAGTTTCCCCTTTTGTCCGTTGCGAATCTTTCTGTGCGCGAGTTGGATTCGGATTTTGGAGAGTCTCAACTACGAGCAGGGGAGCAGCAGCTGAGAAACAAGAACGGCGATTCTCCATGGTTGATCGACGGCGATAGAAACTGCGAGCAGCAGCTTCGAATCGAGCTTTCTGATTCTCGGTCTCCATAATTGATCGACGTGTGCGCGAGTTGGATTCGGATTTTGGAGAGAGAAATTGCGAGCAGGGGAGCAGCAGCTGAGAAACAAGGACGGCGATTCTCCATGGTTGATCGACGGCGATAGAAACTGCGAGCAGCAGCTTCGAATCGAGCTTTCTGATTCTCCATAATTGATCGACGTGTGCGCGAGTTGGATTCGGTTTTTGTAGAGAGAAACTGCGAGCAGCCGCTGCGAAACAGGGGACGGCGAATCTTTTGTGATTCTCCATAATTGATCGACGACGAGGTTAGATATTAGTTTTTTTGATTCTTCCTGTTTAGCTAATCGAGTTTTCTGTTGATCTCTGGTTTCGTTGGAGGTTTTTCATTGCTGCTAGTCGAGCTTGTTTATGTTTAGCTAATCGAGCTTGTTCATGTGTTATGTTCTTTTTGTTTTGGTGTTTTTGCAGTATTCTGGTGAGATGAGTTACGTAAATTGTGGCGATGTTGTTCCAATTGATAGATCTGGTTCTTCAACCAGCGTTGTAGGATCTGGTTCTTCATCTAGTGATGTTGGAATTGCTTCTTCATCTATCGATCTTGGATTTGATCATCCAGCTAACTCTGGTGAATCAGGAGGTAAGATTTACAAATTTGTTTGTTTATTGAAGTTTGTATAGTGTCGTAATTTGATTTTACCATGCCTTATCATGTGGTAATTGATTTTACAGTACATTACCATGTGGTAAAATGTGGTAATTAGGAAGTTAAATGTGATAGTTCTGTGTGATAATTGATTTTACCATGCCATACCTTATGGTGTAGTGTGGTAATTTGATTTTACCATGCCTTATCATGTGGTAATTGATTTTACAGTACATTACCATGTGGTAAAATGTGATAATTAGGAAGTTAAATGTGAGGATTCTGTGTGATAATTGATTTTACAATGCCATACCATATGGTATAGTGTGGTAGTTTGATTTTACCATGCCATACCATATGGTATAGTGTGGTAATTTGATTTTTTACCATGCCTTAACATGTGGTAATTGATTTTACAGTACATTACCATGTGGTAAAATGTGGTAATTAGGAAGTTAAATGTGAGGGTTCTGTGTGATAATTGATTTTACCATGCCATACCATATGGTATAGTGTGGTAGTTTGATTTTACCATGCCATACCATATGGTATAGTGTGGTAATTTGATTTTACCTTGCCATACCATGTGGTATAGTGTTGTAGTTTGATTTTACCATGCCATACCATATGGTATAGTGTGGTAATTTGATTTTACCATGCCATACCATGGTGGTAACTCTTGTATAATGGCTGTAATTATTGGTATACATTGAGATTTCATACTGTTGTGGTGTGGAATCCATTTAATATGTTGTTTCATAATGTTTGTAGGTTTCAATGGTATAGATCCTACTGTTCGTGATTCTTGGAAGGACTTAGAGTTCAATACACCAGATGATGCATATAATTTTTATGTTGATTATGGGAATCATGAAGGTTTTGGTGTGAGGATTTATAACCAATCAGCGTGTCCGAAGCTCAATGGTGGTTCTTCAGCTGTATATTATATCAAGTATTGTTGCAATAAGGAAGGTTGGAAAAGAGGTAGCGAGAATAACCCTGATAATGCAGGTGTTGTTGATACGACAGTTCGTGTTCGTAATGTTCCAGAACTCAGGGGTGGATGTAATGGTGCTTATATACGACTGAGGTGGTTTAAAGAGTTTAAATGCTACAAGATCTATCGTTGGTATAATGTGCACAACCATGACATGATTCCTGAGTCTCTGCGTCACTATGTGAGATCCAGCAGACGAATGGCTCCTGTGTATAAGATATTGGCAGAGGTGAATGATGCTGCTGGTATTGGTGTGACTTCTTCGTATAATGCAATTAGTAGGGCTGGTGGTGGTCGGAAGTTTGTTGGGTTCACAAAGAATGATTTGAAGAACCATCTGCGAACGGTTAGGACGTTATCAATGGAGTATGGTGATGCGACTGCATTGCTTGAATACTTTAGACGTCAAGCACAGCTGGATCCTGGGTTCTTTCATGAGGTGGAGGTTGATGTTGAAGAGAACATTGCTAGTATTTTTTGGGCAGATGGGAAGATGAGGATGGATTATCATTATTTTGGTGATTCAATTAGTTTTGATACTACTTACCGGACTAACAAAGAGTATCGGCCACTAGGTATGTTTTCTAGTTTGTTGTTTATTATTGTCTTTGTTAGTTTGTATGATTATTATTATTATTATTATCATTCTGTATCATGTTTTTTTTTTTGTTCTTACAAGTCTGTACCATATGGTATGGGTTGGTATGGATTGCTTTTTTGTTCTTAAAAGTATTTTACCATATGGTATGTGTTGGTAACAAGGTTATTTGAGGTGGTTTTTGGGTTGTTAGAAGTTTGTACTATATGGTATGGGCTGATATGCATTGTGTTTTTGTTCTTAAAAGTCTTTTACCATATGGTATGGGTTGGTAACAAGGTTATTTGTGGTGGTTTTTGCGTTGTTAGAAGTGTGTACTATATGGTAGTCTGGTATGGATTGTTTTTTTTTTGTTCTTAGAAGTCTTTACCACATGGTATGAGTCTTTACCATATGGTATGGGTTGGTATTATTGTTATTCGTACCTTTTACCACATGGTATGTATTGGTAGAATTGTTTTTACTCACATTTTGTTATGTTTTTGTAGCTTTGTTTGTTGGTTTCAACAATCATCACCAACTGACTGTCTTTGCGGCTGCTCTTCTATATGATGAAACAACGGCAACATTTGAATGGCTTTTCGATCAGTTTTTGAAATGCATGGGAGGTGTGAGACCGTTATCAATGTTTACTGACCAGGCTGCTGCAATTGCTGCTGGTATAAGGTCTGTTTTCCCAGATTGTTTTCATGGGTTGTGTACATGGCATATTGCTCAGAATGCAGTTGTTAATCTGGGAAGTTTGTGTGACTCTGACTTCCTTCGTGAGCTTAGTTATTTGATGTATAATGCTGATGATGAGGATGATTTTGAGTATAATTGGAAGAAGATGATTGAGAAGTGTTTTCCTGGGAAGGGACCTTTGGGACACAGTTGGTTACAGGGCATTTACAAAGTCAGGACGAAGTGGTCTTCAACCTGGGTGAATTGTCATTTTGGTGCGGGAATGAAAAGTACCCAGCTAAGTGAGTGCTGCAATAGTAATATTCGACATTACTTGCAGTCAGAGTTTAGCGTTAGTAGGTTCTTTGTGCACTTTGAGAGGATGCTTGATAATAAGAGGGATGCTGAAGAACAAGAAGAGTACTTTGCCTTATCTAGGTTGGCTGATTCTCGGTTTTCTACTAGCCCTATTGTGAAGCAAGTTGCCAATGTGTATACGCCGAAGATATTCAAGTTTTTCCTGGATCAGTACAAGGAATCTCTTGCGTATAATATTTTTTCCAATACGGAGATAGAACCAGAAGGACATGTAGGACTGTTTGATGTCTTCATATTGGAGGATGACCTTACAAGGTTGGATAGTAGGGTGTTGAAGGTTGATTTTGAAAACGGTGAAATCAAGTGTTCGTGCCGTAAGTGGGAGTCAAGTGGTATGATCTGTAAGCATCAAATTAAGGGATATGATATGTTGTGGTCTACAACATGCAATCTGAAGTTCCAGCACATTCCTAGCAGTTTGATTTTGAAGCGGTGGACAAGGGCAGCGAAAACTGGAGGGAACTTTTCTTTTGAAGTTCCGTCTACTGATAGTCCATCGAAATACCGTTCTCGTCTTTTCAATCTGTCAGCTGTTTCTGCATCAATGATCAGCAGGGTTGCATTGGATGATGATTTGTATAAATCAGCCATGGCCTTCATGACTGATTTGATCAAAAAGTGTGAAGCCCTATCGATTACTGAACCTGCTGGAACAAGCACGTCTTCTAACGGTGACAGTAAGTTTTTAATTGTTTAGAGTTTTGTGTTTTGATATATGCATTTTTTTGAGGAGAATGATTTTACATATATCTGTCATTGATTGTAGTTTGTTTTTGTTATCTTGGTATAGATGATGTACCAGTCCAAAAAGTGAAGGGGTTTAAGCCTAAAAAAGATTCATTCAAGCCTTCGAAACGACCAATTCCAGTTGCGGAGGCTGCAAGGGCTGTAAGTAAAAAGAAGAGAAAAACTAGCAGGCTTGAGGAGGAGAATTTGAAGGCTGTTGAAGAAAGTTTAAGGCTGAAGCTGTAATAGTTTTCTTAAGAGGATTATTTGAATGAATGGTTGATGCTGGTTGAGTTGTTGAAGCTATTTTGTTCTTTTGGATTGGTTTTTGGTTTGTTGGATTAATTTTACAATGTCATACCATGTGGTATAATGTGTTAATGTGCTATTTTGGAAGTTGAATGTGAAAGTTCTGTTTTATAATTGATTTTACCATGCCATACCATGTGGTATAGTGTGGTAGTTTGGAAGTTCTGTGTGATAATTGAGTTTACATTTGCCATACCACATGGTAAAATATGATATTTTGGAAGTGGCATGTGTGGTAATTGATT